TGTCTAAAGCTTGAATGAAATTCTTTGGACATATGTCCAAGGTATCCTCGTACTGAATTTCAGGTCATTTGGATTTGATATTAGGGCACAGGAGCCAAAAATGTACATTTTTGGTCCAAAAATACCAAAATAGCCCTATTTTTCACAATTTCAAAGTGGTGTAAACTACTACTAACGGGAGGGGTCCAAAGTCCGGCATACTGTTCTACGTGTTGACGCACGTATTTTGTTACTGTACATGTCACCCTAAACCTATCAAAAAATAAGGCTAGATCTTGAAACAGCAATATGTCCGTGATTTAAGCTGTACAGAGTCTGACGTATATTTCATTTCACGGTAGCGTTCCGCACTGCCGTTTGACAGCACACGAGAGTTACGGCAGGTTTTTGCTTTGCGTTCTCGTGGAACGTTCCAACACCAAAAGGGGGTCCAAACTCCGGCATACGTAACAACCAAGTCCGTGCTGTGACTATTTTAGCACTCCATGCAAACATAATAACACTATAAGTTTGCAATACTATTTTTTTGTCCCAAAAATGTGCCATATTTTCTATTACGCCACTTTTTCCAATGTTCGTAGATACAAGTCTCCCTCGGTGAAAGCTAAGTCACCCCGCCACTAAGAAACAAAATGGCGGCGTTGTTTACAACAACTGCGTGCACCCAAATATATCCGCTTTCGGTTGCCTTGATGGTCTTTTCAGCCCTATAATTATTTGGCAGAAGTAGTGACAATGGGATTTTTGAACAGGTAGGGTTTGATTTTCGGGAATAGTCGGCGCTCTACCGACGAGTTTACAAACTTCGTTCTGTTGTATCGCCCGGCTGCCTGGTCGTAGCGGCTCAGTAAAGATGGCGGGCCGCTAGGTGTAAACATTTGCCCGCTATTTAAGCTTCGATTTTCCAAGGATAAAGACAATGTCAAGCCATGGTGTGTTTTCTATGGAAAGTATAATAATCACCTTTCATGTGTGGGGTAAAATCTTTGCACATGTCGCACTCTAGGATGAATGATTTGACAGTTCTGAAGGCTATGTGCTGGATACGTTCTCTCGTCAACCTCTGCGAAAAGCGTCAAATTCAAACAAATATTTCAATCGCTAGCAGTTTGAGCAATAAACTTCGACAAACTTTCCGACTTTGTTATTTTTTACATAAAGTCTTGCTCCATAACTAATTGTTCTTATTATGTGGATTCACCCATGCATAACAGAATTATAATAATCTTTAAAACTATGCCGGACTTTGGACCCCTGCCGGACTTTGGACCCCTCCCGTTAATGATGTTCACCTTTACTCCAGCTCAACTTGGAATTCCCTGCACTATAGGATTACAGCAATTTCTCATAAATTATGCAAATCGAGTCTTCATTTACATAATCGATGTTCCTCTTGTTCTCATGATACCAGGTTTATACGCTTATAGGATAGGAGGTATCGAGTGAAGGGTTATAACGTTAAATACAATGTCATTAGTACTGAAGTTGATGCACCATCGATCAAAAACATACTTATGTATCGATTTCCGATCCTCTTGTATTTAATATAGCTGGTAATATATGAATATAACGTTCTTATAACGTTATATATATATATATCTTGGTAATTTTGAGGAAATGAAACCCCAAGTAAAATCAAGGCAGTTTCGAAAATTCGCGGGAACGTTTTCACCATTTAACGTTATATCCAGACCCATTAACGCTGTTTCATGCGTTATACATGTCATGTCTTGATCCAGTCACTTTACCAATAGCTAAAATCAAAGTTTACCTGATTGACTATGCGGTAAGTTTAAAATATGTCCAAACAAAAGTCTAAACAAGTTTTACCGTATCCAGATCCGCTGCTGCTTGAAGATCTGTCACCCCTTCTCCAGATTGGTTTCATCTATTTGTCCATTCACTTCCGGGTCAGGTCACATGTGGCTTGGGCTGTGGCAAAAAAAGTACACAATGTTTTATCACGTAAGTGGTCTTTATTATCACTGTTTATGAAATATATTTAGTTCCATTAGATACTTAGTATACTAAGGGATGCGCATTTTTTTCTTTTGTTAGATTTTTTCTATCATCCGTTCGTTTTTTTGTTCGTTTTGTGTACCATAATTTGTGTTTTCTTTATGCCCCCCTCCCCAACTCTCTCTCTCTTTATTTCGAGACACTCAGTGTTAGGATTTCAAAGAATTAACGTTACATCTACTTTCAGATTTCCTTGGAACATGAGATTCTTCTCCACCCACGATATTTTGGTCCAAACCTCCTCAACACTGTCAAACAGAAGCTGTTCACTGAGGTGGAAGGAACCTGTACTGGAAAGTAAGTAACATGGTTTTTTCTATAGATATTTCAGTTACCAAACTAAGAACCTTTAAGTTTTATACATCCATCTGCCTGTTCATTCACCTATCTATCTGTATGTATGTAATGTTATCTATTTATCCATCTATGACAGTCAATCTATCCATGGCCAGGTTTCCAGTTTACCACCTACCGAATGCCACCTACCTGTTACCATGCCATTAGTATAGGCATTACTCTGGTTTATATTTCAATCAAATGTTTAAGTACTGAATAAAACTGAACCCTTTCTGACTACTTAAATTCAATTTACATTTCCTTTTGCCCATAAGACCACAAAATTATAACAAAATGTCTTCATCCTTAGAAGTTAGAGCACTAATACAACTACAGTACATACATTGTACATAAGCTGTCCATGGAAAACTTTGTGAATGTGCAATGTGTCAGTGTTGCTGATATCTCTGATTTCCATATACTAGTACTTAAGTATATCCTGTACTCTTCAATTTCAGGTATGGGTTTTGTCATAGCGGTGACGACGATTGATAACATCGGTGTGGGTGCCATCCAACCAGGGCGTGGCTTTGTGCTGTACCCGGTCAAGTACAAGGCCATTGTCTTCAGACCATTCAAGGGAGAAGTTGTTGATGCTGTTGTCACCCAAGTGAACAAGGTACCCTCACATTTCATATTTACCTCTGGGCACAGAGGTGTTGTTTTATTACTAGACGTTGGGCTGGCTACTCTTTACTTGCAGCCAAGGGCTAAATTGTGAAGAGCTAACACTTTGGAGGGCTGAATCACATAGCCTGCTTACCAAACCTATTTTAGCTCCCGAGTCTTTATCCTCTCCACAAATGGACTCGGGAGCTAAAATAGTAACTGCCTTTCAGCACTAAATCAGGTGACCTCAATACGTACACAAGTTGTGACCATAGAACCACAGACACCCAGAAGGACCATTTTTTGTGTGTGTTTGTGTGTTCGTACAGTAGAGGGACAGGATGTGAGTGGGGGGGAATTCCCTAACCACAGACTACAAAAGGTCAGACATAGGAAGTTATGTCCCAGATGCTGGTAGGGGGTCAATGGGCAGTTGGTCCAAGATTCTGTCGGCCAGATACCAGATGAGAGTTAAACAGAGAAGTTCATGATTATAATGAATAAGGGGAGAAATTCAACAAAAATTGTGTATAATACTGGGGAAAATGATGTTGCCCACTTAGCAAACATCCTTTGACTTCCTTTGTAAATTGATGGTTCTTGTTTTTCTATTTCTTGTATATAGGTAGGACTTTTCACCGAGGTGGGACCTATGTCGTGTTTTGTGTCCAGACATGTAAGTATGACTTCATTTTTTTATGTAATTGTCCTTTGCATAGCTTGTGTTATACAAAGTCTTGCTGCCAGGGACTTATCTGGCCTCCTCCCCAAGTTTAAGCGCTCTTGGCTATACATTGTATATCTCTAACTCAAGAGATCCATTTCTAGTACTGAATAGGTTTGCATATTGGTTCTGCCAGAGAATGATTCTGAGGCAAATGACTTTGGTATTTATTCTTGATCTTTTTATCTCCCAGCTTGTTCTAATTGCTGTTTCTTTGTCTGCTGTCTTATTAGGTGCAAACTATTGATTATAACAATTCTTTCTGACTTCCAGTCCATCCCATCAGACATGGAGTTTGACCCCAACTCTAACCCACCCTGTTACAAGACATCAGATGAGGTCAGTTAAACACTCTAGCTTCAGTTATGCCTGACACCAACTTTCACACTCATGCTTCAATGAGAGAAAAAGTAATCTTGAAGTTGAACCAGTTCAGAAAAATTCTAAAGCCTTTGTTGTATTGCTGGTACTCGCTTGAAATTTTGAAGTTAGATACATACATATATGTATAATGTAGAATTTTGTTTTATTGCAATTTTTTGAAGATCAAAACTGTGATTAGGCATTGCCAACATTCTACTTTGTTTCATGTTGTGCACCTAGAGTTTTTTCTGTGCATCTACATTTTGAGTTGCATGGTAAAGTTTGTCATCTGTGGCTGCCAAAGTATGTGCTGCTTAGTAAAGCATCATATCTCTTCCTGATGTTTACTGTTTGCCTTGAAGACTGATGTTTAAGACAATTCATGTCTGTCTCCCTCCAGGACGTTGTGATTCAACAAGATGATGAGATCAGAATCAAGATTGTTGGCACAAGAATCGATGCCAATGACATCGTAAGTCACTGCATACGCATGTATAAAGCATACTTTTTGTAAGATTCTCATCTATTTATACATGAGAAGTAGGTTTCAGGAAAATCAGTTTTTGATCTGCTTGGTTATAAGAATTCTTAGTGATGACCTGATGATTTGTCAGTGTTTAATTGAGATGGTGGATTTGGATATACTTTGTGATTAAAGCCCCAGTTACATACATGGTACGATGCACCTACAATTTTGTACGTCATATGTTTGAGAAGAAACAGGAGTTGATTTTTTTAACTGTTCTTGTTCCATCTTTAATTCATAAAGCAGTCATAATTGTCACAGAATCCCTCTATGGTAGGTGTACCATATGATGTACATGTATGTGACCAGGACTTTGTTAGTCTGGGCTACAGAATCTGTCACTGCCACCCCCAAAGTTTCTAATGATGAAGTTTATTCTCTTCTCCAGTTTGCCATAGGATCCCTTATGGATGACTATCTTGGTGAGTAGTTACGTGCCTAGCCTGTGTGGAGTAGAGCATCTTCATTGAATGTTACTGCTACATGTATCAATAATGACATATAAAATCATGATAGGTCTGATGAAATTACTTCACCTTATCTTTGGAGATCTTGGTTCCTGTACAAAGAAACATTTACCCAGAAAGTGGTGTTGAAACCGACATCCTTTACTTGTGTTTATTTATTGACAAAGGAGTTCAAAAGTTTGGAAAAATATTGACAAAGTAGCACACAAGTTAGAAAAATAAGGTTGGTACACTCTACTGTTTTTATAGGAACAAGAAAACTTCCTATGTATGCAGTTTAGGGTTTCCAGACTCCTCCTTACTGATAGATAAGGTAGATAAGATATGTCCATACTCCCTGATAGTTACATGTATGATAATGTTCTTTTTTTTTTCTTCCTAGGACTTGTGAGCTAAGACATAAAAACTGGCATCTGTCCTGCTTGAAGACACCATCTGGATATGAACATCTTACATTTCAGTATGGCAAGCAACTAGTCAGTTTGCCTACACATCCTAGTTTTAATATTATGAAGTTGTTAACAAAAGTTTTGTATATTTTACTTTTACACGTATGTCAATTGTGTATGAAGCTCTGTAACGCTTTAGCTGTAGTTATACTTAATCTTAGCATTTTGTACAGTTTAATAAAGGATCATTCTGTACAAGTCTTGCAAGGTCATGTTTTTCTTACCGCATCTTACACAGTACACAGGACTTGTGATAATGGAAATCCATCATACAATCATGTACATTTACTTAATATACATGTATCTATCTGTAATACTAAGTGCATACTCCCATACATGTGTACCTATAAACTGCAACAATGTGTCGTGAGTTGGTACATTTCTGGATTCCCTTCATGCAGTAATTTTGGCTCAAACCTACACCATTTTATCCTAAGTAGATTCCAGAATCCTAGTTTCAACCACTAATTTCAAAAAGTGGAAAAAGGTCCTTTTCTCTCCTACTGTGAAATAGAATCACTGCGAAAGTAAATGAATTTACAGTACATGACTTTGCATCATCCAAAAAAATTTAAACATGTAAGATTACCAACATTCTCAAAGAACAGCAAGAAGGATTTCACACACATACACAATGTACAAAATGCTGTATATACAGCATGTACTATACATTTTTTTAGCCTGAGCCAAATTGTCATTTGGAGCTTTAGCCAAACTACATGGTCCAATCAGGAGGTATCATCCCACTTTTTGCAGTCTTCTTAGCTTCTTTTGACGATGATGATGCTTTAGCTTTAGCCTCATCAGAACTCATCCCCAGCCAGGACTTGATTCCTGACTTTCCTGTGGTGGACTCGATCCTGTCCACAACATTGCTGGGTCTCATTTCGTCACAAGTAGACGGATGGATGAAAAATCGTGCCCGTCCGCCCTCCGCAGGAACACCGGGGGAGTACGCACCTTGAGGATCAAATTCCGTTTCCTCACCAAACCACTCTGTTTCGAATTCCTCCTTCCACGTGGTGACGAGGTTGTCGCAGGACGCAGACCGCACCTCAGACTGGAGATGCTTGGGCTGTAAGATTGCTCCTGCAGTTTTAGGAGGCTCCAGGTCTAGTTGACTCTTCTCACCAGAAGTGATGTCTCCCCAGGAGGCAGACTTGCTCAGCCACTCCTGTACCCGGGCGGCAGGGTCCTCCTTCTTCCCATCGCTCGACGGAGGCTGCACTGCCTCCTGATTCGTGTCGGCTAATTTCATCGTCCCTTGACTGGATGCAAGACCTTTGGTGGGTTGCACTGATTCATGCAATGTCCTGATGGGCAGTACTGGCGACTTTTGTTTACTGTTGATGTCAGGAAGACTTCCTCCCTGTACCTGGGAGGATGGGAAGGGTCGCTGCTGGAGTTCCCGGATTTCTGACGTCTCCAGACCCTCGTTGGTGGAGGACTGGGAATGTCCCTCTGACGTTTTCTGCGCAGGACGTTTGGACTTCCTTGTTTCCACTTTACCCCTGGAGGTATTAGACTTTTCTGCTAGAGCTAACAGTCGCCTACGGACAGCTGGCGGGGTGCTAATCAAGTAGTGGTTTGAAGTGGCTATCTCTGCTCGGATGACATCAAGGTGCCGATTTGTCGGCTGCTGCCTACCTATGATAGGAGACAATTGGCGGGGAGGCGACACTTTACTCTCCGTTGATCTTGGAGACACGCCGTCCTGGTACGTCGATTTCTTCCCTTTAAGATCCTGCAAGGTGATTTTCAATCTTGGCTTTTCCTTGGCAGGGCGAGGGCTGATAGGTTCCTTTCCCTTGAGGTCTCCCCTGCACTTTCGCACAACAAGAGGAGACCCGTCTTCTGAAGACTCGCTGTCCAGTAGTGCCAGTGAGCTGATCCTAGTGTTGAACTCATGCAGCCTTTTCTGTAGCTGTTTTTCTTCCTTGGCATACCCCTTCAGTTTTATGTTACGGGCCGTCTCAAACTGGTCCATCTCCTTCTTCTTTTTCCTGACTTCAAGTTCATTTCTCTCCTTGAGTCTGATGACAGTTTCCTTGTCCTTCTCCATGATAGGAGGGTTGCCGGGTTGCCTGTCCTTGTCTGCACTCATCTTTGTCCTCTTGTGTAGAAGGTCAACTCAAGTCGGTTACCAGTCGTCACTAACAGTTCAACAAAGAAAGGGAACATTGTAAGATTCATTCAGCATCAAGCACATATGTCACAGACATGGATAACAGTCAAAGGGAGCTCTTTCTCACACAATAACATCTTTTTTCAGATAGCACAACTTATATCTTACGTAAAATGTTATGCTCTACCTAGCATCCGTAACACAACTAACTGGCCACAGCCTGTGTCTACTAGTACTAATGCCACACCCACATGAAGGACAATCCTGTTACTTGAACCGCTGAGCTTTTTCTTGTGTCACCAAACAACTCATGCTAAGCAATTGTCTCACCATGTCGAATCACACAAAACATGGTAGGAGCTTTTGACAGAGCCTTGGTACCATGGAAGCAGTCAAAAGTCGAAAAGATCAGACTAAAAAATCAGTGTCACACAGAAAGCTAGATGACTGAGTGACTGTGCTGCAGCTAAGTACTAGCAAGTCTTACCTTACAGTACATGTAGGTTTGGTCCTGTATCAGTTAACTACAAAGTCCAGACTACCAAGTACTAAGTTATCCTAAAACCAATGTCTTCCCACACTTGTTGTGACAGAGTTTGTCACAACACACTCTGGCAGAACTGCACAGGAGAAGTAGCTTCTGGCACAACACAGGAGCCTGTTTACATGTACAACATGTACCTGAGTCTGGTAACACATCAGAGATCCAGCAGAACACATCAAAACAAGTGCACAACGTCTGTGAACAGAAGTTTTGCCTTTTCGATAGCAACCACGATCTGCGCAGTATAAACTTGGACTTACCTTGAGAGTGGCATTGATACGTTTCCTGTTTGTTTCCTTAAGAGAGCCCAGGTATCGTTTTCATCTCTTTCTTCAGACTCCCCTTCTGTATCTCTCCATCCATGACGTAGGATGCTTGTGTCCCAGTTCGGGTTACGAAGAAGAAAGGAGGCAGAGTTTGGTACCAGAGGATCGTGTGAACAGCTTTGAAAGACGGCAGCATGCTCAAGTTTCTAAAAACACATTACTGTGCATGTGAGGGTAAATGTTGACAGCAATTAGGCACGTCGCCTTAGAGTCTTGTTTTTGGTGTTGAGGTTAATGACGGAAGTATCAGCAAAGCAGAAAATTTGGCCCTTCATGATCTACATTTTATTTGTACAAACTAGAAGAAGGTACTGAAGCTTTTAAAAAGAAAACAATTCACAATTATGAAACAGCTGTGAGAAGTATATAATGATGCATCTCCATTTTAACAACATTGAGGTGACCTGAGACCACATTCTTGCTTCTCAGATTTTTGCAGGAAATCAACGAAGGGGCAGGTGAAAAAAACAAAAGCCTAATAGGCATCCTGTGATAGTCCCAAATGCTGGATAGAGCCATGAAGTCAACATACTAAGCTGGTTTTTAATCAACTCAAACTATGGATTTTGATAAAATCGATACATAAAACGTTTTTTTTCCTTACTCTTGCATATCGAAACAAAATGAAGCAGGTGAATCAGGCCTAAAGCTGAAGCAAAATATGTCACTATACACAATGACACTTTTGTTTGACAAGAGTACAAAACAATCCATACATGACATTACTGTAAGTGTAACTGTCAACATGGACAACAACATTCTCATAGAACTTCCTCTGTTGCTTTTGTTGAAAACAAATGTTACAGCTTGACTGATATGTACAATACATACCTTGCCAATAGAAAGCACAAAGGAAACTGCAGTAAGTACTCATTGTTCCGCATTACTGTCTTATGCATGTTACCAGTATGGCTTAAATGTTACCTAATGCTTTAGTTCCACAGCTGGATTCAGAAGGAAAATACTGAATACTGAGTTCTCAGTCTCATAGTCTGAATAGACTAAACACAGTAGTAATGACTGGTTCAGAACTTCAGATACTGGTACCTACATGTATGGTCATTGTAATCATCCACTTCAGCTAGCATGAATTTCTGTGGGCTGCAATTGAAGTACAGATATACGTATACGTAGATGTTTCAACAGTTTCCACTAGCTAATTATAGTGCTGCATATCTAAGCGTATACGTAACATCAGGTACAGGTACCAGTACAGAGGTTAAGGATCCAGGATCAGGTGAAGACTGGTACCTGAACAATTTTGTTTAGCCAGTTGTGAAAAATTTTGCAACAAGGGCAGATGAATTAAGTTTGTGATAGAACGTCCTTGGGTTTTGTGGACAGCAAAATATTGAACAAAATGTGGCATGACCATCTTGATTAGATTTGTAGATTAGTAGACAGCTGTTTCAAAGGAATGGCAGGATCTGTAGGTGTTGTTCTTGCTGTTCTCACATGATAGAAGATGGCTGCACAGGTGATATCTTGTCAAGCTGATCCAGGTAACTGTAATGAGAAGGAATGCTTACTGTACTTACAAACTCAAGAAAGGCTGCTGATTATCTGTACTGTCATAATAATGGGTTTATCTTTTCCATCATATCTCAACAAGATTATCCTCAATTATGTGGTACAAAGTTTTGAAATACAAAAGAATTTGTCTCTAAAAGATTATTCATCAATGAATACATACATGTAATCAGCAGACTTGTCAAAGAATTCCACTTGTGCCACATGTGTTTTGTATAATGATATCAGTATCACAATCCCCATGCAAACCCTACCAATGTTCATGTTCATGTATTCCCTACACTTCAGCATGAATATTTGGCATAAATGCTTGGGGCAAGCACAACAAGGCATCCAATTGTTAAAAAGGTATCAAAGAACACTTAACAATATGAACAAAACAAGACAACAAACACAATGCACACAAAACCTCCCGACACAGAGGTAGCAATGTTGGTGGCACGGTGGAGGTGGACTACAGCAGAACAAGGCTATACATGTACTAACTTTGGGTTGTGCATCTCCACCCGCCCTCGCAGGATGTTAGGGCCCAGGAAGTGGGACAGCTGCTGCAGGCACTCCGCAGCCGCACTGTGGGTCAGCTGGTTATCACTGGACTGGACAGGAAGAAAACAGTTGTCAGTGAATGGGGGAGGGGGTCATTGCAGCAAATTAAACCTAGGTATTCAGTGTTAGTCACAAGCTGTCAATCCATCCATGTCCTCCAACCGTCAGAAGACACACCATTCCAGCTATGCTGACCAGCACAGAGCTACAAAATTCCACTTTGCAGAACCAAGGGACATATGTTCTTTCATCGCTACAACTAATACTAATACCGGTATTCCTATCTATAGATAGTGCACTTGTAAACTTTTAACTAGTTTTAGAGTTTATATTATCTCTGACTTGGTGGTAAAAATGTTCTCTTGTCTCAGTCTGCTACGTGATGTAAAGTTAAGTTCAAAACTGCATGGATGCCACTGTCTTGAAACTGCATGTCATCAGAAACAATGTGAAACAGCGAGTTGGTTCCTCACCAGACTGTAGAAGATGGGATCCAGGAAGTCCTCTAACTTCCGCTTGAACAGCTGCTTACTCACTCCCCTCCCAATCACCGGCAGCTGGGGAATTACACCAGTGCCAAAGTGTCAACTTCTACCAATCAATTTCAAAAGATGTCAACATTATTCTGCATGATAACTGATGATCACTAAGATCTTTAACAGAGGTGATTCTTATGTAAAATTTGTATTTAACGCTGACAGTAATTCCACCGGTTACGGAAGGAAGCCTTTCATAACTGGCAAAACTGCTTTTCTTCCCCATAATGTTTCTCATTCAACATTGAACTGTTGGCTACCTGAGAAATGTATAAAAAAGTTCTTCATGACCAAAGATTTGACACGTGCTTGTAAAAATCCTTGGTCATGAATAAAGAATTGCTGCATGGTAATTTACTAACCTGATGAACATTAAGCATTGACAGAAGTAATGCTTTCCAAATGCTGATATGTACATTGTACAGGTCCTACACCTCCCAACTTTTGGTTGGAATATCATCATGTAAAATCCTTGGCTGTGAATAAAGAGCTTTGTTACAGTCAGTGATCAACATGATGAAATCATTCAAGGATGTTGCTGTACCTGTTTGCAGACAGTCTCCAGCAGCACCTGGTGCTGTGGGTAGTGGTGTTTTGCAGCTGCCTGGGCCACCAGGGGCAGCAGCTCTGCCACCTGCTTTACAGCTGCCGGGATCTGGGATAATTCAGCCAGCAGGTGCACACAGCTGAGGAGAGTACAATGTACATGTGTAAGTTTTGTGTGAATAAAGCCAGCATTAATCATATCATTTGGAAATGCTTCGCACACAGATCTTAAATGGTGAAGTACATGTATGGAACGGAGTCAAGCAAGACATACATCTTACTGCAGTAGGCCTATACAAAGGATGCTAATTTGGATTGTTTTGTACCAGGTATGCATGAGAAATACCGGTACTTGTACAGCTCTAATTTTACAGTTTATAATTTTGCAGGTGGTATTTCGTACCCTGAGAAGTGCTGATATCTTACCCCTCTGTGAGCTCCCATGGTTCTGCAGGTTTCCTGAACTGGTGGTCCATGCAGCCTCCACTCCTCCCCCGACCCATCTTGGGGGCAAGCGACCCACACGAGTACATCTGTTGGAAAAGGTGTGTTAACCTTCAGCCTGCTAACGTTATAGTTTGGCACCAAATTTTTATTGGTTATGGGATAGGCAGCAGGGACAAGGTTAAAAACCTACATGTACATGGAGGAAACAAGCTGGTCAACATGCACCAAAAAAGTTTACAGGCACCTGCATTTTTTATTTTGCCTCCAGGTACGAAGGTATTGTCTTTGTGTGTAATAGTTATTTTAAAGCAGTAGAGTGACATGATGATCAGAATGAAAGGAAAGGGAGGATTTGGTTACTGTAGATTAACCTTAAGGTCAAGTTGGACGTAAGCTATGGCTGGCAAGCTGGGAGGAAGAGATGGACTCACCTACTAGTATGCAAGTTAGAAATATACATGTATGAAGTGGGAAATTCCAAGATACAAGAAATTAGATAGATGTGGCCTCAACATGGGACAGTTATGTTGTAAGATAGAAACAGATACATTGTACTTTTACTACAAAAGAACTCACGGTCTGGTTTGTGTGCAAGTCCATATCATTGTCTCGAAGTTTCTTGACAACTCCATAGGTGGCCGGCCCCTTGTCCAGACCAGAGTATTTCTCTGTCGATGCTGGCTGTTTCTCAATGCCCTCCAAACCTTCCTGCACCTTCTGGAGGAGGAACTGTAAGGACTCAGCCCCTAATGTTTAAGACAGACATAAATTAATGGCTGTGTTTTAATGTATAAATCAAACTTAGATTGTCAAAAGTGCAGAATTGCCCATGTATAGAATTACCGTACATTACTACATGTACAGTACTGGTACATGTTCCAGTATTTTGGACCTATAACTGAATGATTTTTGTAGTATTGAGTTGGTACCAGTATGCAGCACTGGTTTCTGGCCATAAAGTGTGGACTAACCATAGATGATAGGCCCTGGCAACATTGCCAGGATATATGCAGTACAAAAGCCTGGACTCACCATAGGCCCTGGCTACATTGGCTAGTGCTACTGCCGCTCCCTGTCTCACTGATGGGATGTTGTCTTGTAGGTTGGCAAAAACAATGGGTACAAACTGTCCATCTGGGGTCTGCAATGACAAAAATGAAGACCATACCATTACGCATGTCCACAGCAGAACAGAGTAAAGCCAGTAGGAATGACCTAAATGTTGCTACATACCAAATGAAATGACAATCTGCCTATAAAAAGTAAGCCGAAAACATTATTGTGCACATACACTGCTAAAGCAATACCTCTTTCATGAAGGTAACAACTGTGGTACAACAAGTGTAATGTCAAGTCATACAACTGTGCTAGGTACCCTGAGACTACCATATTAGCTAAATATCAATGATGAATCATAGTAACAGTATCACTGTAAGTTTTGGATTTTTAGCTTGGGAGATGTTTTTGTCGTCAGTGATCACCATACACAGATCAAATGTAGAAAAATTTAAACTGTACACAGGCTACATGTACAATGTAGATGTGCAAGGCAAAAAATTTTTACCCTGCACTCCTCAGGAAAGCACTGAATGAAGTTCCCACAAGCTATGCATGCAGCTGGAAGGAGGAAGACATACACATGTATGATTAAGAGAGAAAGGACTGATTAAGAAGATCCTATATTGACTGGAGGAAACACTCGAGCTGTAAAAATGTCTAAATTAATTCATTGTGATTCGATAAAGAATGACTTGCCATCCCTGACAGGCCAGCTGTCATCTTTGAAGGACTCTAGCAGGGCTTCGATCAGTGTTGGCACATGTGGACGCACAACATCACTGTTGATCTGTAAAGGCAACAGGGACACTCGAAACTTATCTAATTAAAGATGATCATGTAGATAAAAGATGGCATCTTATCATAACTGAGTGTGTGTTTTCACCTATATGAAAATGTGGATGTGTTTGTGTGCATGTTTGCTTGTGTATTCATACAGTTGAGTCACCTCACGTGGCTGGGGGGAATTACAGTCACACAGACCACAAAAGGTCAGACACAGGAAGTTAGGTCCCAGAAGCTGTATATAGATTGTGGGTATGAAACCTTCAATTTTTTGTTTTATATACTGTATCGGCTCATTTTCCTAGCTCAGAACTGACTGACTGGGTTCAAAGTCTTTAAGAAAAAAGTTTCCAGAGATACTAATATGAATTGTACATTTTAGGCATGATTTGTCACAAACCTTGGAGCCTAACTCAGCAATGCAAGCACAGGCTGCCTCCCGTACCGCATGGTTGTCTGCTGTAGTAGCCTCCATGTAATATTCAACCTGCACAAAAAGGAAGACTGGCTGGTTAAAGGTAGTACAGCTGTGAGGAGGGTGTTAACTTCTGGTAGATAATAACTTTAGGAAGCAAAAAGTGCATACTACTTCACAGCATATGATAAAGTACCTACTTGTCGCACATGAATAAAAAGCATCAGTACACTGTAAAAGTCTTCAAGATGAAGTACACTGTAAGCAATTCCAGAATGCACTGTCTGGCTGAATACAATGTGCCTGACAAAAGTTAGTCCTGAGGCCATAGAAATCTGCTACATCATAGTACATGTGACAGCCTCTTTTGTGAGGGACCTTCATTTTTTAAGTTTTATATCATAGGCCATGTCTTTCAAGTAAACTAAGTAAGCTTACAAATTTCAGACTACCATAACCGACCGCTACCCTTTGAGTTTGTATTTGAAGGATACATATGATTACAAATACATGTGACACGCAAGATGCTACGTACCACTTGAGAGATGTATTCTTCTACAAGAGCCTTCCCCTCTGTGTTGGTAACCTTCTTCCATGTCTCCTGGGAGTAGATGCGAACTCCTTCCGCTACGTAATACCTGGAGGACAAAAGGACCAGCAATGACTAATGCACTTCTGTATAATGTAAATTAAATGTTTACTGAGTACAATGTTAACAGTAAGTTGTAAAGAAACAGCTAATATCAAATAATTTGCAGATAAAGAAATAACATATCTCCTTTGAAAAGCTAACTAATTATCATTCTTACACTACAAACAATTGCAAGACATCACAACATAAATCTTGGCATTTTTGGCAAGCCACAGTGCTAGATTCCAAACTGGCCACCATGTTCACTGTGATGTCATTGCTGGTACATGTATATGTATATATAATGCTGATTTAATTACCTGGTGGTAGGAATCAAGACAAGAGTATGATTTTTTTTTTATTGTACAATGGTCTATACCATCAGAACAGTGTAAATGTTTATGTTCATTGAATAATACTACATCATGTACTATGGGTGCAGTTGATAAGAAAATGTATTCTGCAGTTGGACATAGCGCCTGTCACAGGATGGTTACAGTTCCTGGACACCAACTGTTTACCTCTCCAAGCCTTAGTCCTACAACTGTGGTAAAAAGGCTGTATGGTATATATTGTCTAGCATACTCACCTATTAAGACACAGTCTTGGTAGAAGCAGTGGGTAGTACTTCTTCCGCACCTCTTCACTGGGCAAGCTCAAGAGAAACTTCCTGGTGGCAACTGAGGCTGCCATTCTCACCTACAGCGAAACAAAGACATCGACACGCAAGTCACTGCAATTCTTTTGTTTGTTTTGCGTATTTTGCCTTTTATAGGCACACATCAATTTTGTACAGTAAGTAGTACTAAGTACATACTGCATAAGACTGGACAGTTAGTATCAAATTTGTGATACGGCTGTGATTTTCACCTGGCTCCAGTTGTCAGCTAGTCCTGTGGCAAAGTGTTCGGCCAGCTGCTGTCCATGTAACAGTATGGTGTCTGACTCCTGAAGGACAGTACCTTCACCTGCAATACAGCACAGTTGGACAAACCATCAACACAAGTAATGAACAAAGATATTTACTTTGTGTAAGGCTTCTTTCTTCCCGGCTTGATCTCATACTAAAGATGTACATGTAGCATCAAACTTTTTCTCTAGCTAGTTGTGTTTTACTATGGCTACATCAGTGAAAAATTGTACCCAAAGTTGGTCATCCAAATTCTAATTAAAAAAGAGTCCTTGGGGTAGGGGGGAGGGGGTTCAAGAATTTGATAGCTGCTTTAACTTATGTTAACTTTACCAAAACCACTTGGACTCAATCATAACAGTTTTCTATTCTGATAATACCCGTTTAGTATTCCTTTAAAGAGAAATAATGGAAATTGCTCGTATAGGAAATAGATTGAAAACAAAACATTTTATTTACAAACAGCAGTGCAACACATCACCTTCCTGTTGTTGTAGCGAGCAGGACACCAGACTCCCACAGACGTTGAAGCCAGTCTCCCGCACAAACCTGTTGGTGTGAGTCAGGGCCTGGAACAGCAGGTCCAGCAGGGACTGGGTCACGTGGGGGTTGAACTGGGAAGAACAGCCCTCGATCACCTCCTGCAAACACCTGTCACGGGTTACAGAATTGTTATTTCACTGTTACAGACGGACATTTATATTTGATCAGTGCAAAACCACATGGGCCACTTCTGGGCACTGAACAAAACACTCACTGAAGCAGCATCTCTTCTCCCTAAGTCAGAAACATCAACACCCATCCTGTTGAATTATATTTATGTCATACCCACTTCAGAAAATACACATTTCAAATTACAAAACGTACCAGAAGATGCAAAAACCTTGTGTCCCTTAACCAAATATTGCAACAACACCAATCGCTATATCTGAGTCCAGTATTTGCATTTTCCAAAGTGGCTCACGTGGCACATTTACATTATTCTGTCAAAGAAGGCTTACTTACTCACTCACTCACTCACTCCCTTACTCATTCACTCACTCGCACTAACAGAATTAGTTGGTTAAAATTTCAATGACTACACATGTAAAACTACAACAAACAAAAAAAACACTAATCTTTTTTAACATTACACAATGACCCCATGAGGCATGTAGATACAATTTCCTACAGGTCAAAATCCCATCAGTAAGTTGACTTACTTCATCCAAGTTTCCAGATGTCTCCAGCCGGCCGTGTCGTGGAAGATCTGCTGCGCATCAGAGACTTCTTTCTACAGTAAGACAGGCAGGTTCCTCAGCATACTAGGTCAAGGTCATGTTTAACACAGGTAGCTTCTGCAAACATAGACCTGTACCTACATCTCTATAACAGTACCTAATGCTACTTTCAGTACATACTAGAACCACAACTTCTAATTGGTCACTTCAGAGTCACGAGTCATGAGGGTTGGGTTCCTCTTTAAGGTCCAAACATGATGCATTGGAACAAAAGCTCGGAAGTGAGTCAGTGTGGTGAAATGACTTGAAAATCAAATCAAAAGTGACTGCTAAAACATGCTGAAAATTCAAAGTTGTGGGGGCTTTGAATTGACAATTGAAGTAGTCTGAGCCTACAACTTACTGCTTGGGTTCCGAACAGTTTCTCCATCAACTTATCCTTTTCCTTCTGCTCCTCGGCACTGAGGTCTGCTTGCGTGTCCCTCTCCAGGTTAGTGGCCACGCCCTCCAAGATGGTTTCTCGACACTGTAGGTACACCTGGACACCATCTCTCCTGCACAGCTCACCCAGCAGCTCACCTGAGGACACATCACAACAGGAATCCCACTATGTCAGCAAACATAGACTCTATCAGGCACTATGGTCTGACTTTGGGCCATCATTTTCACTATTGACAGGACGTTAGCCAGCTCTAAATTTCTAAGACTGATAATATATACGAATAAGACGAATTGACAATTCACAGATGGCCTGACAAGTTTCACAGTTATCACATAAAACATATTTTTGCTGCCACAAAGATGACAATTTTGCACTGAAATAAGGTGAAAACATTGTGTATGGGCAAAATCAGGACTATCTTTGATTTGAGATCCTCTCGAAACCACAGGTTCTCTACATGAGATACCTGAAGTCTATAAACAATCTGTTAACTGTTTAACATCATGTTTCTGTCTTCATTGAAGACCACAGGCTACTGTGTCAAGGTTACCTGTTTACTCGCTAGTGTACTAGCTTTGCTTACTAGTAACAACATCATCAGCAAGTTGATGTTGGCTACATATTTTGTACAAAAACCTTTCCCAGTACTTGACGTTACGTCTATAGAAGAACGCAGCACTACCACCAAAGGTTCCCTAACACTACCTCATGTACATGCACTTCCTTGCCCCTCATGCCGACTCACCGGCAGCGATTCTGACTCGTACTTCGTCGTCAGTGAGCAAAGCTACAGCTCTCTCCCTCGCCAACTCCGCAAACTCATTGGAACACAGGTCGTGTTTCAGCGCAAGCTTGGACCCCATCAGACTCCCATGTCGGCTCTCCCACGGCACTGCGGGGTCCCTCAGAACATTTCCTAACGCCTCCTCTACGATCTGTACTGCATCGGCTTCGTCATTGTCTTTCAAGAAGCTCTTCAGCTCCACCAAACCACGGTCTCTGTCCAGTTTTTTGGCACTACACAACGACTCCAGTATTTTCTGCGCCATGTTGGAGAACAGGTCAAATGGCCGTACCAAGACGATGAGAGAGCGGGGGTGTGATTTAAATATTTAGATACATTGTACTTATATTTCGTGAAATAGAATAGTACAGCATTCTGCTGTGTTTTATTTACTGGATAAGTTTTAAAATTTATTTGTCACATTTTATTCACTTTTTGTATATCTTTTGTAGTTAATTTTTTTTTCAATGAACCCACAACCTTGCATACTAAATGGTCTGTTCCAAACCTGTCACATCGTACCGTAGGTGGTGCCTTCGTTGCACCACACAGTTACAACGCAAGGAGGCGCGTTTGATTGGCCTGTATGAAGTAAATCTTGATGCAGATTTTTCGGTGGCAAAAATAAATGGCCAAGAAAGTATACAAAGATTGAGTATTATGACAGGCATATTCTTTATTTGTGCTAGAAAGGGCTTGCGTTACACAATCCTGGCTAGTCCTATAGAAGCGTAGACTGTCTATGCTGTTCATGCTGTGAATAAGATGAATAAGAACAATAACGTAACCATTCCACATGTTTTCTCCACTAGTAGGTTTTATCAAATGATCACCACTCGTAAAATTTAAAAGTCAGTGTCTAATAAGGATTGTCACGTGATCTATACAATGTTAGGCTCTTTTGTAATATAACAGTTCATATTCTATTGCATTGGTCTATTGTATGTGTGGCAAGTAATAGGATAAGTTACACTGCATAAAGAATGTCGACATGAAGGCCAAAGATCATTACACGGCAAATTTAGTCAGCGACCAAACGTTTAGTCCTGCTCTTTTGACGCCACTGAAAACTCCGGTCTTCAGGTGGCCCCAGTATGCTGCGGGTTACAGGAGTTAGCGTCGCTTCTGAGCGTCTGTAAATAAGCGGACATCACTATTAGGCCACACCAAGTAAATTTTATGGATGACGTCCGCGCGCGCATTGATTTTGGCCTGTTCCTAGAAAAAAAACAAGAAATTCCGCTTCCTGTAACTATGACCAAAGAGTCACGACAGTGCCGCAAATCGTTAGATTGACGTGAACCCCGTAACGCGAAATGGGTAAAGAGCACATATTGCACTGCTGACAGGAAAAATCCTGTCAGCAGTGCAATATTTTCTGCTACTGACAGGACGATCCTGTCAGCAGTGCAATATTTTCTGCTATTGACAGGACGATCCTGTCAGCAGTGCAATATTTTCTGCTATTGACAGGATCGTCCTGTCAGCAGTGCAATATTTTCTGCTATTGACAGGACGATCCTGTCAGCAGTGCAATATTTTCTGCTATTGACAGGACGATCCTGTCAATAGCCACAGGCTTGTTTCTGCAGGCCTGCAAAAAATGTGATGAAAGAAACAGGACAGGGCGATAACTGCTGTTCCACCTGATTCATTGCTTTTTTGATGATGAATAACTTCTTGCTTGTTACACTGTGTCACCTCATTCAATTTGTGTCCTAACATTTGTCGTCTCTTAGTTTTTTTCTAATCTAGGCATCTTGTTTTTCAGGGCCTTTCTTGTTTTTTTTTCGCCCTCTTGCATTAGATTTAGGGTCTCCAAAGGACGTCATCCATAAAATTTACTTGGTGTGGCCTAACCATGCCTATATCAGGGCTAGCCTCCTGTGCAGGCCTCCAGGCGGGTGGGAGTTTTGATACTGCGTTTGTCCGTGGCTGGTACAAACCTTCTCTGGGCGGCCGGTTGAAGGATGGCTGGCAAAAGAACACGTTAAGAATTCTACAAAACGCGGTATCAAAACTTCCACCCACCCGGAGGCCTGCACAGGAGCCCACTAGTATATCAGGGCCATCTAGTCCAACGCCTCTAACAGCGCCCCCTTGTGGTCGGCCACCCAAGTGTCGAAGTTTCTGACGGCCGGGTACAGCTGTCGGGTCAGCTCACCGCTACGCGCAGAAGCGTGGATTCGGCAGAACTTGAACCCGTTGCCGAGGTCCTCAGCTCCAGGAAAGCCCAGCTTACAGAACTGCTCTGCGGTCATCTGAGAACCAGAGTTATTGTTGAGTTTGTGTCACGTTGTGTGTGTATGTTTGTAAGGATCTACGAGTAATTTTCTGGTACGATCCGAATTCAAGAAGTTACGGAAGCCTTCCACTAGCCACACCTTGTAACAAAATATTACATATTTACTTCTGTTAGAATTCTAAGATTGATTTTGTATTCCTATTTTGTAGTTTGTTGTTGATCATACGAAACTCGCGGTACTTTTCGTCGGGTCAATAAAGCTTCACAATGGATAAAGCCGTCCCTCATCATTACCTCGGTCGCCTTAAACACCTTTGGCGCCAGGTGCTTGGACAGAATCTCTGCGTGTTGTTGGATGGTGAGTTTGTCCGCGCTGAAGCCCACAGACCGGCGCAGCCATTGGCCCCTGTTCTTGAAGATCGCCCTGATGGCGAAGCCCAGGTCAGCGACACTGCCGCCGTCCAGTGAAGCGCCCTCCATCGGATATCCTGGAATATTGCACCAACTACGTACGTTGCATAGAAATGGCATTTTCGAATCTGCATTGCGAAGTAAGTCGTTTTGACGCAATACCCACTGTGCTACCTAGTTTACTGTATAAAGACAATGCTGTGCTGACCCTCCTCTGTTTCTGAACCTACCAAGTTACGCAATTGAAATGTATCCGATTGGTTGACACATATTCCTAGTCTTCGTCCGCAAAATTGTAAGCATCAGTTACCTAGATGAGGTGGTCCATGAATTGTAAAAAGAAATCGTCTGCACGCAAATAATCGTCAAATGAAAAAAATGAATGGAAATGACTACTTATATAGTCGGAATTTCTTAAGTGTACAGTACCGATCTCATAAGTCCCATCCTCCAGTTTTAGTATCTTACGAGCCTTGAGATAGTTCTCGTAGAAGAAGGGGTACTTGACGAAAGTAACTGGGAGGTTGAGTGACGTCATGTACTCGTCTACCAGCGCTTTGGAGTCGAAGTGCTGACAGGGGAAGCCGGCAATCTTCTGGACGTGTTCGAGGGTGCTGAACACCACGTGTTGTACGTCGGCTGATTTTGCTGCATCCGCGACCGCTTTACCCTGTCAGCGAAGGACCAAATCATCACGGAACAGAATATCATAGTTAGGAGCATTATTCTACTGAGCTAACTTTCTTGGTGTCGAGCACAAACACTAACCTACCTGCATGACTGCCCGATGAAAGTCTCGATGTTCCCAGTAGTTGATCACCACAAATGCTCCGTATGCGCCCTGTGTGGGGGAAAATGTGGGTACAGATATTTAGTTTGGTTTTGCATGTAAACATGGCTAAGAATTCAATCAAGACACACACATTGTTAAGGTTTTATGTTGTAAAAGGATCTGAATTGATGTGACTCTTTACATTTTCTGGTAGCCTTACCTGCATTGCCGGTCCCAGTGTTCCGGGGTCATCATAATTGGCCTGAACGACATCAGCACCTCTCTCCTGAAGTGCCCTGGCCTCGTCGCTAGAGGCGTTTCTAGTCACCACTCGAACTTCGAAATCTGTGTCCTCCAGAAGGGCATTGGCCACTCCACCTCCTTGCGCCCCTGTGCAGGTCACAGGGTACCGGTGTTGTTTTCAAAGGTTGTATCACTATACTGGTGCGGGGTAACGTGATCTAATTTTTGGACGTCAGGGGGTATAAAATAACTCCTTAACTCCACACTAACTTCTCAAAGCAGATACTATGGTGGCAAGACAGTTTGTCAATTAGCCACCGAGGTGGTAACTGTGTGGCAAATGAAAACCGTTTGCCTATTTTCATACTTTCTTTGCAGCCATGAAAGATCTGCACGTCTGACTAAGAACGTATCGTACGACTCCTATAATCGGTGAGGGGGAGGGGGGGTACAGCCGTTTCTGAGCAGAAATCCCCATATATGAAATGACACACAAGACACTATCTTAGCACATATACCCAAGTTTCCTCCTGGTTTACAACATCCGTGTTAGAGATATGTCGGGTATAAAACTGTCCCTTTGTTGTCAAGCCAGGGGGACGGGATATGGTGTCGGAAAAAACATTGGTAACTCCTCAAAAACACAAACTACAGAGACAGAAAAAAAACGACCGTACCCCTTTCACATATATAGCCAACCTCACACAAGAAACGCACCTGTTTGCAGTTTACAGCTGCAGCCTACAAGTACGTACTTCATTTTGCAAAACATGCGGGAACTCACCTGTTGCGCCGAAAACAGCGATAACTTTAGTCATGTTTTCTCTATTTTGCCGCCCCGTTTCCTTGTAACGATAATTGTTTTCAGGCTAGGGTCATACCCGCTTTGGAACCTGTCAATTCTATCGGGTCAAAAGGTACGTTGCATACCATTGTATCATGTGTCATGGCCAGGGGCACATACAGCTAGGGGCGCATCCTGGGTTATTGCCTTCGTCAGAAGAGTATAAAAGCAGCCTGCTTTAGTGTGGGTGACTGTGGATTTAACGGCATAACTCTTGATGGCATTGATCGATATTCGTGATTTTTGACGGGCAGGTTACCGTTGTGGAGACCAAGGTCAAGTGAAAAAATGGGTTTCGTGGGGGGTCCCTATACGTCAATGCAGTGGACCTTTTTGTTTGTCGCTTGTTGGAAGAATACCTCGAGTATATGTAAATGGATCATGTATGAATATGTTCATAACGTTTCGTAGGAAGGTTACCGTTGTAGAGACCAAGGTCAAGTTCGAGAACGGGCCGCGTGGAAGTTCCCTACATTAATTAAGTGTACCTTTTGTGTTTGTTAGTTTAGTTTGTCAGCAGTTCAAGTTCTGGAAGAGCAATATATTGTCTGGATCGTATGGTGAATAGGTTTTGGGGCATAGATGATGTGGTCTAAGTTTGGTGGCTTGTGGGGAAGTGGGCTTTTTTGTGTAAAAAAAAATTGAAGGGGAAATGGATGTGTTTTATCTTGGTTAATGACCTTCTTGCCAACACAGACCCGGTGTAATGACCTCCAGGTTACCTCGTAACCATCACACAGGACAGCGTACAAAGATCAAAGAGCTTTTATGTCGTATTCTTTTTTGACATGTGCTGGAAAGGACTTGCTTGACACGATCCTGAATATTTCTGTAGAAACACAGACTGTCTATACTGTTCATAATGTAAATAAGAACATGCCAGCAGTCCGTCTGGATGCATATGTAGAGTTCTGAGATGGTGTGTCCCGTATGATTCCTATTGTAGTCGGTGTGACCAGCCTAAACGTTTAGTCAGCACTTAGTCTATTAGGATTAGCATCATAGGCTATGTAGTCTACTGCTGTATCCAGTGTGTTATGTAGCAATGCAGTTAACAGGTACTTGGTACAGAGCCTACTGTTTCTTCTTGAACTTGAAGTACATACTTGTAAAGAGGTAGATAGGTCCATTTTTCAACTTTGTTTATGTTACCATGCATTTGATTAAGCTGGTTTCATGGTTGCAAATAAATGTTCTTTTTGAATCTCAGATGTGCAATTGTCCATTACTTTGGTGTGGTTGCAGAACCCGAGCAAAATATTGAAACATTATGATTCATAGCTTATCAGAAACAAAACTGCTTTTTCGTCTTTAGGAACGCACCTGTATGTGACGTTATCTACCAAGCAAGTTTTTTTTTTCTTTCAGACAGGGTTTGACTTGTCAATATTGGATACCTCAAAGTAACAGTGACCATTTTTATTGCTGCCTAAGAAAAACCTTGTCCCACAACTTCGACATTGTTGGACATGTCTTCATCCGTACGATTTGTTAAGTCCCCATCCTCTTATTTTCTCACAACTCTTGTGTCTGTAAGCTATGCAGTAGGAAAGAGTCACGGGAACTTGTGAAGGTATGACTTTTTGTCTGGTTCAAATGTCAGCATGTGTCACCTTTCAAGCATATCTAAGCATTCGGCCTTTAGACCACAGCATGTAAGTTGTATGGATGACATCCACGCGTGCATTAATTTTCACCTAATTAAAAAAAAGGGTTTTGTTTGGGTCTGGTTGAAGAGGTGACGCTGTGCTAGCACTCTCTGATTTAAATTCTGGAGAAGATGCCATTGTGTGTGTTTGTCACCAAGTGTGTGTGTGCACGTGTGTGTGTGCACGTGTGTGTGTGCGCGCGCGCGTGTGTGTGCGTGCTAAGGCATTTTCAATATTTTGCAGCCAAACGGATTACATCATTGGCTCACATTATTTGTCTCAGCGTGGGCGTGTTTGTTACCCAGTGTACATGAGTTGCTTCCATCTCAGGCTTCTGATGTTGAGATGTAAGGCTTCATATATTCCTTTGAGTCTGGTGCCTCGCTACAGTCGGTAAGCACCGTGCCTGGTATAGGACGTGTTTTCCTGTCCAGAAACCTGACAATTGGCGGCATCATGTCGGAAGGGCAGCAGCAGGCCCAGGCTGGTGACACTGTTGATGGTATGTTTAACACTTTGTGATTTTCGGAAGATATTCTTTGCGTTTCCTTCTCATCTTCAAGCGAAACAAGTAAGCCCAGTGGCTGCAAATAGGCTTGTGACACAAGCAGGCGGTGGTTTGTCGTTTTTTGTTTGTTTTGTTTGTTTCACATAACTGGTAAACCACCTTTAGGCATAACACACCAGTTTTGTACATGTAAGTACAAGCTGCGTAAGACCGGACTGTCAGGTTTGAACCACTCACACTTACTTTCTTTTTCGTACGGGACCTCCATTTAACGTTCCATCCTAGGGACGTCCCTAACCGAAGCTAGGTACTCATTTACACCCGAATGAAGTGAGGAGAGTCGTGTATAAAGTGCCTTTCCCAAGGGCACAAGATCGGGCAGGATTTGTACCCGGGACCTCCTGGGTCTGAGCTGAACACTACCTCGTTTTTTGTCTTCAGCATGGTAGCGCTTCCTTTCCTTTTCAAACACAATCGGACAAGGAGGATATGCGGCTTTTCGTATAACGATGCCACGATAGTTTGCAAAATGAAGTCCGACTGAGATTTGAGAGAATCCCCGTGTTACCATTTTTTTGTTCGTGTGACGTAACGACAGAGCATTCAGCTCAGAACCAAGAGGTCCCGAGTTCGAATCCTGCCTAGCCTTAACTGGCACGGTGTAACTGGGCTAGAGCTCCTGGCGGCCGCCGTCCGAAGGTTGCCGCCCAGTCATACCTCCGGCCGAGAGCTTGTGTTTCACAGGCTAGAATCCACCGATCTTGTGCCCTGGGAAAGGCACTTTAGACGAATTTCCTCACCTCAACCAGGTGAAAAGGAGTATGTCTGTTGTCCGTTCATGTGTTTGTCTGCGTTTGTGGTGGCATAAAAATAAGTTGAAAAACCTAGCGTCCACCAGGCCTTTCTACGGGAATACGGATCGTAGAATTCGGCAAAATTAAAAGGATAGTAAAATTGGCCAGGGGAGTCCGGCCGCGGAAGGTTGTTTCTTTCCCTCAACTGCGCGGCCAAAGGCGGCCAAACTCCCCTGGCAAATATTCTCCTATATATAGCCAGCGTAGTTAGTCTGGTAGAGAGCACTTAAAAGTGCGCCGTCGCCATGTCTTGTAATAAATGTCGGAATAGAAAAAAAATGTTTGTTACCAACGTTATCAATATGCTTTGCTCCTTGAGGATTTGCTCTGTGTTTCACTGATTTGAATTTTGAATTGTTGTCATTGTGATTTCCTGTTGGTAAGTGTAAAAGTCCTAGCATTTTTATTTTTAAAGATGACTCTGTCTACGTTTATGTAATTTTCCTGGAGGCACCACACCCACGCAGGAGCCTGAGACTGACTGTTTTCCCAACCCTATATACACCTCCGGAGCAGGTAAATCGTTTTCACTTCCAGCGTCCTGCTCTTATCTTATTACTTTGTGTTCCTCGCTTTGGTTTCAAATCGACTGTTGTATTTACTAGAAACCTTTTTTCTAGCGCCATCTTAAATCTCAACACGTCGTCACCAACATGGGCAGTGTGCAGTTGTATTAGGAAGTTTTAAGACATAGGGAATCGATTTGGCAACTCAATTTTAAGGCACAAGTCGTGAACTAGTCTTCTTTTTTTATGATCTCTTACTGTGTTCTACAAATGACAAGGGAAAAGTACAGTCTTTCGCTCAAATCTTTGCTCTTATCTTATTACTTTGTGTTCCTCGCTTTGGTTTCAAATCGACTGTTGTATTTACTAGAAACCTTTTTCTAGCGCCATCTTAAATCTCAATACGTCGCCACCAACATGGGCAGTGTGCAGTTGTATTAGGAAGTTTTAAGACATAGGGAATCGATTTGGCAATTCAATTTTAAGGCACAAGTCGTGAACTAGTCTTCTTTTTTTATGATCTCTTACTGTGTTCTACAAATGACAGGGAAAAGTACAGTCTTTCGCTCAAAAAAACCCTACGGCTATGGCAATAAAGATGTATTGTAAAAGGCAGTACTAATGAAGGATTTCAAACACTGTATTTTTCCCGCTTTTTTCCGCTTTTGTTGGAGCGGGAAACCTCTCCGTGGCAAAACTCCCTCGGCGGCAAAATCGTTCCTAACGTTAACTCGCGTCGCTCACCGACAAAATAATGCCACCGCCCAACAGGTCTGCGAAGGAGGCTAGTCCCGACCATTCTTCAGTTGAGTTGCAGAAAAATAAGTTGGTAATTTTTTTCCAGGCCCAGAACCCATGCCGGAGCCTGAGACCATTGCTGAGACTGATTGTCTCCCCGATCCTACGTACGCCCCCGGAGCAGGTAAAACATTTTCATGTCAGATGGCGGCGTGCTGTTCTTGTCTTGCGTTTGTTGTTCTCGCTTTGGTCTTAAGCCGACAGTTGTAGAGGGGAAATTGTTTTCTAATGCACAACGTCGGCACAATCTTCTCCTTTCCCTTTGTATACGTATTTCACTTTACATCAGCGTTCATATTTTCAAGCACATGTATAAAGGGAGATCAACACACCAAAAACTTAAAAAGACATAGAAGAACATATGAGAAGATGAGTTTTTTTCTCATCTCACCGGAAGTAATTTTTCGTAGGAAAAAATGACAAATTTCAAGCAATGTTGAAACGTTGTGAAATGGAGCAATATTGAAACATTTCATGCCTTATATGATTTTCATGTCTTATACCCAAAGCAGCCGCAAAACGGAAGACAGCGTCCCTGGTCGTGAGCCGAGGTATGAAGTTGTTGCACGTCTTACGTCCTGTGTTCGTCGTGGTCATAGCTGTGCTATCGTCATATCTTGCAGGTAAGTTCCATTTTGTCCTATAATGAATATATGGCTTCGCCGGTCACTGACCTCAAGATGGGGTAAGCTGAGTTTATTTGTATCAGAGAAGTATCCCTCTGTTTTTATCTCCCGGCAATGTGTGCCTGCAGGTAATGTATCTTCCAGCGAATTAGAAATTTCCTGGGGGTATGAGATCTTTGAAGTCTTGTTTTTGTTCATACAGTCCGATTCACTACTTTCGGTGAAGTGGAAAAGTTGTTCGAGGAGGTTGGCAAGCTGCAGGCACGTTTGCATCAGCTGGAACGTGAGTAGGTTGCAAATAGAGTTCCACGACCCCATGCCTTCGACAAATGACACAACCTTTGCGACTGTTCAGTCGATCAAATTCTGTACCCAATGGCAGTCTTATCTTAAGTTAAGAAAGAAAGTCATTCTATCATTTCAGAGAAATTTGGTACATAGTTTCAACAAAAGAATGTACATGGCAGTTCTGTGGTATGAAGGTTTCCTTGTTATCATACATCAAATTGCTTCTTATAAATGAACATCTATCAACCAAAAATAAGTCCACAGTCTTCCACACTAAAGCCGACTGATTTATAACCTGTGACGAAGGCAATAATAAGATCACAGAATACACAAATTCATGTAACAGGACATTTTGCTTTTTATAGGAGTGTGCCGAATTCCTCGGCCTAAGGTGATACGCCGCAGGTACACCTCGGTCTTGTATCTTTTCAGGAGACAAAGCAGGAGAGGCTCTGGCTTTCCGGCCTCCTGGGCCTCCCGGACCTCCGGGAGAAAAGGGAGCCATGGGACCAACTGGTCCTGTGTCTGCCGGGCCTCCTGGACTTCCGGGAGAAAAGGGGCCCAGGGGGCCTGCTGGAACTGGGTCCACAGGGCCTGCTGGACCTCCGGGAGAAAAGGGAGCCAGGGGGCTGCCTGGAACTGGGTCTGCCGGGCCTCCTGGGCCTACAGGAGAAAAGGGGTCCGGGGGGCCGGCTGGATCTGATGGAAAGAATGGGCCACCCGGACCACGTGGACCCCGAGGGCTAAAGGGACCCGTCGGGCCGCCTGGTCCAGCCGGTATGTCAGCGTGTCCAAGTTCTACCGGACCGACTGAACGTACAGGTGATAAACATATTCCATCACATGCCGAAAGTCGACTGTGTAATCATTCATATGCATGTTTGACATCGATCTTTGATCGTGATTTTTATATTTGTTTTTAGGAGTTTTCAAAGTTGAACACACAGGATGCAAAATGCTTATTACGTAAAAAGCGCAAATAATAACACTTGGTGTGAAAATACAAATCTTCTTTCTTCTTGTGTATTAATGCAGATCTTTCTTTTAGCATCCTGTCCCAAAGGTTACACAAGAAAGGATGAAGTCTGCTTCAAAGTCTTCAAGAAACAAAAGAACTTCGACGAAGCGACCGCGGCCTGTCGTAAAAATGGCGGCACCCTCGCCATACCCCGAGACGCTGAGACCAACGATTTCCTGGTCCGCTTATACAAGCCTGTGTCCGATTTTGGCTTCTGGATCGGCCTGCACAGGAAACAGGGCGGTTTTGAGTGGGTGGATGGTTCTGCTCTGGGGTTCACCTCCTGGGCTCCAAGAGAACCGGGAGATGGCTTTTGTGCTTACTACGCCAAGTCCAAGGGCTGGAAAGGCAAGTGGGGCACCGTGCCATGTGACAGCTACTCTATGCCGTTCATCTGTCAAGTCATTCTAGGTTCGTATACCTACCATTGACTACCATCGACTGAAATCATTCTGAAAGTACAGTTTTAACCAATTATCTTTCATAACCTTGACTAATTTCATCATATCATTATGATCGTTGTTGCTGTAAAACGTGTTGAAATGCATTAGTCTACTCCTTCTAAACTCGTTATCCCTCGCTAACTCGTCCACAGGACCCGCTGACTCGTAAACCTCATCGGTGTGAAACTTCGAGTCGAAGCTGGAGTCTGGCCAATGGTCTAAAGAAGTATCTGCTTTTGATGTTCTGCTGAACTTTGTATTATAACTGAGAAAAAGTTAGCTGTTTTATCTTAGCCAACCGTAAATGTTGATGTCTAAGCATGGAGGTAGTAGACCTCCATGGTCTAAGGGATTTCTTCACTTGCCTTATTCTTACGATGGTTATTTTTAGCAAAGTGACAGAGATGTGTAGGCCTGGCGGCTGCCGGCCAATTCATGTACTGGTATGTCTTTAAAGAACATCAGGAATATCTTAGTGATTTTTTTTATTCCAATCCAACATGTAATCACAAGACGTGACGATGGCACACTCAAGTTTTTTTTCAACTTATTTTCATGCCACCTCCAACACAGAGGACAATACAGTACTTATTTTCACCTTTATGGTAATTTGATTAGAGGTGTTGGTTATTACAAAAAAGGTACTCAGTAGTCCAACACATTTGGTGAAATAACTAGACAGCAGAGGGGCCCTGTATGTTGTATTGTGCCCTGTTATCATGCGGCTTATATTATGTGGTGTAGGAAATTTCAACCGACGTCCAGAGACGTACATGATTATAACAAGAATCGTAAGGCGCTTTGCTTTATCTTTAACTAATAAAAAAACCACAAAGAGAACATTGCACATACATGTATTGAAATATCGAATTAATTATTGTGTACGAACACCATGTGTATACATGATTCGTAGTCAGAGGCGGCGCCACCGGTGAGAGGGGAGGTCTATCTTGATGACCGAATTTACGATTTCCGAATAGTCTCCACCAGACTTCTTTGCAGGCTGAATAAATAGTAGCAATCGGCCTAAGAAGAATTAAGCTGGCCAATGGGAATTAGCCGGCCATAGAGAGTGGCCTCTATGGCCAGATAACTCCCCTAGGTCAGCTACATTCCTTTTTAGTCTGATTTCTACTATCTATTCAGCATGCAAAGGTGTCTGATGGAGAAGTTCCGAAGGCGCGACAAACCTTTGGGGGGCATGCTCCCACCGGAATTGTTTGAAATCTTACTGCTGTATAAACGCTATTTCCTTCGTTTTGATGAGCAAATTTTGCCAGTAGAACAATCTAACCGAACGTTGTGTGGTAATGGACTGTGTGAAAGTAGTAGTGACAGTATTGACAGTAGTGACGAGTTTTGAGTTCCAATTCTGTATGATAATCACCATCAACGAAACTGTAATGGCCTCTAGTGTACTGACCGTCAACATGTGACAAAATGATTTCCTGGTGGAATGTGAACCGATGTGAACAAGAGTTTTGGAAACTAATGAATTCAGAATTGATGTTTGTATGGAAGCTCTTCACGTTTTCTTGCGTGCACTGGCCATGGATTCTTGTAGCCGGTTCTTACGTTTTTAAAAAAAAGTGGGCAGTGGTTTATTTTAGGGGGAGAGATGTAAATTCAGGCGGCCCGAGTGATACCTTTAATACATGTGCTGCGGCTACCCACCCCTCCCCGGGCTATGCGCTCTCCGGCAAGCGCATCCGCACCCCAGCCCCCCCTATGGCCTTTTGTACCCCCCTGCCCTATATGGCAGCACCCCCCCCCCCCGAAAGAAACTAGCGTGCGCTGTTGACAAAAACAAACACTTGCCGCAAGAAAGTCTACACAGGAGACTAGAAACATAACAGATCCAGAACACCAGATATGAACAGTATGTAAACGGTTCTGCTGCAGTTCCAATGAAAGTCGCGAGGATGATCATAAACTAATCACAAAGACGGTCAGTCAAGACCAAGGAGGTTCCTTTACCAAGACCTATTCACTTCTCAGTAAGTTAGTCTGACAATTGACACACACAAACACCAACGATAGCTATCGAACATATAACTGCAGGTATTAAGGTATATATTTTTTTTAAGTTTCATGTGTTTTGCTGTCGACAAGTCATACTTTTACATCATGAATCACAAAAAGTCATAGATCATACACTTTTTTTTGTCCTTAAACGGTCGCCATGCCATGGAAATGGGGCGTAAGAAAGAAGGCATAAAATCTTAAGACAAATTCCCAGGGTGCAGATAACTGAAAAAGTGTGTTTGCGGTCTCAGGACATTTGTTTCATTTTAATCCCAGTAACGTTAGTCGGACTATTATATCGTGTCAAATGTATTTGATGTACATTTATCTATTCATGACATCGATGTGCATACATGTTCAGTAGTTGGGAATATATATCTTCATTCCCTTGGAAATGTTGGCCCTCCAGGTTTTGCGAACATAACGGGTTAAAATACACCATTGAAGGCATTAAACGTTATGTCTGACGGCTCTGACCCCCTTAATAGTAGATTGAATGTAACGTTAGTCTTCGCTGCCATGTAACGTTACATGCTTTCATACATCAAATTCAAAACCATAGAAAGACATACGTTGACTGACATTCTGCCCATCAAAAGAGCGGACAGAAAAAACACGCCGGAAAAGGCGCAGAACTGGTTCTCCCCTAATGAGATTAATTTATTAATATAGGATGACGTCATGTTTAGAATGGCCGTCCCATCATGCCTTGTGGTCCTGAGAAGAATTCGGTCGGCCATCTTTCCTCTAGCATCGGCCTTCTGAAAGGAAGGCGCAGAAAAGACACGGGATAGTCCCGTATTTTACCGAGTCGTGGGGTTTGGAACCGAGAAATCTGTGCAAGAAGACCAGTCGCTCCTATGCTGTCGATCTAACGCCCTTTCGTGAGGTAAACCACGCCGGAACACGACGCCGATGCTAGGCAGAGAATCACTCCAGGGGTCTGTTATCAATATTTCTGTGTCGGGGAGAGGGCACTACCTCGATCAACACCAGGGGATGCCGTATATCTAGTCTCTCAAACTTGGTGTGAAAATCTCCAGGAAGAACAATCTGCCGCCATGGCGCTTGATCAGGTCGCAGAGGAGCGCCTTCGTCGGCTGGAAGACTTATTCAGTAACGGACCCAAAGAAGGAGAGTCACTTTCAATCGAATCTCTGCTGGATATACTGCTGGTTCTGTACGACGAGTGTTGCGGGTCCACACTGCGCCGAGAGAAGAGCGTCTCCGAGTTCGTGGAATGGGGTAAGTTTGGTGGTTTGTGGGTCACCCTGCGTCGTGCTAAGCTCGTCAATCCCCGGGGAATAGATCGCCCTGTAGTCTGACCTGTACTCCCCGGGGCACCCTCCGACTCCGAGGGACTTGACGATGGTATACTGACTGCATAGGTATCCGGTAATTACTGGGTTGAACACACCCTACCGATAAAACTCAGCTTTGGGCTGTGCACAGATCCAGCCTTTATATACACCCTCAAAGTTACCAACTGTCCCATAATTTCACTCCGGCCAGAGTGTACAGACAAAGAACCTACAGACTTTCTAACGTTTTGGGCTGGATGAGATACTTGAGCGTTTTGAAGCTGGTGCAAATGTTTCTGAGAAGTCGTCACCTTATTTTGTGATTGTATATGTAGTAGTTGTGCATTCTTGCCCCACCGGTATGATAGTTATTTACAGTCCTATTATAGAATACTAGCATTGGCTGTGCTTTAGCTTATTTAAGGTATCATTTTGGCTCATAAATTGTAGTAAACTATGTCATAGTGATTAAAAGTCAACGTTGGGGGAACTAGGGCATAACAGATGTAGCTGAGTGATTTTATTTGTCACCTAGACAGGGCGGAAGTTGCAGTGTCCAAAGAAGACAGGATGTTCAGGTTATTACTGCCACATACATTACAACATGAAAAGTTGTCCGTAGTTGACCTATCTCAGTATCTGTACCATACAGATCACACTTGGTGTTGTTATATCTGTCATCTGTCTGCTCTAGAAAAGTAAAGTGTCCAGTATTCAGTCACTGTCCCTGCTCAGGACCTAGCCAGATGACTAGTGCTTGGTCACAGGGTCAAGTCAACGGCAAAAGCCTGCCGGCCAGTTGACATTAGGTGATACATAACGAGTATGACTTGATATGTAATTTGTGCCTGTGACATCACGACAATGTGTACGCTGCACAACACTGTTCATGCCAGCTTATTTTATGGTAAGGGCTCAATCACTGTCCAAAATGGCAGACTAGTAGGCCATGCTGTGGTGGTCACCTCTATTTATTTGGTACCGTAAGAAATTATGGGAAAGTGTTTATGTTTCATAAATTTGAATCAGTCAAAGGAGGGGTTCACCCATTGGAGTGATTGTTACCTTGAATGATGGTAAATGTTCTGTAAATGAAACACAGGCCCACTTCACACACCAGAGTTTTCTTGATATCTGCTGACCTGATATTGGGACAGCTTTACACATGCTGCCAAGAGGTATCACCGGACACAAAATTTGGTGTATCTAAACAAAAGTGTAACGGCGTTAATTCCAACATTAAAATTCGGTGTTTGAAGTTTCGAAGGGGGCGCAAAACGCTTTCGAATTACTGTCTGGAACATTTGGAAGCCCAGGCCGTACCTTTAAAGTTTAAGAACCAGGGCCGTTACGTACCGCTAGTTATCACATGGACCAGAACACCCGGAACGAATGTTATCGCGGCCCAGGTATGACATTGTCATAGATACATAAAACCTGCATACGCCGCCCAAAGTATCCAGTACATAGACTTATGCAGGTTAACCATCTCCTGTAACCAATACAATTAGGAATAGCCTATGCTGCTAATGAAGGTGACATCACAAAATACCAACGTAGCTCCAGTTTTACTTGCACTTATCTGCATATGCATGGGGTATCACTATCAGGTGGTATTTCAAACCCTGTCTGAGTTTCAGTATTGCTGTTTCAGTTTCTTTACATGCAGAGTTACATGCAGAGGCATTGTACTCAAAGCAGAAATGGACCCGACCCCCTAACTTAACCCCCCCACACACACGCACCACCATCCCCTTTCTGTTATGCCAGCATTTACTGTTACAAGGTAATGCTGAAGAAGAAGGCAGCAATGGACCACTGTGCTAATTCTGAGAATCAGAGAAGAAATCTATGAATACAACATTTTCCTTGGGAGTAATTCTATCAGTTCCCATGTGGACGGTAATCTGGTAATCTGTATTTGCCAATGCTGTCTCTGATGAGGTGTTGCTATCTCTACAAGTGATGGACGGCATCCAAATGATGAAAGCTCCTGAAGATAATGATGATTCTGTCAACAGTTCAGGCTGTAGAATTGATTTTTTCTGCTGCTGTCCCTAAAGTGTCGATCATGGAAACTCTCTCATCATCAGATCATATCGGTAATATCAATTTGTGAAGTATTAAGAACTCACAGTACAACATATTTTTGCACTACTGACTGTCCAGTGTGTATCCCTGCATAGGCCACAGAAGTGGAGGTACTGCTGGAATGATGTTCTGTAAATTTGTGTATTTTGCAGTGGTTTATTTCACACAATGATTGAACAAGGGGTTTTTGCATTGTTTAAATTAGCAGTTGAAGCAGTTCTTTAGCACAGGAGTCGAATATATCGGAAACACATATTCACGCTGTCGAACTGGAAAAATGAAACCACCACAAAAGTTCCCAGGTTTCCAGTGTGTCTGGTCTGCCCACACATTCCATGCAGCAGAGCTGGGAAGTGTTGACCCAGATGTGGAGACAGGTGGAGGCAAAGGTCACCAAGAAAAGCCCTGCCAACTCCCAGAAGGGACCCTCTTTGAACTTGGAAGTTAACATTGTCTTAGCAAGACTCAGTTCAATACTTTTTCATGTCCTTCTGTGTTCAAGGTTAGAAAATGTTGTATTTCAGTATGCATAATGGGAATAATAAAAGTGAAAGTGCACAACTACAGTACTGTCAGTCTGTCTTAAAATGAAAGTACACGTCCAGCTGTTACCCTTAAGTATTGTACTGTAAAAAAAGACTGTTCACTACATTGGAATGAATTAGGCAGTGCAGTTTTATTTCATTTTCAGTATCGTTCATGTCAGTATTTGCATGTACATAGTTCATTATATGTACATATACAAAGACCGACCCTTCAAAAAGCTCAGTTAGTTTATAAAAGTACTACAGTAGATGCCTTGGATTTCTTTTTGACAGTTCTGTTTAGATAGCAAGGTTTTCTCTACCTAGGTGAAAAGCACAATTTGATACCTTGGAATAAATGCCTGCACGTACACTGAGTTTATCTCCAGGATAACAGAGTGTTGATTCCGTGACAAAATTTTCTTGTAAGATTGAGAAATATTGAGAATACGTAATTGGCAAGTACTGGTTCAACCAATAAGACAGTGGCTGCATGTCCATCAAATATTTGCATTTCTGTTTTTTTAATTTTCACTTCTATGTTTTGGAGGTAGGCAAGGCTATGGGATTGGTCGTGTGAGGAAGGTAAACTAAATTTTGGTCAGTGGCAGATTATACATGTACATGTAGACATCACTGTCTTTGTGACAGTAAATGAGTGAAAGAAGATGAGCAGTACTCATTTGTAAGACACTAATCACCCTGTCCCAGATATGGCATCCTCACAGAACAAACAGACAAGATGGAGAGTGTTAACAGGTCTTGCAAGGTTCTGACATATAGGAGTCAGAGGTTAGGGTCATCTTCACATAATGGTGCCAACTGTATCTGGATGTATATACTGCAGACTAATGGGACTAGTGACATTTTGCATTGTTATATACTTATATTATAACTCACATTGTAATGGAGTGTTTTTCAGCATTGCCATAAAAATATTACAGGGCTTGTGACTCATGTGCCACCTACATTTTCAAGTTAGTACAGATGAAATTATACGTAATGTCTACCTGCATGTAACCCAAGGTAGAATGAGCCTGTAACATTAGGGTGACATGGTAGGTCAGTATTCTGTACATCTTGTACCTTTGACCAGTCTCCTTTTCCTCTAAAACAAAAACGAATGTTTTTATGCTAGATTCCTGAAGGTGATTACTATTACAGTCATCAACTTGATCAAGAACCATTACTTTAAATTAGTTTAATAGCAAGACTTACTAACATCCAGCTGTTTGACCTATTTCTTTTATGGTGTTTTAATCATTTCTTATTGATGTGTTACACATTTTTTTTAGAAATTGACTATTTTTGTTACCTGTTGTATCAGGAATGATAAGGTGTCCTCACCATAAATGTATTCTTGTCAGTGCTGACTTCTAATTTACTAAGATTTTAACTCAAGTCAAAATGTTTCAAAAATGCTTTTGAGGAGGCTTGTACTTGTAAAAGCATTGCCAAGCACCATGTTTGATTTGACCAACAAAATGGCAGATGTGCCTAGCAGCAGGCTTTTACCTGTCAATCAGTTTTGAATAATTTTTGGCTGTTGAATTATATACCTGCAGTGCTGTATACACCTGCTGTGGACAGGCTCTGTATTTAGGTCACCTGAAACTTGGCAGATCTGTGTTTGTGTATGTTAGTAGCCAGCCTATCAGAAGGGAGACCTGGGTTCCATTCCTGGAGAAAGATATCTTGGTATTAGTAGTCTTTGTTTACTTGTGCTTTACCCCATTTCTTTGTTATAGACAGCACAATTGTGCATACAGTATTTCAGGGCTCCAAATACTGGGTGCATGTACACCTTGGTACACCCAAATTTAAAACTGTCCACCCAAATATATTCGTAGGTTTATGCATGTAAAGTCTGATGTCAAATGTATAGTAGTATACGGCATATTCTCACATCCAGGTGTCAGAAAAATAACAAAATCATTATCATTTTTATAGTACTTTTCTTCAGAAATATTCAAATAAAACAAAATTAGTTTTTGTTGGCATTCTACTTATTTTATTTTTTATGTAGCACCCAAGAAATTTTTTGTATACCCAATTTTTCAGGTTGGGTGCACCAGTCCAGTGCACCTATTCCCAAAAATGAATTTCGAGCCCTGGTATTTTGTGATTCAGTAATTTGAGTCAAGTTGAAGTAAATTACTGTCCACCCCCCAAGTTGAGGCATATTGCAGACCACAATTGACAGGTCCCCATTTGAAGTGTGCATGTCATATTTTGATATGAGACTTCCTAGTAGTTCCTACTCGTCTAGAGAGTAGCCTGGCAAATAAATATTGACATGATCAATCAATCAAATGGTTTATTTGTGAAAACAAAACAAGACCTTGTAGCCATTGGCTAAATTGTGTCTTGCTGTACAACATGATGCAAGATAGATATCAGATTTTCTCAAAGGCATCTGTTCTGGTACTAGTGACAATTTGAATGTCTTCATTTCTGTTGAAATCACAGCTAAAAGTATGTTATTCCTATAACTTTCTGCGTCATGCCATACGGAACCATGCATGTTGTCCAAATCCTAAGTAGTTGTTATTTTAGCAGGCAGCATACATGATGTGTACATGTACATGTAAATAGTGTGCATTCAAAAACATGTGTTGTAACAATTACCCATTGTACAATAGTTCCTTCTTGCAGGAACCAGCAAAAAAGGTTGTACTTGCCACCTGTGATGTCAGGTGATGCAAAATGTTCCACAAAGTAAAACTATTGGAAGAGGTACAGCTCTTCTGCAGCAGATGATATTCATGGTAGTTTACTGGCACCTTGCTAAATTTGTACAGTCATGAACACCTAAAAGGTGTACTGTAAAGTTTTCATTCAACAATATCAGCAATGTAGACCTGAATGTCAAACCTAAAAAGTTAAGGTTTTTTTTCAGCTTTATCGGTAAGGTTCAAATGTTCTCTGCAAATTGTAGGTTGCAGGTGGGCATTTTGAGCCTCAAGCATTGATTTTCACAAGGGAGGCAAAGAGAGACATTTCGAGAATACTCACGTTGAACAAATACCACGCCAGGAGGTAAAAAAAAGCAGAAATGCTAGAATTTAAAAGCAGAGTTCTAGATCTACTGATCAAAATTCCTGTTCTTCCTGAAGCTCATTGGAATTCTGGTCATGTATGTAGTTAAGTGTGGGCAGGTGTGTGCTCTGTGTATCTATCCCAATCTATTACCTCCTGAATTCCTAACCACAGACATGTTGTTTTGAAAAGAGACGCTGGTATCAACCACAAATAGCAATACCCTATCATATCTGGTATCTTTCCTGGGATTGTAAAATGTGTTTGCCAAATATTGTAAATCGTTTTACATGTAACTTGTAAGTTCTCTAGGACTTAATTTTACAGAAGGGGGAAAGGAGGTGTTTTAGGTGTTTACGGTTAAAATAATGCAGTAGAATGTGTGTCTAAAATTTGTCAGAATTAACTTGTGTGAAGAAGTGCACTGGTGCACCTAACCTAAAGATTTAGATGCCCATGAAAAACTTAAGCATGATATGAGCAAAATGTACCATAATTACAAATCTTACTTCCTCTCCTCAGAGATTGAATCTGAAATTCTCGAGCTAGCATCAAAATTGCAAACAAGTAATAAAAACTGGTTTTATTATTTTGAGCTATGTTTGTTTTGTGACTCTAGGATGAGATAATTTGCGGCTATAATCGGTTGCTGTTCCATATAGTAAAAGGTGTTATTTTGGGTGGCCCCCATAGGGTGAAATGGGAAGAAACTACAGCCAGATAATTGAGACAGTCCATGGGGGATGGCAGAAACACTGCATACTAATGCTGAGCACAGCTGCAGCAATGACTTTTTACTTGACATTGAAATCATGATCATATTTTGTTTCAATTTTATTTTGTTGTGCAGCATCCTGTTTTGTATGAGCTGTTAAATATTACAGATAATAAAAATTGCATGATTTGGTCTTGCCAATGCTGCAGGAGTTAACATTGGTTTTAAAAAAACAGTCACACAGCAGTTAACTTAATGGATGGCAATTGTATTATTGTACTTTGGAATATGTAAATGCCCATGTATAGGGTTGAATATAGATGGCCATTTCTCATCAAAGGCAAATGTTACCTCCCAGTATTGATAATATTACATGGTATGCTATGCATAAAGGCAGTTTAACAGCTATATGTATGTGGAACAAGCAATTAGAGTAACACCTATACCATGTAGTTGTGAACTAACTTTTCTGAAGAAAAAAATTGCCGAACTTGAACAGCTGTTTTCTGTTTGAAGTTTTCAAATAGACTGATTTAGCAGTTTGGTTGATGACCAGCCACTTTATAATCTCCCAACCTTGTAATTGATAAGTTCATTGTAACCTAGCAAGGTCATGGCTACAAACATTCCTGTGGTGACCTTGTATCCTCTAAAAGGGTTCCGTTCCGTTATGATGAAATCCATTGTCATTGCGATGTAGCATTTGTGTCATGCTATAGAAGTACATAACAAGTAAACATTGCAATCATTAGGAACAAGAACTAAAGTACACAGAACGTTGACCTTGACAGGCAGTCAGACTATTCCTTTTTGCTTCCAGGTTATGTATACGTTTACGCAACAACATTGCATAGCTGCTTGTAGAATGAGCTGGCTTTCCCCCCACGTTTCCAGCATGCCAAAATTGGAATGTTCAATCAGCACCAGTAAAGTGATGCAGTGCAGGTGGCTCTGTTCTTGGCAACAGCGGAAGATTAGACAGACGAAGCGTTCCTAATTCACTTTACAGAGTTTATAAAAGTGGGGAAAGCAGGTTAATGATTTAAAGGGGATTTTATGTCCCCCCTAGGCCACACTTATTTGATTTGTTGTTTTGGAGAGTGCGAAAGTAGTGCTGACTCTGATATATGAACATGAACATAGTTTGATGGGAAAGTGTCAGTGGATGTTGTTAGGTTTTCCACTGTCAGGCCTCTGTAAGACTAAGAGTCTCATCTTGTCTCCTTGTTTCACTGAAAAACATTTGAGAATCTAACTACTGTAAATGGTGTGGCTTAGTAACATTGGCTTTGTGTGTGAAGTCACTGCTTCTTTTCTTCTGAATGTACAAAATACTTGGGTGTATATCTATATTGTTAGGCCAGTTGATAACTTCCACCTGTGTTGTTATAGGGTGTCATAAAGCCTTGCTCTGACATTCTGTAGTGCAATTTCCTGGCATCAATAGAACTATTAGAAGTAATGATATATTCTCCATGTTTTAGTTAATAACTAATACATAATACATAATAATATAGGAAAGGTTTTGATGCTGCATTGTTAATGTTAGTCTGAGGCTGTTTACAGCTGAATATTCCACTGATTGTATGTATTTTAATTGCTTATGTATATGTATATCTTTCTTTGATTATATCATTTTTTCCTGAGTAATGTATTCCTATTGAATATTGAATATTTTAATATATTTTCTCCATTGTCAAGTTAATACACATGTACATTTGAAATGGTTTACAGACATACATGTACAGAGGACTTTTTCCTTTATACTTTATAAGAACAGAACCTTCTACAGAGAAAATCTAATCTTTCATGCAAAATTAGTCAGTAACATAGAAGATGCTCTATATTTCTACTAGTGTATACCGTGATTTGGCGAAAGATGAAATCAGGTGCTGTAAATTGATTACTGTGAATTGTGAAATTTTCGTGGTATATTTTTGGCAGAGACCTCCTACCGCAAAATCATATGTATAGTACGAGTATATGTAAAAATTGTATTTTTACTGTACATATTTCCAGTTTTAACTGGAAGTCACTGCAAAAACCTCCTTTTCCTTCTACTGTGAAATGAAAATACTGTAAAAGTAAATAGATTTACAGTACCAGCATGCATGAGCGGATAAGGCCAGTCCTGGCCCCACCCTTCAATTACTCATGTTGCCCCGAAGCCTCATGCATATTTGGTGAGGCAGGGAAGATACACTTTGGTATAACAGGAAGGAAGCATATCTGCGTACATGTATATATCACTTTTATCAGTATGACACAGATGCATAGGGAAATGGGAACAATCTACACATACATGTACATATATCTTGTATTATTAATTTGATATATGCATTTGTGATTTATATTAACCATATCTCTTGTACCTAGTATTAGTAATACTGATAATTTTTTTCTAACATTTCGGGTATTTATTTCACACATATATAGATGTGTCCTATTTTCAAACATATCTCTTTTGTATGATTCTGACAAAAAAACAGTACAGCTTGAATAATAAAGTACTTGCTATTAACATGTATTTCCCATTGTTGTGTTACAGCAAAACCTGTGGCGGCAAGAGTAAAACAGCTACGGCTCCACAGAAGTGATTTTGAAACTCTCAAGGTCATTGGTCGTGGGGCATTTGGAGAGGTAAGTGGCAGAAATGTCAAAACAATGTTTGAAATGTAAATATACTATGGTTCAGCTACCATGTTTTTATAAGTCGATCATAATGAATCTTAATAAGATTTAAAATGTACAAATGCCTGAACTGATTGTATAAAAGACCTACTTGCCTACATTGTTGTTATTATGAAATACAGTGTATGACATGCTGTCTCCCCTGCAGGTTGCAGTGGTACGGTCCAGAACAACAGACCAAGTATATGCCATGAAGATACTTAACAAATGGGAGATGTTGAAAAGGGCTGAGGTGAGCTGATGGTGTTAAAACCCCTCCTATGTTTGAGGAAATGATGTTACAGTCATATCCTACTGGTTTTACTTGGTGTATTTTATATTCTACTTGATACCAGTATACAATATTTAGCAATAATCATGCAATATGGTAGAAGTTACCATATAAAGCTACAAGTACAAAGCTACCTAGGTCCTCTAAAAGGTCAGACACAGTAAACGAGGTGCACATGAAGGTCTGTGAATCTGGCAAGGACCCGACAGGAATTAGTGGTTGACATGGAAGAATTAAGGAAGCCAATATTATTATTACGTAATTCCCACAACTCTGAAATCTCAGATTTCTAGGTTTTATTTTTACTTCAGCCCAGGAGTTTATGATTTGAATTTCATTGGTTTGTAGGTAGATGGATAACATGATTCAGAAAAAGTAGAAAGCAAAAGTGATAACAGCCATTTCTTGTTGTAGACGGCCTGTTTTATGGAGGAGAGAGACGTCCTGGTGAAAGGAGACAAGAGATGGATAACCAAGCTGCATTATGCCTTCCAAGACGAAGATTATTTGGTAAGTTTTTTTTTTTGTTTGTTTTGCATAACCGGTAAAGCACTTGATGAGTGTCCAAAACAGAGTGGGTTGACAGCACATGGATTGGGCAAGATTGACAGGCAGAATGACACAAGGTCTCTGAAGAATTTGGTCACATGAATTAGAAGTTCACATGGGGGAATTCAGGAAGCCAAGGATTGCATTCTTCCTGGAAGCCTGAAATCTCTAATGTGTTGTTCATGCTGTGTTCATGTTGTAAAGGTTTCAAACTCTCAACCTTACTGATATGCATTATATCATACCCGGGCCGCGATAACGTTCGATAACGGGTTCCAGACCGGGCCGTACGTTACGGTACGGCCCGGTCCGGAACCCGTTATCGAACGCTTCCATGGCTTCCATAAAACGATTCGAACGCGTTTCGTCCTAACCGCGTGCGCCCCTTTCGAAAATTTGAATACAGAATCCGGACGTTGGAACTGATGTTGTTGCATTTGAGGGTTTAGGGGCACCAACTTTTGGCTCATCTTGCATTGAAAGGCGCGTTTTCTTGGGTGGGTATGATATAAATAAAATACAACACGGTGTATTCCGCATCGCCCTCGGTCCCGGCCCTCCCGCGAGTCGGATCGCCCTCCGGCCTGCGGCCGTCGGGCGATCCGACCCGCGGTCGGGCCGATACCTCGGGCGATACGGAATACCCCGTGTTGTATTCTATATTTATACTGTGGAGGCATTGAATTGACTTTATCTTAACTCTATTTACAGTATCTGGTCATGGATTACTACAGTGGAGGGGACCTCCTAACGTTGTTGAGCAAGTTTGAGGACCGACTTCCAGAAGACATGGCCCGCTTCTACGTAGCTGAGATGATCCTGGCTGTGGACTCCATCCACAGACTAGGTTATGTGCACAGGTAGGAGTCTGGTATACTGGCAATCTTCAAATATTTGCGATCATGTTACCTGAAAATGCTGCGTGAAATAACGTTTCAGAGTGTCTGATATTCAAATGGGAGATCAAAAGTTTTATGGCCTTGCCAATGGTTGACCCCAAGAAAGAAAGGGTCAGTCGAGAAACTGCAAACACAATGTTTCCTAGACTCAAGGGTGACAGAGAGCACATACCTTGACCTTGAAAGTGGGGTTAAGACACCCACAAGCCCAAAGACTGATCCAAGTGAAGTGGCTGTCAGTTGAGCTGTGATCTAGCTGAAAAGACAGGGATTGCTGTTCCACTGCTGACAAACACTGTTTGGACATTATAAAGTGGGATGTGACTCCTACTGTTTATCTTTGACAGCTACCTGTCAAAACTTGGATGTTTTGTCAACAGGTGGGGATTCACAGGTGTAACACAAGTGAAGCAGGTAACAGGAGAGCGATTGTTCTGTGTCAGACCTGGAGTGAAGTGGGCAAACTAGTCAGAAACATGTTGGTGGACAGTAGCCATGCTCATTTGGGGGGGGGGGGATGCCATGGTTCCAGTATACGCCAGTAATGCATGATTGTAATCATCTAGGAATGTGGTCAAAAAGGTGTCATTGTCTCAGGAATCCATACTTCACACCATGAAAACTTACCCTCAAATGTCTGCCAGGACATGGTAGGTTGACACCACATCCGTCAGGAAGAAGATTAACAGGCAGAATGACAGGCGGTCAAAATGTCAGACACAGGCAATTGGGTGAACATGAAAGCCACAAACACCCATTGGGCAAAATACTTCTATATGGTCTGAAATGTCTGCTTTCTTGTTTTCTGCTGCAGGGATATCAAACCTGACAATGTTCTGTTGGATGTCAATGGTCACATACGGTTAGCAGACTTTGGGTCCTGCCTGAAGCTGGGGGAAGATGGCACGGTAAGTCTCCAGTCAACAAACTGGTGTTTGTTTGCTTGCTGCGTAGTAGTCAATTGTTTTCCCCAGTTTATTTTCCTGAAAGGGCTATAGATATGGGATTGTCTTCGGAAATCAAATGTTCCAAAGGGTTTGCCATCATCATTGTTATGCAGGTTATAAGCTTGAAGTATTTTTATAAACCGCACAACCCTGTATAGATTCTGTACAAGTCCTATTCAAAGTATGTCATATGATCTCAGTTGTTCCAATAAATTCCTGAAAAAGTTTTCCTACATTACAAGTCTGAAATCTATCGACTTGCTTGAGTAACTGTTACTTTTTGTTGTTATCTTATTACCTAGATGTCTAACCTTCATCTACATATCTGAAATCTCTGATTGATACATGTTTGAACTTTGTTTCCAGGTCCAGTCCTCCGTGGCTGTGGGTACTCCAGACTACATCTCTCCAGAGATCCTACAGGTAGGCTCCTCTCTCCTACATGTCTGTCTGATGTCCTTAGACATGTGTAGACATTTAGAAAGGAGTAGACTGTTATGGTGTGAAGGAATGTATGTTTGCTCTGGTGCGTATCGTGTACGAGTTTATGCTGCACATTCCACACAATATACTACCATACTCACATTGCATAACCAACTCACCATATCTGTACCCCCCACTAACATCTGTAACCAACTTAGTGTTCCCTGTCCAACCCTACCAATATCATGTTGCCTTCATTTTCCCAAGGAAATTTTTCACTTCAAAGTATGTACAATCTCGTACATGTGTTGTAGTGTAAGAAAAGCAAAAAGTGTATCTACAAAGTGTTGCTAGTATCTAGTTGAACAAGTGTATCTGAGAAAATTATTGGTCTGAATCAAAAGGTTATCATAAACAGATTCACCCAAAAAGAGAACTCAGTTTTTTCTGGTTGGTTTTTAACCAAATGCTGTCTATAGTTTTCCTTACTGCTAAAACCTAGCTTGTGTTTTTACACGTTGACAAGAGTTTTTACAAATTCTTGTCAGCGCATTTTTTTTAGCATTGAACAGCTTGTACTTATTTTCCTACTGCATTCACTGAAAGATCATCACTGAGGTAGGACAGCTTAATCAGATTGTGTGATGTAGATACTGTGTTATTACACAATTTACACAGAAAGTGTCATTTTGGCGACACCTCAGGAGTGGAGACTTATTTTTCTTAGGTAGGATGACAGCAGTGACTGACCTATGGTCATATGAGCTCTCCAGACCCCATTTTGACTAAAAATCCAACACTAACAGTACTCGTAATTGCCACATAACCACTCCTAAGCCGTAAGCCTAACAGACTCTCACAACACTAAACAAAAGTACAACAACCTATGCTCATATGCTTTTGCAGCTCCCCTCTCCCTGTGTATTTGACACTCAAATTATTTTCCTGTTTGTTTTATATCTGTTTTGCTGTTGTTTGACTGACAAACAATCCAGACCTTACAGTCAGGTCTTACACAGCTTGTACTTATTGTACAAAAATGGAGATTTATCAGTTATTAACAAACAAACACCATCACCTTCAATAGTGTGTATTTGTGGCTGTTGAATACATTTTGTCAAATCAAGACTATAATTTGTCTCCTTCCGCCCCCACTAGGCTATGGAGGATGGGAAGGGCAGATACGGCGCTGAGTGTGACTGGTGGTCGCTGGGCGTCTGTATGTACGAGATGCTATTCGGCGAGACGCCGTTTTACGCTGAGTCCCTGGTGGAGACGTACGGCAAAATCATGAACCATCAAGTAAGTTGGGCCTGTAGATCCATACATGTGTCGACACTTTAGATGCTACTATTGGTATGTGACTTTATGTGTAGATAATTCGATGGCGTAAGAAGAATCGTTCATGTTTGTGAAATAAACAAAATTAGGTAGGAAGTAATATTTTTAGGGTTAAGGGACAATATTATAACTATATGTACATAAAGGTCTTAAAGTAGTGGTACCAACAAAAATGTGCTTTGCTAATCATAACCATAAGTGTTTGCGTTTTGTTTGTTTGTTTCAGCCGTTGTCAATTCATGAAATACTCAAAATTGGTTGCTGCTTTCTGATTGGATCTGTCAATTTTGGAGCCTTTATTCACAAAATACTCAAAGTCAGTTGCTGGTTTCTGAATGAATCTGTAGACTTTGGAAGCTTTAAATGACATTGAGTGGTCTGAAGTGTCTGCAGCCCACCCATTCATCACAGCCTGACAGATAAACTTATTACCCTGCACAAATCAAGCTGTGCCAATGGGAATTCCAGCTCACAGTCATAGCCATGTCATTCATCAGATCTGTGAACTGACTGGCCCTGACTTCATACAGGCCATGCACATGTATGGACAGGAATTTTATATGTACGTACTGCTGACGTCCCTCATGGATTTTATTACTGTTGGATCCGATTCAGCGACTTAACAATAATGTCTACTTTTAATGAATGTAATTTTGGACTTGTAATTTTTGCTACCAGTGGTTCACCAGTGTTGTTTTACTGTAAATCATGAAACTTTTGGATTGTTTTTATTTTAGTGATGACCTCTCCACATCAAATATCTTCCCTTTATGACTTCTGTGTTGTGACTACAGAATTGGTTCAAACGTGAATTTAAAACACGGTGAAAACCTCCGTTTCTCTCCTACTGTGAAATAACGCCACCGTGAAAGTTTCAGGATTTACAGTAAACAGTTTTGTGGCAATATGGTTAGGGTGTAGAAGCTTCCTGTAGTCAATAACTGACCAGTTAATTGCAATAACTGACCAGTTAATTGCAGTCAGTTATGAGCGAGGTTATTACTGTAAATGAGCCGGCAGTAACTGGGGGACCAAGGAAAACATGCCTGGCTCCTGACACAGAGCTGGTAATGTGTGGTATGTGTGACCCCCCGAACCCGAGCAGTCTCAAATATTTATGATGTCTCTCTGATGACGCGCCTCTGGATTCCTCGCCAAGCTGTCCTCTTTAAACAGCTGTGAACATGACTTGGTCCTGTGTGTGTGTGCTCGGTACTGAATGGAAGAAGTAGGAACAAGCTGGCAATTTCACCCAGCTTAAATAAAGGTCACCAATGTGTTTACTCAGACAAAACATTGTGCCACTCTTCCTTTTGGGAACTTCCAATACATGTATAGTGCAGTGAAATACATTTGTATCAGTTTGTTTTGATGTATTAAAGAGACATACGTTGACCTACATTTACATGGCAAATGCAAAAGACATGACAGTGCAAAAGAATAAGCCATGTCTAAAACTCTAGTGGATGTTTGAATACAGCACAATACTGTTCTTGACCTGTCACCTCTGTATTTCTACAGGAGAGGTTTGGTTTTCCCGATGACATCACAGACGTTTCTGATGCAGCCAAAGACATCATAAGAAGGTAAACCCAGCTTGAGACACAAGAAAATTGTTACTGAAGCAACTGGACAGATTTTCAACGCTGTCTTGATAAAGTACCCAACTTGACCTTCCCAATGATCAAGGATGGACCTTATGTTGTGTAAAAGGGTTCTGTTCAAGTTATCACATCCCAGTATGGAAGTATTGTTTTTGGTGGTTGAGCTGTGTGTTTGTGTATTTGTTTGTCTGGACAGAGTAAGTTGACAGCATATGGGTGGGGGCAAAATGACAGGAGGTTAAAGGTCTCAGAATCTGGCGATGAGCCAGCAGGAATTAGAAGCCAACATGGAGGAATTCAGAAAGTCAATGATTGCACACTTCCCTGAAGTCAAAATCTGCAATCTGGAACATACGTTAAGGAACACAGTCCATCTACCTGCCACTAGTATATTGCAGCATCAATCAGATGGCAAACATTTTAAACATTTTGATTGGTCCATGAATTAATAAGATTTCTGTCTCTTTATCTAGATTAATATGTGACCAAGCGGAGAGATTAGGACAGAATGGCATCCAGGACTTCCAGGGACACCCCTTCTTCCAGGGCATCGACTGGACCAACATTTGGGACATGGACCCTCCCTACATTCCTGATGTGTCCAGCCCCACGGACACGTCCAACTTCGACGTGGAGGACACCGACTTCAAGCAATATGTACGTTTGGTCCTTTCCTCAAAAGTGCACATAGTGAGGGTGGGGGAAAATGAAGTTAGACATTCTAGTCTTTGAAATTGCCAGACCACTAATACAGCCCTTCAGGTTTCATGTTACAATATGAATTTTGAAACAACTCAGTAAATGATAAATGAGTTATATCACAATCAACCATACTTGAAACAGCTTCTGTTACTGATACAATGTATCTTTTCAGTGGCGTGCACTGTAAAAATGCCTTATTTAAAGGGGAAAGGAGGGTGAACTTCAAAATTCTGTTAGATTTATTTCACACATAATAATACAAAGTCCAAATGCAAGAATTTGTTTTGTATACTGTATATTGTTAAGTTGCCAACACTTGCCCTCTGTTATAACCTCTGGTTAGTTGGTTAGCCCTTGCTGTACATGTACATGTATGTCATTGTACAGCCAAAGAAATAAACAGTTCTGATTCCCTATTTTCCTCCACAGGAGTCAGTACCTCCTGCCTCCCATACAGCGTTTACAGGTCATCATCTGCCCTTCGTAGGATTCACATTCACAAGTAATAGGTAAGATTTCTTTTTTTTTGCCCAGTAATTTTTCCGTACAATATTGCAAATTTACCTGTTCCATCCCAATGACAACCATGTGATAAAACCTGATGATATATTTTTTGTTGTAGCATAACATGAATGAATAAAAACCTTGTAATGAGATTTTTTCTTTTGTCTTTTCAGTAAAATATCAGATGCAGTAAGTTTTCAAGATGGCATCGAGAAGAGCCAGTCCTCAGTCACATCCAACTCTGCACCCGACAGCCTCTCTATCGAGGCCTACGAGAGGAGAATACATCGGTTAGAGCGGGAAAAGACTGAATTAGCTAGAAAGCTGCAGGACTCCACAAAGGCCCTGCAGGCCACAGCCACAGTAGTTGATGGGTTAGACAACAGCAAGCCTAATGCAACCTCTGATGTGGAGACCAGGCGTTTAAAGGACGAAGTGGCATCCTTGAAGAAAAAGATAGCAGGTATTGCACTTGTCAATTCTACCCGTAGAGATCCCAATCAGAGTCTCTGTTTTAGAGACTCAGGATGCTAGGAATGTGTTATGATAGCCTTCCATTTATCAGTTCTAAATTTCAAAACAATCCATTGATCAAAAGTTACATAATTGAGTTGAAAAGTTCATGTAAGGGAAAATTTCAGGACTCTGATTTGGATTGGCCATCATGTCATACACATTGGACCTGTTAAAATGCTACATTCCAAACCTGCCTTCAGGGACTATTCCCTTCTAGATAGAAAGTCTAAAGCAAGAATTATTTTTTACAGAAACGAATGTAGATCAGCTGAAAAAGGACCTGCAAGATGCTATGGAACTCCGGGGGGAATTGGAGAACATAGGAGAAGGTAAGACTTATTAATTGTTAGAAAAAGTAATTGATTTTCCAGCTTATGCTATGCCAGGAAACTGCGATAACAACAACAAAAAATCCTGCAATGTAACCTTGAAGAGTATCTCTGTGATTGAAGTTAAACACTGGCCTGACATGCACATTCTGGTCAGTAAATTCCCACCTCCTTCATTGTGTGGTTTTGATGTGTTACAGAAAAAGCAGCACGAGTGAAACAGTTGGAGAAGCAGATTCGTGTTCTTAAGGCTGACAAAGAAGACTACCACAGGGTGGGTTCTGACATCTTTGCTTTCAGTTGTTACTGTCAAGACTCCTTTGTTACTTCTGGGTAGTGTTTGTATGGCCGAGCTGTGGGGTTTTGTCTTTTTGGAAGGAGATATTGTTTTGGATATGTTTGTGTGTTTGCTTTGTACAGTGGGGTAGGGGAATTCCCTAACCACAGACTATAAAAGGTCAGACACAGGAAGTTGGTCCTAAAAACTGGAGGAGGAGTAGGAACTTCGCCAGAAGTCTGTTGGCCAGGTGCATAGTACAAAATGTAGGAGAATGCATAAACCAAAATAGAGAAGTTCACTGATAGATAGACATTCACGGAAACTCGCACTAAATGTAACTTTCCTTGTATCTTTGTCATGTTTCAGGAGTTAATCGAAGCACAGGAGCGACTGAAGACACAGAATAAAGAGCTGAAGGATGCACACGCTCAGAGGAGACTGGCCATGCAGGAGTTCTCAGAGATCAATGACAAGTATGGCTATTACACTGTTGTTTTATGATTGTCATATATGATTTTTTTATACAAGCAGTGTTAGCAGCAATCTTTGTTCCACTTCATCTGATCTGTATTTCAGTTATTCTACATAGCACATGTACATGTGCATGTATGTACGGAGTTAACACTTACAGATATGCAGATACAGATATGCATAAGATCTTTTAAACTTCATCAAGGGGCAATATATGTATGTCAGTTGTTACTGTTTTTTTTTCAGTTTTCTTTCATGTACACGGACAGTTGTTCAACATTTAGTAGTTTTTACTTGCTGGCTTTAAAGATACATGTATTTTGTTCTCTGACTATGAATGAAACCTCGTGGCCTTCGTCACTCACTTGTACTATATATTGCCCCCATGAGACGCGCTATCATCTGAAAGTACACCTGAACATGCATGTTTACTTTATTTTATGACTTACCCATTTTCCACCTTGTCTTTGTCTTCTTTGTTTGAATGTGTTCCTGTCACCCCATCTGCTGCTGTCTCCCCCCATCTCATGATGATCATCTCGTATGTTTTCTTCTTCATTTTCTTCTGTCCTTTAGTATGACATCTGCCAGGCTGAAGGCTTATTTAGAATCTAGGTACAGGTCACCTTTTCTGTTGGAGATTGACTGCTTGTAGGACACTGAAAGCTATAAAAAAACATTGAAGCAACAGGTCACGGACATACATACATACATCTAACACTTGAGTATCCTCCAGGACACATGGTGTCTAGATGGCATTGTTTGCAATTTCTGGAATGCTTCTGTTCTGTATGCTTTGGTCTTTTCTTGTCGTATGCTGGTAGCGATAATGCAAGACTTGAGTTTGTTAGACGTTTGCATCATCTACATACATTTGTACAATGTACCCTTCTTATTCTCTACCAGTCTCAAAGAAAAAAAATTTGCTACATGTAGGAGGTCCAGTCATATATCACTTCATCACAAGCCTCAGAGTTTTATCTTATGATCTTACAAAATTCCTTTCCTTCTGTTCTCTGTAGAATGTCGGAGCTTCGGTCTCAGAAGCAGAAGTTGTCTCGCCTGGTCCGAGAGAAGGAGGATGAAATCGACATCGCCATGCAGAAGGTGGAGAACCTTCGTCACGACGTCCGCAAGCTGGACAAGGCCAAGAAAGATGTGAGTTCTCAGGGAAGTGCATCTGTGTTGGTAGAACCCTGAAGCAGGGCTTCAGCTGTAGTTTCCAACCCCAGAAATATTGGACTTACTTGCTGAATGACCATACAGTTACCAATATTGGATTTGTATGACCCTTGATTTGATAATTAGAGTATGATGCAAGATGTAAAAGAATGATGTAGAACACACAAAATATAAAATGTTCTTTGATTATGTATGAAATGTATTGAGCAATCCGTCCAACTTTAGTTGCTCAGCTTTTAGTGGAAAGGGGGTGTTGATCATCATAGGAAATGAAGAAAAATTCTGACATTCTGTATTTTCCACTGTTTCCAGTTACAGGCTACAGTTGACGACCTGCAGGCTGAGATTCAGAAGGAGCGGAAGTTGCGGGAAAGAGGAGACCAGTACTCCAAACAGCTGGAGGATGAGCTCGAGACCCTCAAGGTTCTTATACTTTGTTATCTCCATGTGTTGTAATATCTTCTGTATAGTATGGCCACAGATGTTGGTAAATGTCAATGGGCATAAATATCACTATTCTTGGCAAGACTTTTCAGTACAATGTGAAAATGAAAGTAATTGAAATCTTCTTTCTACAGAGACGACAGGTGGGGAGATCCTCAAGTATTGGGGACAGTGAGAAGGAAAAGGAACTGGCAAGGTATGGGATACATGACACTTTTTCTGTGTAATTTGAAACTTCTTTAGTATCAAGACACATTGGAAGTGGAGGACAATCCATGTTAAGGAACCCACCACACTTATGAAAAATAACTCGGGTAATAATTGACGTTTTGAGATTGTAATGAGATGATTATGAAGATGAGAGTAGTTGACCCACCCAAGTTGACTCACCACACCATAAGATGTAAAGACTGTTTCTTCAAGAAAAGATTGATAATAAATAAGACTTTTTACTACTAGGGTAAAGGCCGAGCTGGAGAAGAAAGAAGTGTTCTTAGAGGAAGAGCTGGCCAGAACACAGGCTGCACATTCTAAGGAAGTCAAGGTAAGCAGGCTGTAAGGTAACATAAGGTTTAATGCAACATCCATCAACATAGATATGGCACAAACAGATCAGTGTTATCAAGGGAAGAAGGTTGGAGCTTATATTTTGGATGAAAGTAAAAATAAATCTGGCTTTTAAAGCATCATCATAAGGCACAGCTAGCAAGGTGGAGTGCAGTACAGATGGGTTGAGGGATAGGAACTGTGGGATGGGTGTTCGGCTCTAATACTCTGTTTTCCCTCCCATGCATGTGTAAGGACGAGCAGGCTAACTTGGTCCAGGTGAGTCCACAGGATGGGAACACATCTTTACACAGAGAGGGTCAGATTCAAGGGACAAACTAGTGGTGTTAAAATTGGAATTGATGTTTGGAAACAATGGAAAACACAACATTAATTTTCCCAGGCCTGAAGAAGGACCTGCAATGAAAGATTGTCACATTAGTTGGTGTATAGAATGGCTTGTACAGGGAGATTTCAGTTAATGAATTGCCACCTTGGTTAAGTGTTATTTACTGTTAGAGATGTCCCAGTGATAGTTTTGACTGTCTGTCCTGTGCAGAGCCTGAAGGAGCAGCTGCAGGATGCGGAAACCTCGCAGGCCAAGCTGCAGCGGGAGGTACAGGTGCTGCAGGACAAAGTCGGACAGACCAGGAGAGAAAGGTTTGTTTGTTTGTTTGTTTATTTGTTTGTTTATTTAGTCACTTAACAGAAACAGGATCGTACTGCAGTTACCTTTGCAGTGGTTTTATATCGCAGTAGGAGGGAAAAGCAGGTTTTCACATTGTTTGAAGTTTGCTGTTGAAACAACAAGACAATCCTGTAGTCCAGTAGAACACATATTCACAGATTTATGATCTTGTAGTAATAGGATGTTATAGGCTATTTACATGGGACAAGGATGACTCATAAGATGACTTTTAAGGAGCTGTGAAAAATCTTTCTTTCTTGTCTTCTTTCTGCTTAGCGTGAATGAACACCAGGAAATGATTGCTGACATGCAGCGCAAGCATGAGAGGGAGAAGAACATGCTACAGGAAGAGAACAGAAAACTCATCTCAGAGATTGACAAGGTAGGTCCCTCAGTAGTTCACAGAACTTCATCCAATGTTACTGTGTATCACTGGCATGAAGAGCCCAGGACCAAAATAAATTTGGGGGCTGGATTTCTAACATTTGAGTTGAATTCTTCTGTGTAATTGTCTGGAGACAAACTGTATATAAGAACATCTTTTTTTCATTAAAAGTAGCATGATAATCATTAGTTTAAAATGTGGCAAAGAGATGCCTCTGCTTATCCTGGGAAAGAGATGCCACTGCTGACCCTGGGACAGAGATGCCAATGTTGATGCTCCTCCTTTCCCTTGTAGCTGTCATCGGCCAATGAGAAGCTGATCATCACCAGCCGACAGTATGAGGAGGAGCTACGGGAGATGGCAGAGAAGAAGGAGTCTGTGGCACACTGGGAGGCACAGATTGCAGAAATCATACAGTGGTAGGCAGAGCTACAAGCATGCTATACACATACAGCAGTCTGAGAGTAGAAAGTAGAGTTATAGGCGTCCTCTTTTTTGTTGTGTTTTACATTCATGAATAGCATCAGGCTGGTAAATCATTGCCAAAACATTTCACACAATTAAAAACACAACATTTTATCCAAAGGCTAAATTGCAGTGTACAATACAACACATATTAGAAGCACAGTAATATTGGCCTGGAGACTAAATTTAGACTGAAGACTGATGTTGCTTTGCCTGTCCGTTCCACAGGGTTAGTGATGAGAAGGAATCACGTGGCTACCTTCAGTCACTGGCCAGTAAGATGACTGAGGAACTGGAGGGACTCAAGATGTCTGGTGTTGGGGCTCGGGTAAGACTGACTGTATTTCACTGTTTAAAGGTGTTTGATTTTCAGCAATTGCTTGTCTGTAAGATTGAGGTTTGGTTGCTTCCAGGTATGGAAGTATCTGTTTTCTGGACAGAGTCTAGTTAGAGAGATTGACAGGAATAATGACAGGTGATCACAGGGTCAGACACAGGAAATGGCTCTAGCCAGGGGAATTCATGAAATAAGGGATTGCTTGAGGGACCATTCAATCCTTGTAATTCTGACATCTCTGATGTTCTTGTTCACTCCTACAGTCTGAGAAGAACTGGCAGATGAGACGTTCGCAGAAGCTGGACAAACAGGAGCTGCTGGCCCTGCAGTCCAACCTGCGCTCAGAGATCGAGGCCAAACAGGCCATCAGCGAGGAACTGACCAGGGTCAAGGAGTCACACATGGCGGCCGAGAGGTCAGTCTGTAACTAGTGTGTGTGATTGGTTGTGTGTCCTTAGGTATTTGAATGCAGTAGAGTGGCAGAAAGGCAGGGTAGGAATTTGTAACCACAGATTGACAGCAAGAACCACTCATACTGTTGCTGCAAGTCACTTGTTGTATCCACTTTGGGCTTGTCACAACAAGTTCACTTTTTGCACTTTTGGCCTCTATTGTGAAGCCTTGACTATATCATAACCGTCTGTTTTTGCCTTTTTTCTGCCCACAGCAAACTGCGAGAGTCGGAAGCCAAGGTGGAGGAACTGACAGAAGAAGTGGAGATGTTGAGAAGAGAAATCGGCGAGCTCCGTGTCAGCCAGCCCATATCCAGTAAGTGTCACAACAGTGGGCAGATCACAAACTCTTGCTATGTGGTCCGTATTGAAATTCACAAAGTGCCAATTGGCATTGGATGGAGAAAGTATATGGGGGTAAAACACTTTCAATCCATGATGAAGTCATAAATATTAATGGTCAACCTGGAAATGGCAACAATATATAATAACTGTTTCCCACTGTAAATGTATTAACTGTTGTAGTGATTTTATCTTGCAGTATGAGGAAAGTGGAGGTTTTCACGGTGTTTGAAGTTTGTGGTAGAAACGATTCAGTAGTACAGTAGAAGTACAAAACACAAGGTGTTATGATTTCAGAGTAGGTCACCGTAAAATTAAAACCACTGCGAACATTTTGCAATTTACAGTAGGGTAAGTGGACGCTGTCCCATATTTTTGACAATGAGCTTATAAATTAATAAGTATTTTGTTCTTGTACAGGACTTGTTTTAGGATTATTATGTAGTAGTAACTAGTATATTGGAGATGTACTTGTGGAATATTACTTAAGTTTGGATAGAATTCAAGACAAGTGAAATCACTAGCAGGTAAGTAGGAGTACTGCACTGTACAGTTCTAATCTGCACGAGTGTCTGTCCACTGTTGGTCTGTTTGTGTGCTGTTTGTTCCCACACGTGCACTGGCTGTCTCTGCCTGCCCCCCTCCCCCCCACCTAACGCACGCATGACTCACCCATGTGTTGGTTCCACAGACGATCTCCTCGCCACCACATGGCCTCTGCAGGGAGACTCCAGCTGGGCCATTGCCCAAGACGATTCGGGTATTCCCTGGCCCATTAGGGCACAATCCCACGGTACAACTCATGTTCATACTAGACTCTGCAATCAGTGTGGAATAAAAAAAGCCACCATGTCCATTTCTGGCCATATCAGCTCCTCAGACTGTGAATTCTGGGTTTTATTGCCAGCCCTCAATGTAAATGCAACAGGGTCTGCATGCGTGCCTTTCTCAATAAGACATAATAAGCCATTCACCTGCCCACATAGCACGTTATTTGTTATCCAGAATTCATTATTAAGCGTTAGGCCACACCAATTTGATTTCTTGGTTAACGGATTTTTGAAGAAAAATAATGGAGCGGGCGGGCGAAAAGAAAATAAAAATAAAAATAGGCCTAGGCATCCTATTATGGCCCAAAATGGTACGATAGGAGCCATGAAGTCAACACACCAGGCTGGTTCAAAATTTAAACAATGAATTTTGAACTTTTAATGATACCACTGCATTGAAAGATGGAATAACTGTAACAACTAGGAAGAAAATGACTGTTTCCAACTGTTCAGGGCAAAATATGGGCATTTTGCACTTGATTCTGAATTTTTATTTTTATTTGCAAATCAGACAAAATGAAGTGGGCGAATCCGTTAACCAAGAAATTAAATTGGTGTGGCCTTAGTGACAGGTAATTCGAATGTCATGGCCAGTTGTGTTGGTGTTTGCAGACTAGTTTTGAAGACACCCCATAAATACAATGGAAAAATCTGATCAGCTTGTTCCCAAAACCTCTTTAACAACAAGTCCTCTTGAATTTACCATTAACTTATTAAGTCTTGCATTGGTAACCCCCTATATTTACAGATAAGCATTGCCAGAATCTCCCATGCAGACCCTCATACAAATAACGATTCCAAAAATAAAATAAATACAAGCCAGCCTGGCTATAACTGATTTGCTGGCAAATCATTACAAAGAAAAGGTTTTGGTATCTTGACTGCATGTGAAGCTGACTTTGCTAGATACAGACATGGTGGTTTACTCCGGTAAGTCACAAGATAACTTTTGAAGGGAGTTTGTTTTGGTACCATCATCGTAACATTGTTGACCCCCCAATGAGTTTCCATCTCATTCGCAGTGATTCATATACCTGGCAGAGGCTTCCATTTTTTGTTTCCTCCATTTATTTTTGTCACACTTTTGTTTCCTTTGTTTTTTCCATTTCTAGTGCATGGTTGTTTGTCATGTCCCATTGATCCTTTTTGTTTCCCACCATTTCTTGTAGGAAGTACAATGTATCACATGTTTTGTTGTGACGTTGCTGTGTGCATTTTGCTTGTCAGCAAGGTGCATGTGGAGGAATGTGTGCATGTAACATACGATATCTGCACTTTGACATGCAAGTTGTTGCACCTATGTTATTGTCACACAATGTCATGTAAATGTATCCTAATTCCTGAACATGCAGTAAGTTTGGTTCAGAACAGTATGATGAACATCTTTGTTTGTACATGAATATGATGAACTGTTCCATGCATAAATCAAGACTGTGCAGTTCATATGTTAAATAACATTATACATATTTAGAGAGAACAGATTTAGGAAGCGGTGAAGACTGTAAAGGGAAATCCGGATGAAATCAAAGTGGGGATGTTGCTGACAGTAAGAGGTGTAGACAGAAGGGTCATGTAGCAGTGCTATGATAAGTAACTTTGTTTATTTGTTTGTTTGAGCCATTGCTTACGTATTGTCTTGCTTCCAGCGACAGACCGTCCCGACTCTCAGATGTCCTTCTTGACGTACTTCCAGAAGAACAGATATACTGAGAGACCAGAGGAGGTAGGAAGCACTTTTCTGTGGATATGACTGTGCTATTACTGCTGATTGAGAGTACAATATGATGGAATTCGTCCTACCATCAAATGAATGCTTTTTGCTAACAGTTACCGGGGCTCAAGATACTGGGTGCATAATATTTATGCACTTTTGTACACCCAAAATTGGAGCTTTGCAGCTTATTATTGATTGTGTGTAAGGTTACTGGTACATTAGTAGGGCATATTATGTTATTATACAGCATATTGATATGGTGTATTAGAAAAATTTATAACACTTTAAAATCACGTGTTTAAAAGTTTAAGGTTAGCTTTAGAATTTCAGCTCTGAAGAGAGGCAAGGTTTTTGCTGGTGTTTAGTTTATGTAGTGCACCCAAAATGTTTTTTCTCACCTAAATTGTAAGGTTAGCTACACTAGTGCACCTACTGTATTCTCAAAAATGAATTTTTGAGCCCTGGTTACAGTTTCCCTCTTGTGTGTAAACAACTGTTAGTAAGTAGTTAATGGTTGTAATCCCAGCACTGTTTCTTGTATATTTCTCTCCTTGAAAATTTCACAGATGATTTTTTTGGTGCACTAATAACAATGTAAATGACAACCTTTTTTCTTTCTGTGATTGTGTTACATTCTTACAGAGTGATGATGAGGTTTATTTGGTGAGTCCTGAAGGATTTACACGAATGTGTGCCCACTTGGGATGATAGTCGCTTCAGTGCTTACATGTATACTCAACAAAGTCACATTTACTCTCGCTGTGCAGTTCACAATTTACATAGTGTAACCTGTACCTTACTTACAACACACATTCTTGATAGCAATAATTGATTCATTCATGATCCTAGAATTAATGTGGAGCATGGAATGAAGTTGTGCATGATTTTGCACATTCCCTCAGTAGTAGTGGATCTAGCAGTGACAGGTATATTTCTGTTGTACCCTGTACAGAGTGAGAGCGAGGTGGATTCCGTCAGTTTGGGGCGGGAGTCCAAGCCAGAGTCCATCCCACAAACAGACTCCAGCAGTGAGCCTGATGAGGTACAATTAGCACATTTCATTAGCTGTTGTTTTGTGTCAGTAAATGATAAATACCTGTAGGATTGTGTGTTAAGAAAATGGTCAAGTAGCACACTGCCCATAAGAAAATAAGTCCTCCTAATATACACATGTAGATAAGAAGAAGCACTGGGTACCAGTTTAGCTTATCAGGTTCAGGTCCAGTCTGTATGATCTAATTAGCATCATTACTCTTTAGCTTACTGATGTGCCTTACTCTTCACTTTCTACGATTTCTAATCTAATTTCTGGTTCTTGCATGCTGTTCCTGGTCGATACCGGTACATACCGGTACAGCCAAACCGATATCCATAAATATGCATGACATTTTATAATGTTTTGATACAGGACCTTCCACCTGCACCCCCCAGACCAGATGTGATGCCACGGCCCCCATCTATGTCAGGGCCCAGGGTAAGCCACTACAGTAACTGATACATTATCTGACTATAGGTTGTCACTGTTGTCACTGGTGGTGTTTGCTTTCACCATGTAGCAAGGTGGCTTCAGACTTGTTCGGCTAATATACAAATTGTAAATGATATAGTGTGTAAATAACATACTAAGAATACTGAGAGCAGTATGTTGTTACTATTTTGATTTGATTTATACCTGCAGTAGGTATATACATGTATGCTGTGAGGCTATGTCAAATGAAGGTAAACAGATCTGCTTGCAAAAATATTACCTTTGTAGTATAAATCTCACCTGATTGCCTGTAGACCATACTGGTCTGTCAGTTCTAGTATAAATGTAAATCAAATTCTTATGTCTTTAAACTTTAGTTATCAGTTTCCTTGTTGATGACTTAAGAAACAGCCTTTTGCAAATGTGTACATATCTTTCTACTCCTGACATTAAGAAGTCTATTATTGAACGCCATCAGTTGTTAAAAGAAAGTTTTTTCTTTACTTTGTGTTTTTCAGCCCAAGGCCCACCAGTTCATAGTGAAGACACTGACCAACCCAACCAAATGTAACCACTGTACATCGCTCATGGTTGGGCTTGTGAGGCAGGGGGTTGTCTGTGAGAGTACGTATTATTCCCACATTTTAGGTCATTTTGTGTAACACATCAGAAATCAGTGGACAACCATACATACATTTGTACATGACATAGTTTTCACCTTAATTTTTTCTAAAGCATTAATTAGCAACAACTCAAGTAACTATACTTAGGCCTGGGGGAAAACTGTTCCGTTTTCGGTTTCCTGTCTGACGGACTCACAGTGACCTAGCAAAAACACGCTGACCTTAGCCTTTTTAGGGGGGGGGGTCAATCACTGGGAAGGCCATCAGATTCAAGCCCTCTGAAACATCATTATTGAAGCAAAATCTTTATTTGGTAAAGCAGATGTAATATTTGTCCCTTTGTTTACGGAAGGATTATGTTGGATCTCTTCAGCCAAAATCCAAAAATAAAAAAGAGAATTCCTACCAATTTTTTCTGAACTGAAATTGAACATTTTTTTCCTAGGCCTTACCAATATCTCTGATAGAACGTACCTATAATGTCCCTTAGGATGACTTAAAAGTATGTCATAATGATTGTATCTAGTTTTTAAAGGAAATTTTTATGTCACATGAGAATGGACTAATTCTAAAAGTTGTCAAGAGGTATAGACCTGCCCAAATTTTCTATAACTTAAGTGTGTCATGTTTCTTTGCTTCTTAGCTTGTTTTTATTTTTCTGTTTTTCCCTTCTTTTTTCTGCGCCTTTTCCCCTTGAATGGTCTCCCCCAATGTGCTTCTCCTACAGTGAGCATCATGGATTTTATTTACTACTCTTGCCAGTGTCAGTAACATGCTTTTGTTTCTTAGTTCTCCGCCTTTTCTTCATTTCTGTAGGTATAGAGTAGACCTAGCTTGCCCTTGAGTTGCACTGCTTTTCTAACACTCTTATCCAGACGCTTTTGTATTTATCACTATCAACTATGGGCAAGGTAGTGTTTCTCATTAGTTAGAGGTGAAACTTAAAGAAGCACTAAAGTGGGGAGGAGGGTGATATTTTCAGTACTAGATAATCTATCGATGAAAACATAAAATCAACCGACTTTTTGCAGAATTCCTCTTCTGCGATGTGCTTTTTGTATAATGATATCAGTATCACTACCCCCATGCCGACACTACCCATGCACTTCCATATTTAACTTCGCTTCAGCATGAATATTTTCAGCATAAATACTAATGAGCGCGCCAAGGAAGCCAGTTGATATTAAAGAACAAGCCTTGGACGATGTTTTCTCATCTCCCAGTAAATTATTTTTGTAGCCTAACTTTTGTCAGGCACATTGTCTTCGGCTATATGCATTATGCATTCAGGGATTGTTATGAGGGTATTTTGAGAGTATTCAAGAGCACTGAGCTGACTCTATCGTATGCTGTGAAATAGTTTGCTTTTTTTCCCTAAAATTATTATCTATTGGAAAATAACACCCTTCTCCTGACCTTAAGTGCTACTTTATGTTCAAATGTTCACGTTTTCTTGAAGTAAGCAGTATTCTGTACGTAATAGTGTATATGACATACTATTATTAGGATACAAAATGTAGATATTTCTGACAGAAGAAAACATGTCCCTAATGACTATTTTTGCTCCACTTCAGCGTGCGGGTTTGTTTGCCATGTGGCGTGTGCAGACAAAGCACCAGCAGTGTGCCCTGTGCCTGCCGACCAAAGTAAGTACAACCTGCCTACTTGTTAACATTAACAGCGCGGTCGCATCCATTTTAGGCGGTCGTACAATTTTTGATGTCGTAGAATTTTCAACAAGCAGGCTGTGACAGAACCTACTACAGATGTAAGGCATTCTTTTCCATATCAAGACTGCTAAATCTTATATGACATACATGCATGCACAGCTATCCCATAAATGCTGTTTGTGATCTAATTTCTGTTACGTTCATGACTAACTTACAATGAAATAGAACTCCAAGCAAAACACACAGTGAAGAAATGTGCACATGTAATTCCATTGCCTCCATAGGAAAATTAATTTTCTTCTCCACCTACTCTCTTCCAGCAAAGAGACCTTTGGGCATTGATCCACAGAGAGGAATAGGAACAGCTTATGAAGGCTATGTCAAGGTGAAGTGCTGTTCTTTTGACTTTTGCCTAATTCAAAATTAGTTCACTGATTTGTCTGAGGTTTTGCCATGACGAGAGCTTGACAAATGCTTGTTGCATGTTGACAGGTTCCTCGTCCGGGAGGAGTGAAGAAGGGCTGGGTAAGACAGCTGGCTGTGGTGTGTGACTTCAAACTCTTCCTCTATGATGTCCCCGAAGGGAAGAATGCCCAGCCTGGAGTGGTCGTGTCACAAGTGTTGGACATGAGGTAATTTTTATGTAGTTCTTTGTATGGCTGTTGATCTTGGTACATAATATTGTAATGTTTGAAAATTTCCCACTGTATCACCATTGATCAAATTTACACTTAGTTTTTCCTTAGCTTTGTCTTCCTGTCATGGACATACATGGTAGAACAGACCAACATGGAAGTTGTTGTTGACCTTGTATTTTCCAGGGATGATGAGTTTTCTGTCAGCTCTGTCCTGGCATCTGATGTCATCCATGCCAACAGGAAAGACATCCCCTGTATATTCCGGGTGAGTAGTTACTTCAGCATTCATCCCGATTCCCAACACATAAGAAGAAATCAGAGATGTCAAAGCTATCAATAGTATCGAAGAGATTCTGTGAATTTATTGGCACAGCCAAAGAGATGATTTGACATGCTACAACAGGCCTTAGACAGAAACCTTGCTTGCTGAGAGGCCAGAAATGCACAAACCTAACTTGAGGCAAGCCCTAAGCGGGTACTTCCTGTCAATCTGTGGTTATGAAATTGCCCCCTGTCTTCCTGCAACTGCATTCGAATACCTTGACGGACACACATGTACACACCGAAAACAATACATGTACCTCCATACCCAAAGGTAACTACCGACAGGACCAGATGAGTGTTAACCTTTCCCCTGTTTCCCGTGTTCCTCAGGTCACACATTCCCAGCTGGACCCCCCGGGGCTGCAGTGCCAGACCCTGATGCTGGCCGACAGCGAACACGACAAGGTCAAGTGGGTGGGAGCGCTGAACGAGCTCCACAAGATCCTGAAGAAGAACAAGCTTCCTGACCGATCTGTGAGTTTACACACGTCTGAAGTGTGATGTATAGGTGTACTACAGGGCATGGGGTGGGGAGGGGGGACTACAAGTAACCAGCGTTTTGCAGCTATTAATCCTATCATTTAGCTTTGAGAAAATGACAGCAACTACTAGTTTTAATCTAGTAACACTTATTTGCCACGTAGACTCATGTGATTTGGAATAGTCCATTCCCCATAGGAAGGGATGGGAAGTGAAATGTGCTGCATTTGCTAGCAACTGTTGGCTTTCTAATAACCTGGGTCTCTGTTATTTCTGTGTCGTATTGGTGTTGTCTTGATGTGGTTTGGCATGAGCAGTAAGGAAAGAAGAATGGAATACTGTGCTAGTATAGACCGATCCTGACTGTCCATCACAATTAGCAGTTCAGCCAATGAAACAGTAGCTACACGTCTGTCAAATATTTACATTTGTATGTGGCGGGCAGGGATATGGGATCGGTCTATTATCAACATGTGTACTTCCTGTATTTTACATTCAATTGTTGTTATTTTTGAGATGTTGTGGTATTAATAGTTGTGAAAGCTTGGCTACTTGTACAGTCTCTCCCAATACCTACCCTGCAATAGCATACTCATTATAACTCTCACATCACTAACTCTCATAACCCCCATCCTCACCCTTCCTAACCACCCTTCCAAAACAGAAACCAGTGAGCTTACGTTGTCTTTTTATTGCATGTCACCCTCGTGAAGGTGGTTTCATCAAACGAGCAGCCACTGGGAACTGTGGTGAGAGAACTTACTTTGTCACATGAACGAGGAACAAATCAGATCAAACTACACGTGTGGATGTACTTGTGATATTTCTATTTTAAGAATCTACAGTCATGTTCATGGTGTGTGATAATTGGTGTTTAACTTCAAACCATGTTGTCTGTAACAACTGTCAGCAGAAGAATAGCTCCAGTTTTGCATTCATTCTAAAATGACATCATTGTCTGAACGTAACAGAGATTGCATTTGAAGCCACATTCTCCCATTTTTATGTCATGCAACAACATACATATTGTACTATCCTCAGCAGTCATATTAAAGAATTTGAGCATGTTTACAAACCCATGGTTAACTACAGTAATTTATTTGATGCTGTTCATTTTACTCTACATAAATCGCAGGCTCCAATCCAGTATCTTATCCAATATCATACACTGTAGTTGGTACGGCTTGAAGTCAGTCCAGACTTTTTTGTTGATTGTGTTGTTGTTGCTCTCTGTCCTACAGATCTACCATGCGAAGGAAGTGTACGACAGTACCCTGCCTATCATCAGAACTGCGATGAGTGCAGAGATCTTAGGTAGGGAGTCTTCCTGAAAAATCATGCATGAACTTCTTGTGCAGTAGAGTTGTTCTTAAGACTTGTTGTGTATGAGCACATGCATAAAGCCACAATCATTCATGTACCTCTATGAAACAGCATGTATATAGAAGTGTATTACACAGTAGCAGTGTATGGAATACATGTACAATGTATTACCAAACAAGAATGTATTTTTTGGTCTATTGTTTGTGAATTCTCTATTTTTCTATCCCTCCACAGATCCAGAGAGAATAGCACTAGGAACAGAAGAAGGACTGTTTGTTGTTGAACTGACCAAAGATAGTAAGTCAGCACATTGTCCTAGATAGCATATTATATTTCCTTTGACAGAGTTGCTGCTTTACATATTGATCTATTGAATTTCAGCTTTAGACTTTGGGGATACCTACAGTAAGTTAAAGAAAAATGTCACCAAAAATATCTCCCAACACCACCATTGTCAGTTTGCATAAAAAGTGTGTAATAACATTCACACATTTTTCATATAGAGCTTTGTGCATTTTTTATACAACTTGTACCTGATTCATAAAAGGAACCCATGGACTTGTGTGTTCTGTTCTGTTCTGTTGAAATTAATATTCTAAATGTATGTTCCCTTGCCCTTGCCCCTCAGGTATTGTGAAAGTTGGGGAGGGAAAGAAAGTATTCCAGATAGAGGCAGTGGCTGAGGAACAAGTGGTGGTCGTCATATCAGGAAAGGGTCGCCACGTCCGCCTGCACCCCTGGGTGTCGCTGGACGGGTCCGAAGTGGAGTCCATCAAGATCCCCGAGACCAAGGGCTGTACTATGTTTGCAATGGGTGCCATACGCCAGGGGTCCACCACGTGTCTGTGCACGGCGGTCAAGCGGCACGTGTTTGTGTATGAACTAAACAGGACTAAGACCAGGCACAAGAAGATCAAGGACTTGACCATGCCCAACAATGTGCAGTGGATGGCTGTGACCAATGGCAGACTGTGTGCCGGGTGGCAGTCAGGGTTCGCTCTCTACAGTATTCAGGGGGAAGGAAGCCCACAATGTAAGTACACTGGATGGAACATGTCTAGCTCACAACAGAAGAATACTAGTAGTCTATATGGGGTGTGGTCATTCTTGGGCATTCTTGGATTAGACCCGCATGTGTCCTACAAAATTCAGCTGTCTAGTTACAGAAAAGGTTGTGTTACTTTGGAGCCTTATCAGTAGTTGGTTTTGTCACAGCCTGCTTGAAAATTCTACAGCATATTTTTCAAAAATTTCACATCAAAATCGTACAGTGAATGTACAATTACACAGTGTCTCTAAGCTGAAAACAACATAACTGCTCAGTGCTTAGAATTGTTAGTTTTCAAGTTCTGCATCCTTTTGAAGTGAGACACTTTTACCGAAGTTGAGGACCATGTGTCTTCACTCATCTGTCACTCTTTGTCTCTTGCCCACATCTGTCTGCCTGCTCCTGTCTGTACACCTCTCTCTCCCACCCAGTGTGCACAGGTAACAACCGTGCATCTTCTTAACTAGTGCCTAGAATGAATATTGTGTCTCTGTATACATCCAAAATTTGTGTATTGTCAGTGTTAGGACTTAGATCTGTTTGATGCATTGTGATTTTCGTCACAGATTAACTCTGTCTACATGGAGCTACAAATGTATGAGTATCTTTTTTGGGAATCTCCCTGTCCCTGAATATTTGTCATTTAAAAATCTCCCTGTCCCTGACTATTTGTCATTTAAAATTTTTTAAAGAATTGCAGGCTAATTTCATGAAATTGTTGCAGGATGTATAGATATGCTTAGAATTAACATGTATAGAAACATTACATACTTGTTGTTCCATGTTCTTGCTTCTTCAATAGCTGAAGTATCAGAGTTGACAGCGTTGTATGATTATGAATGTGTTTGTTGCAGTGCTAATCAACGGTGAAGACACCACCCTGTCGTTCCTGACCCATAACCCCATGGATGCCATGTACGCAGTAGAGATCACCACCAGGGAATACCTGCTCTGCTTCAACAGTCAGTACTGCAAGGCTTCTATGTCACTCTTCTTTATAGGACTAAAGTAGAGTGGAACCCACTGCCACCAAGTGCTGTAGAGGCATCATCACTAGACAGCTGTTAACAAAACTTTTAGTTAGATGTGCAAAGTTTAAGGTTAAGTATGAAGCTTGTGTTTTATGCAGAAGCTGGTTATACTGGCTATATACATTTTTGTAGATAGACAGACTGAAAACACTTTGGAAAAGGAACAGGATTTTACCAATTTAAGAGAGCTTACCAATACACGTGTGTGATGAAGCTAGATACAGACTCCAACGTTGAAGTCAGTGGCTTCAGGCTTGTTCAATAATATATGAATGCATATTGTGTGGCATGATAAGATAAATATTCTTTTTTTTGCTTGCAAATATTAAGATTGTGTTTTTTGTTGGCAGCCTGCGGTGTGTATGTGGATGCTAGTGGCAGGAGGTCCAGACAACAGGAACTCATGTGGCCTGCACCACCCGTACATCTCTGTAAGTACATATTTTTTGGCAATGCCTCAGAGGCCAGCCTGTTAGTATATTGTGTCTTCAGACTACAGGAATTAAAAAAATTGGACAGTAATGCAGATTCCATACTTGAATCATTGACAACAGTTTGTAGTGAAGACGTTTTGCAAACCCGAAAGTGACTTCCTTAATTTCCAGATAGCACCACAAGGAAGTTTTCAAAATAAGTCAGGGTCTAATTGTCTATGGGAATTTTCTTGATTTAAGGTTAAACTCTTCACGTTTCAACTTTGTCGTTCCCATGCCCCCCCCCCCCAGGTTACAATGCCCCATATCTACTGAGCTTCAGTGAGAACCAGGTGGACGTGTTTGATGTGAACAAAGTAGAGTGGGTACAGACTATGCCACTCAAAAAGGTAAGAAATTTCTGTGCAAAAATTCAACTGATTTTTGTATTCATTATTAAAGATTGATGGGAAAATAGCACCCTCCTCCACACTTAGTGGTAGCTATGCCCTTGACTTCGGACATCCCATACCTGACCGTTAATGTCATGGTGTTTTGCTCCAGACAAAGCCGCTGAACCAAGACGGCAGCATAGCCCTGTACCTGGGTGGAGACCCCCCACGGCTCATCTATCTCAGGGATGGCAGACAAGGTCAGCAACAATCCACCACCTCTGGCAATACATAGAATTGCAAAATGGAAGCATAGAAATGCAAACATTTCATGGCCATGCAGCCACTCTCTCATTGGTCAAACTGCTAATTGCCATTCTCTCATTGGTTACACTGCAGAGAGTCAGGATCAGTCTTTGGGAAACTATCAATCAATCACAAAAACTCTAAACCCTTGTACTTCCTGGATGTTTGAAGTCTCTGATGTTTGTCCTGCATGTTTAACACCTCCCCTGCCCCCCTCCCCACCCAGAGCGTGACGCTGTCGTGATCCAGGACGTGGCGGAGCAGGGGAAGGGCAAACAGATGATCCGGTCTCGCCGCTCCAACCGACGCTTCTCCTTCAGAAACAAGGAAGACGACAGGGGAACTGCAGGCAGGAAGTGAGTTTTAACTCCTTGTGTTTTTTTTTTTAGAGTGCCACTCTTTCTGATACTTTTCATACCCAAGATATTAGAAATACTGACAGGCCTTGGAAGTATGCTTAGTCTAGGCAGTACAACTGTGGATCCCTTTGGACAGCACAAAAGACTGAATAGCACAACACTAGACCCCTTTGGACAGCACAAAAGTTTCTGGATGGCACAACTTTTGATACCTTTTTGGACAGCACAACATAAGATCCATTTTGGATAATACAAACTGGACTGTTTTGAGTTCAGAAATGAAAATGGGCATGTGACCCATAGAAACAGCATCATAATAATTATAAAGTAGATTGAATATTGTATATGATACTACATGTATAATAGCCGGAAGTGGGTGGTGCAAAATCTGTATTGAACGGCCCTTATGAATGCCATTAAAGGATGTCCATACCAGGCGTTGTGTGTGTCCACAAAATTGTGCAATGAAATGTAAAGATAAGACGGGGTAAACGTTTTGTTCGTAGAACTTCCGGTAGGCGTGTTTACCTCAATGTGCTTTGTAGATGTGCAGTGTCTGTTACAAATTGTCAGTAAGTCAGAATGACAGGATAGTCTCATGTTTTCTTCAGTAGCATGATAGAAGTTGCTTTCTTCTTGCCTGTATCACAATGATGTTCCACCCATGTATGTAGGCAGGGCACATTTCTGTAGGTTTCATCCGACCTATTTGTGCTTTTTCTTTTCTTTCTCCATCCCATCCACATGTCTCTGTCTAACCCTGGTTATTTTCTGTCCCCCTCCCGGTCTGTTTCCTCCTCTCACTCTTCCCCACGTCACATGCACACAGTTTCCGATTCCCGCGCCTGGGCCGCAGGCGCCGCACGTGGAAGCTCCCCCAGAGTTCGGACGAAAGCGAACGAGCGTATTTCAGTGAGCCCGATCAGAGTGAGCTAGCACACGACAATGAGGGTGGGATCAGGGCGGGACAGTGGACCCCCTGCATCTTACCCTCGGTGACAGAGTCCACGCTGTCTCTGGATGAAGAAGGGTACCTACATGTCCATGTAGACAGTCTGTGTGTTTGTGTGCACTGGGGGCATGTACAAAGTACCCTGTGGTGTCACTACTGTGCAGGTCGTGTCGTGTGCTTAAAGTTTGCACCTGTGTGCCACCAATGATGTGACTGTGAATGGGGAGCACCTTTCTCATACATGTCTGTACCGGACTGCAGAAGGCCCTACTTAATGTTAACTGTCTTAGGGAAAAAAAAAGATGCCTGGGGTTTAGGGACATGTACATTGTTTTTCTCCCGCTGCCCTGAATTGTGACATTTTCTATTGAGAAGCACCTTGTGCACTTCTTACACACCTTTGCATACTCACCTCCTTCTTCCTTCTGTCTTGAATTTTTTCCAAACCTTGGCATCTTGCACTTAGTGCTAAGTTTGCACACCTTTGTGTTGGATTATTACTTAGAGGGGATTTAGTAAGGAATGTATGTTCATATATCTGCATGTGTGGAGCTCTTCTCTTAGCTTGATTTCCTGTCTATAAACTATTGCTTTCACCTGTTCTATAGAGGTGCTCTATGGTATATTGTGGCATGTGTGCTTTTGTTTCATGGAAAGCCGACTTGAAAGATGCGTCAATGAGCTTTAGACATCCAAGTAGAATATTATTTAATACAAAATAAATCAAGCCATCCCCTGGACACTACTGTAATTGATATATTAGAATTACTAGTGATCTTTATAACATCATTGGTTTAGCTGTTAAAGTTTTCAGCATGTTATACAACTTGCTCAAAGACCAGTACATTTCTTACTATTTCTTCTTTTTTTCTTCTCTCTGTTCATACATGCCTTGCCTTTATTTTTGAGCAACCTCACATTTGTTGTCTTTACTAATAGTGATGTCAAATACATTCAGTTTGCTATGGTTTGTTTTTGTGGTAGTTATTTTACTACTGATCCACCAGTCCACAGATCTCAACTCAATCTTGTAGACCTTCTTCCCTGTTTGCCTCCAGGATCCCGTCCGACCCTGAGCGCCGCTCGAAGTTGATTTCCGCGCCCATGAACTTCAACCACGTGTCTCACATGGGGCCTGGGGATGGCATACAGATCCTCAGGGACCTGCCTGTGGTGAGTACTGGGGCAACTATACAAACACATTCAACCTGACATGGTCTTCAGTAACATTTATATACCTAGTCTGTTCTTTATGTGCATACAAACTTCCAGATTTAGATATTAACGCTAAGTTTTTTTAAGCAATATTTCTGTTGGTAAAGCCATAGTTTGCTTTATAAAATTGAGCAAATTTATGTACATGTACAAATTAAGATATTCTGTAAGATATTCTGCTTGTGACGTTACTTGTAATGTTAAACTTTGTAATGTGTACATTGACTCATGAATTATGTAACCAGGACGTAATTCGGGCAATTTTTGCCCGCGAGCTCCTTTGGACTTTTAATAAACTTGTACCTAGCTGTAAATGTATATACATTGAACCCAAATGAAGGTTACTGTTATTGTTAACTGCTCTTAATTTACATCAGCAACATGTACCGGTATACAGTCTCTGATTACCAAGTCTACATGATTTTTGTATCATATACCAGACTTAGTTGTAGTTAGATACCTATCATGATTTTATTTTTATACTTTTCTGCACTTTCATGGTTTATGTTACGAGTGATTTGGAGTGTGTGTTGCCTCAACTGTACACATTTGTTACCTGTTAGACTGGTGGTTGCTGTCTTTTCTTTTCTGTTTGTTTGGCCATTCTGTTCCTATAATTGGTATTTGTGGGACATTGTCCCTTTTGTCATTTTGTCACTTCTGTCCTTTTTCCACAACTGCATGTAGAACATAGTTCAGAATTCAATGCCTATTTCCTACGATGGAATGAGATATGGTGATCTATATAATATTCCATGTGAACTTGTCAGCCTTAATTCAGGGGCAAAGGCCAGTACTCAGTTTTAACAGGTTGAATGTTAGTATAAACATTCCTTTGATAACATGGGGTCAGGTACAAAATGTATACAGATGTTCATGTTACTTGTTTTTTACCATCTCAATAACATGTGTGCCTGTCATCCTGTACAACTTAACAAAGGCAAAACGCTTGGCTTTATGCTTGTATGGACTGAGTGATGGCGCGGTCACATTTGTCGTACAATTTTCACGTTGTAGCTTTTACAAGCAAGCTGTGACAGAAGCAGCTGCTGACAAGGATCTAAAGACTGCCAGCTTTTTTGAAAACAGCACAGCTGAAATTTTACAACACGTCCACGGCTGTCCAATGAATGCCTTCAACTTGACAATGTGACCTTACAATGATTGTATGACAAATGTGACCGGGCCTAAGCCACTGCTGTAGTTTGTTTGCAGCACTGCTAACAGCACTGCTGAGTGATATTGCACCTCCGTCTAACCCTGGTGTGTTGTCTCTTTCTCTACTACTTCTGCTGCTCTGTGTACTATCCAAGTCCTCCAAACACGAGCTCATCTCTGCCCCCACCAACTTCAACCACGTCTTCCACGTCGGTCCGGGGGAAGGGCTGGACGACCTGACCGATTTCCCAGTGGTAGGACAACGCCACACTCTCACACCCTCTCACAACCCCCTCACCTGTAGTGCAAACGTTTCCCACGTTTTGTACTGACTTGTGTGCTGTCTGATGTTCAACTGGGTTTAGCTACCGGTTTAGCAAAAGAACCTCCACACATCTGCAGATGGATGTACTGTGAATGTGTTTACGTCGGCTGTGGTACATGTATGAGAAAAAAGGATTTTTTCGCAGTTCTCTAAGATTTCAGCTGAAACAATTCTGTAGTACAGAAATACAAAACACCGCAAAAAAACTGAAAGTAAAACTACCTAAGATTTCAGCATTTGCAGTACATAATCATGTATTTTCTCAGTCCAAGGTTACAGATTGTCATGATGTGTTTGTACAAAACCCAGCTGACACATGTACACGTACTGTGGGAAATCTTGTCTATGCTTGAGTTAGTTTTGATTTGTCCATTCTTCTTGCCTCTAGAGAGGGAAGAGAAGCTTTAAAAAGTCTACTGGTCCAGGCAAGGGCTCCCCGCTACTTTCCCATCACGTGAGATGAACATGCTTCCCTACATTTTGCTGGCTGGTTGAGTGGTGAAGCTACACTTGTGCAGAATGTAGCATGGGTTCAAGCACTGAAGTCCTCTGGTGCTATAAGGCTTTGCTAAGCTTCCATTTCCTAATCCTCCTTTTTTACATGCAACAAAAAGTTTACAGATTACAAAATTGATATGTACATTCAATGCCTTTTCAAACATAAAACTTTGGTTAAATGTTATGCATGTTTATCAGTTTCCTGGATGATTTGGCCTAATCAGTTCTTTACAAGAATTTTTTTGTGATAACCAGAACACAGTTGGAACATTTTTTTTTTAAATCAAACAGCAATTAAATGATATTAAATTCCAAAGTCACATCAATACATTTGTATGTTAGTTCACTTAAAATTTAAATCATTTTAGATGTAGAGACATGTTTACCAGAAATTTAAGAACAGAATTCAATCATAATTTCGAAACCATAGTCTATCACAAGAGAATAAATCAAGGTCAATGTCGCAAGATCTTGTTAATTCTAGTAGTAAAGTAACAAAATTGAAATGATAAAGTAACAAAATTAAAAATGATACAAATTCTTGAGAACAGCCAGCCAGCCTGGATGTACATTGTAAACCATCCCATATCCTTACTTGTCCTAATGTCTGCGTCAATCAGAGCTGTGAATGTTGATGTTTTTCCAGACCGTGCAGCCCCGTCTGCCTGAGGGAGAGAGTCGTTCAGGGATGGACCGTGTGAAGAGCCTGTTCCACCCCGCCCCTGCCGGCCCCCCTCCCCCGGCCCCCGCCGTGCCACAGCGCTCCCACACCATGCCGTACCGCCCCGGCGTGGCCACGGGATTCACCCACGAACACAACGGGAACGTCCTGAGCAGGAGGACTCCCCGGGCGGCTACAGCGGCCACAGTCAGCGTGCCATGCAGTCTCCCGACGGCTCGGTGTCTTCCATGGAGTCAGAGAGACAGAGGACCAGCATACAGTACCTACAGGAGTACGAGCGGGAGGATTCCGACTCTCCCAGACACTCCATAGGCACAGGTACATGGCCAGCAGTCATTGCTTCACCTCTGGGTACGGCAAGACCAGATCTGGCAAATTGATTAGTAGCTATCTACATCTGTTATTGGAAGTAGCCTTGGTTCTTCTTGTACCAATGTTCCATCCTACTACACTATGTTGTTCTTGCTTGTGTAACCCCCATCTGTCCTGTTTTCCAGGTTCTAACAACAGCTCCAACCTGAGCAGCCCCCCCAGTCCTCAGTCCCCCCGTAGGATAAGCTACACAGACCCTGGTGGAGACCAGCCACCCCCCTGGGGACGGCCCGGGGGTGACCAGCCCCCACCCTGGGGAAGTGCGTCGGATGCGTAAATGTGACTGCAGTGCTGTGCTATATGAACCAAGTGCCATCCCGTGTGCATGTGACTGTAGCCAAGGTGGTGCCACCAAAGCCTCTCTCAGGGCAGCACAGCTTGTCCAGTCTGCCCCCCCCCCTCCTCCTGTCATAACCTTAGCAAATATTACACGGAAATATCAGGACAGGTGGAAGGACAACCGCCACCTGAACGTAGTGTATGATTATCTGTAGTTGTTTTGTTCCATTTTGCCTTGTTCACCGTCTATGGTGCTGCTCCCAAGGATCTCTCCACTCTCCAGACAGGGAGATCTGGTGTTGGGGGGCTCTTTTAGAATTTGGCAGTAGAAGTCATTGAACTGTAAACAATATATAACCATCGGAGTCCCCCACTTTGGCCAGAACAGTACTGTAAATGCATTTACATTGTACCTTTGCAGTGGTTTTACTTCACAGTAGGAGGGAAAAGGAAGGTTTTTGCATCCTCTGAAGTTAACGGTTGAAGTAATTCTGTAGTACAATTACTATAAAACACATATTCGCAGTGTTATGATTTTCAGTAAGAGGTAACAGCGAAAACCGTGAAAATAAAACCACTGCGAAAGTTCCTGTATTTACAGTATCTGATTGCTTCATAGCTTTTAATCCACAAATGATATCAACCTTTTTATCATAGACAAAATATCGTAAATAGTTTATGGTGTTAGGATATACTCCCAGGTCACTCAATTAAGAATTTTAAAAAAAGGAGAAAAAAAATAAGATAAGATGTAGTTAGACTAGTGCAGCCTTCTCTGCCATGTGGACTTCCATGAGTATGTATGTCCTCTGAGAGAAGGTCTACCTGACCGACTCTACAGAGGTGTCTGTAAATAACAAGTACATGTATGGCACATGCTCTGTACAGGTCACTTATAGCCATGTCATCATGCAGTGATATATGCATCATTGTCCCAAACACTAGTGTGTCCATCCAAAAGACTTTTAGGGAAAACCATTTTGAGCTAAGATCTCAGGATGTTTCAGAAAGAAGAGAAAAGTAGTGTGTTGAGGGTAATTTTCAATTGAAGGTGGTGGTAGCCAGAAGGGTATGATCAGGGAGATACGATCCATGTACTTGATGGGAAAATTTGTGTTGTGAAACGTAAAAATCCAGAATAATAACAGGTGACTAGCTCCCTGGACATATAACTTTACATACACATGTATGCACTAAGGCTTTTAGCAATTTTATTGAAAAAAAAATATTTTGTCATCAATGGTTAATTGATTATGGCAGCATTGCATGCAACATGTATGAATTACAATTTTCTATTGGTTTTAATATGCAAAACGTCCTACGAGACTTTGTACTGTGATTCTGGTGTCTTGAAGCAACCCAAGAACTACAGTAAAGACTAGACGGAAACCTCTGACCAGTAGAAAGTGTCAGGTAGAACTCTAATGTATAATTATGTAATGTTGCTGGTGACCATGAATAATGTATACTATTATTTGCAATAATCAGTTCCAATAGCAGATATACCGAAAAATCTTCATGTAATATTTTGTCTTCCACCTTTTTTCCATGTGTAAATGTGTGCTTTGATTGACCTTTGTGTACTTCTTGTGAATAATGCGGCGTCAATGTTAAATATTGCTGTAGATGAGGAAATCAAGACTGCAGGAAAATTTTCTACTCCCCCCATCACCACCAGTAGTAGCTTAACATGTTTCAGCTTCACCCCAACATATATTCATAGTCTGGAAAACTGTAGCAACCAGAAATAGGACAAAAATGGGATGAAAGTAGCATACAACCCAGAGCAGTTGCATGTTGTAAGAGGTCACGCAGTCTTTTGTATAATATTCTTGTATATGTACAAATATGAAATACATCATGGCAATGTGTTACAACCACTGATGGGTCCATCTATTCTTTGTCTTTGTTCTTTTTTTTTTAACTTCCTTGTGTATGAAACATTGTAGGCTAAAGTGTTATATCCACCCTGGACCACATTATGATCTACATCAATAAAGGAAAAAATTGCAATACATGTGTTGCAGATCAAAAATTCTTTGTAGACTAGAACTTAGAGACAGTTCTAAATAGGAATTTAGAATTAAGTAGTGATTGCCAATGTTGTGAAGATAAAGACGTACATTGAAAGTGTGGTGGGCCTGGACTGAATACTAACCTGTGTTTCATGTACGTAGTCAAAGCAGACCTATTTCCACAAGCACCTTTCACACCCATAGCCTTTGTGACACCACTGCTGGCTATCCCAAGTATTTGCAGTTATAGCATTAACTTCGCCAAGTTTCTCAGTGGAGAAGCTATGGACCATCATGATATTTGGTAAGTGTCTGGCAAACTAAATAAAAAGTTCATCGTGGACCCCTATCGGTTTCCTATGCTATTGCAACAATAGAACTCTTTCCGGTGATTTTCAGGAACTAGGTACATGTATTATACATTGTTTGCTCGCTCGAGCTTAAATTCTTCCTATATGTTATGTACAAGGCTATGTATCTATTGCAATCTATTCTATTTTGAGCATGATTTACAATATGTCAATCGCCTCAAAATATATACCCCGCACGACGTACAGTACTCACGCAGGCCATAAAAGCAGATCGTTAATAGCATAGCTTCAATGGGAAGCTTCTTGACTGGGTCTGTTTCCGCTTGTACATCAGTACCCGGGTTATGCAACCATCAGAAGACAGCAAAGCCTTCTAAAACAAAGGCCCAGCCAAGAAGCCCACTGTTGAGGCTGTAACAGCAGACTTTAAAAACAACAGCTCGCTCATCATTACTTGGAAAGTAACGTCACGTTCATCGTACATAAAATGTCGTACAGAATTAGATCGTCCTGAATTAGTAAACGTTGCCTTACAACTGTCTCGGTAGGACATACATGTATGATGCCATTACATGTAAGACAAGTTTTACACCATTGTTAGTAATAAGGTGGCAATGTGGGTTTCCTTCAGCAGGCATCATCTATCCAGTTATGGACCCGTCGGGTTTCCCAGGGTCGGGCGCTCTTCCCTTCCTTGTGTCTCCTCCCCTGGTCTACCAGCTGCTCTCGCTCCGCCCTCCGTTCGGCCATCAGTACGTACCAGCGGTAAGTCTACACAAGATAGAAATGCACGAACACGGGTTCATCGTACTATACTGCTAGAACACCAGACATTCACTCCACTAGGTTACGTTAGAGAAGTAAAACAAACATGAAGTTGGAGATTTCATGCCTTCGTCAGACATATTTAGTTATTGTGAATTTCTTGGTTTCTTTTTTCATTATTCATAATTTTTTTCCAAGCATTTTCCCACTGGCACCCGGCCTTCTGGGGCCTAACACCCTGGGTCTAACCTTTTGTGGTCGGTGGTTAGGGAATTCCCTGTACGAACACACAAGCAAAAACACACAAGAACAAACACACTCACAACAATACCTCTGCAACAATTCTTAAGAATAGTCTTTATGTCAAAGATGTCAGACTGACCTGTAACATCAACACCAGGATGTTCTTGGCCGTGAAGAAGATCATCATCTGATGTACGGAGTTGTACTGGATCATCAAGAACAGGCGAACCACCAGGAACGGGAAATCCTGCATCAACATGGCTACCAGGATGGACCAAACCTGCCGGAGAAAAAAATCCACTCACTGAAGGAGGTCGAAGCATAGATCAACAATTCGGTAAGTGTACTTACCGAACAAGCTGTATATTACTTTTAAGTTGGAAAGAATGTCGTCTACCTTTTAAACCAACCCTATAGCCCATCTCCGTAAAAACGTAGAACTACAAAACAAAACAAAAGAAAGAAGTGCAAAATAAGAAAATAAAGATACGACTACTTGACGAACTTGCGGTTATTGGTCGAACCGCTAGTTGCCATTTTCTCATTGGTCGAACCGCTAATTGCCATTCTCTCATTGGTCGAACTGCTAATTGTAATGGACAGTCAGAGTTGGTCTAATCCCTACCTCGGACTCGCAGCAGCCGTGCAGGTTGATGCGGTCCAGCTTGTTATCCTCCACCACCTGCCCCGTCTTGGTGGCTGTCAGAACCAGAGTGAACTGGATCAGGCTCCACGTCCAGAATACCATCACCACCACGATCAGAACTTCGTTACACTTCACGGCCTCCTCTTTTACTGACTCGAGCTGAAACTCTGAAGGAGAACAATAAAGTTATACACTGGCCCAAAGGCTTAGCAGCCTGGAGTCTTTTTCGCACTCTCCTCGATTTGCTGAGAGACCGAAAGAGACTCGACAGCTAAAGTATGTTGCGGTTTGGATGCTATACATGCTACGAAGGCTTCATATCTCTTCTAGATATCTCTCTTGATATCACTATCAATAATTTACATCTATTACCACTCACCGAGGATGTCTGCAGCTATGCCGAAGTACACGAGTAGCAGTTGTGACAGTTGGTCTCTGGAAACGTCACCGGGCTTGGGCAGCATCCATCGACCCAGGATTAAGATACACAACATCGTCTGATGGAGGGCGAGCACCCAGGCCGAGTCGTCCAGAGGGAAGACCTGTTCGGCAAAACACAGGTGGCAAATTCTCACACAGTGACATGTAGTGTTTGAGCGGTGACTAAGCTGTACTTTAATATTTGGGGTTGTTTGGTCTTATCCGATATTGTTGAGCTGGTCTTTGCAGCACGAAGTTGGCCTGCCACGGAGTCTGTTGGATGGGCGCCAGTGGCCTGTCCTATAGCGCGGGTTCCACGCGATCGGCGCCGTTACCGAGCGGCAGGAATCTCGCCATCCGTCATGTCCGTATTTGTCAGTTCTAGCGCGAGACTAATTTGGGGGCAAAGTCTCTCCCAACAACACCGCTTGTTTTATGCCATTTCGAGTACATTTACTACTATATCGTTCTTTTTGTTTGTTTGTTTGTTTGTTTGTTTGTTTATTTTAATTTGTCTTCAGTCACATACGTCGTAGGCAGTCCTACGATTATTGTCGTGGGATTTTCAAGCAGGGTGAAAATCAATGATCAAAGATTCACCTTTCAGTAACAAGGGTGTTGAATTTTGTACGACACAAACACGACTATCCCAAGAATGCCCGCAGTTTTCGATCGTACGACCGGTGACCCTACTCCCTTTCACAAAGGATTATATTGAAGGTCGACGAACCTCGCTGCTTGTCGTACCGCACAAAGGCCCCGAAACGACCCGAAAATGTATGACTATGAGTACTATGTACGACCCTAGTCAAATCAAAACATCATGCTAAAGTGGATTTTGTCTCCCAGCAACATAGCGACTGGCCAGGCAGGTATCTGGCGCAACATAAACACACCTTCTGTCGGCTGAAATCGAATTACGTAAAGAAAGCTACAAATGTAATCACTGTTCAACGGAACCCCTGTATACTGGGGAGGAAACTAGAAAATTGAGTGAGGGGCCGTGACCTGCATATAGTGGAAGCTACACACGTTTCTACTGTATTTCTTCTTTCAATGTTTTTTCTTCTTTTCAGCACTCTTTTTATAACATCTGTAGCCGAACGCGAATAATGATAATCAACACTAACAGCATGATAAAGTCTGACGCGAATAACGATAGGTTTCTTCCCTCAGGGGGCTGTTTTTCGGTTGTTATCATAGGAAATGTGATCAGGCCTTCTGTCAGTTCTGATACCATATATACCCAGGGGTGGGTCAAAAAGCCTTAGATATAACCTGTACCGCGAATTATGATTATAATCCACATCAACACTGACAAACATACCTCGAATAACGAGTGCGGCCCATCACTGCCGGCTGTGGTGTTGGGAGTGACCGTGGCGGTGAAGACAGTCGTCTGTACCGTCGTGGTCGAGACCTCGGTGCTGTTCCCGTCAGGAGTCGTCTGTGGGAAGAACTTCGGGCATTCATCGGGACTCTTGAACCGCTTGTACATGATGTCAAACTCCAGCACCCACAGAGACGGGATAACCGACATCAGATAAAACAGCACGCTCGGACAGAACCTGGGCAGGAAAAACATGACAGTTATTGACCTGCATTCTTCTGGACAACATCGGTCAATGTTTACATTATTTTACCACATTTCAGTGATCATATGGGCACAAGGAAGAGAGTTTTAAAAAAACGAACGATTTCAGCTTTCATCCTTATTCATGGGAATACCTTTGTTGTCACATAATGTGGTTCCCCAGTTCCTTTGCCAACATTGCCCTTCTAAGGTCATGCGTTGATGAACTTTTTCGTAGTTGACAGGACATATAGTACAGTCCTATAGTCAGTAATTCAATTTACGTTTTGCGTGAAAGCCATCCCATGATGTTGATTACAAAAAGTTTGACCTCATTGTTCCATGGCAATAACGTTACACGTGTCCATATTTTAATGTTCAAATATTTAAGACCCTCTATACTGTATTATTTTTCAATTAAAGCGTTGAAGACGCAGATCTGACCATTTCCACTCCAGCCCCTTCCTCTTCTTGATGGTGATGACGCCCTCTACCAGGAGGAAGTATAGCGGCAGGCAGAAGAGCCAGAAGAGCGGCTGGCCGGTGTTCTCCTCCGTGCGCCAGATGGTGATGATGGCGTGCAGACTGAAGAGCAGCCGGGTCAGGATGGCCTTGAAGATGTTAAAACTGGTGTTGATGACGTCCAGCATCTTCTCGAAGAAATCTCCTGCAGCCATTCGGAACGTGTGCCAGCCTTCCGGGCTGGAATAGTACGGTAGAGTAGACTTAGTAGGTAAATGCATAGATCGATACAATACAATACAATACAATACAATGGTATGCAATAAAACACCGAAATGAATATAAAAAAGCTTGTGATAAACAGAGTTTAAGGAATTGTTTCACATTGAATTGTGATATTGTTTGCAATTGTAACACGACTGAACCCCTGATAATACTACAGTATTAGACTGTTTCAAGTTGAGCTTTTTTCTTGAAAAAGTATCTTGCGTTTCCGTTTTCTCATTTTAATCAGTGGAATTTGATATAAAGTTCTGGGAGTATAATTAAGACAGTTGCTCTTGTTTATGTCATTCTATATGGGCTGAAGATTAACCATCAAGACATGGATTTGGGTATACCACCAAACTACATGACCAAATTCTAATCTGATTTTTCAGAGAACAAAGAGACCTTTCAGTGTACAGGCCCTAAACAAGGCATACCTGCAGTTCTAAACTGTACACGTTGCAGTGATCCTTGAAGAACAAAGGTCACCCAAATGCACAGTTTTGAACTTGCTGACACATTATTTCAACAAGTGTATCCAAGTATTTTGCCGTGCGGACATTGAGACAGACATTGTAATACTTTTGCCGTTGATTTGCATTCGGTATGCTAAAAGTAACCAACTAGATATAATTTTCAACACGAAAGCAGTAAAAGGAAACTGATTTTTTACAATTTAAACTTCAGGACTCCTACAGGTTAGGAGCCAGATAAATCGCGGGAATTTTGTGTGGCTTCCATTTTCCTTACGACTGATTTTCCCACGACCTGGATCAACCGGCAGCTTTCACGAAACACACTTAGTGCTGACGCAATAATTGTTGACCTCACATAGCACCACGAAGCTTCATAAGACGGCTTAGAAGGAAGTGAAAATCAAAATTTAATGTTCAGAAACGAATAAAGAAGGTTAGTATTAATGTCTTAAATCGAGATGGAAGGATACTTTCTAGTACATGTATTTGTCTGTGAGTTTCAAGGCTTAGCGTGAATTGCAACTGATGATCGCTGGTCTGGTCTAGACTCGACGAATAACTCGATAACAAGCTTAAGGCCACCTATTGTATCACAGGGCTCCGCCATTCAGACTACCCGATGTTCTGTTCTACTGTTGCCGTTGCAGTACTTACCAGTGAACGCTTCTGCTCGGGGAGGGCCTTCCTCTCAGACTAGGCCTGGCACGGGGCGAGGGGCCGGCTGAGCCCGTTTAGATCGTACCGAGGACGCCGATTGAGGATGGACGGAGATGTTTGCCATCGAAATGTTGGCGTTCCTGTCGCCCATCTCATTACCGTCCCTGGATCCCGTAGACTTTCTCGACATACCTCAGTCTTCACTCCAGTGGCTTACTGTGATCAAAAAGTGAAGTTTCCCTCGCATTGGGCATCTACATTTCTCTCCAGTAAGAGTTGTGGGCACTACCATAAAGGTTCAGTACTTTTCCGGCTGCGATGTTGACGATGCTCGTTGCAAGTGAAAATCAGGACCTGCTCCTCACCTCAGGCACGCAGGCGTGGACTGGAGCTCATTGTTACGTGGGTGGTTGCCGTGGTGAGAAAGGAAACATGCGAGCAAAGTTCTCAGATTCCACCAAAACAGATCAATTAGTGTGAATGTGATCACGCTTGACCCGGTCAGTACTATTTGGCTCTGCTCCTTTGGCTGCTAAGTGGGAAATTTTCATTAAGAGATTGGAAGTTCTCAGAGCTTTGAGGCTTTTCCCTCACCAAACGCGATGCCGCCGACATTTATCCGTAATGGATACAGCTGTGAACTAGTTCTGTTTTAGTCTCAGTTCACACGTTTCAGGGCTCTGCCTTTGTGCTGGCAAATCGGAAAAAGGGTCGCCAAAATTTATGACAAGGCATTTTCGGCGACAATGACTCATGTTGCGACCATGGCGACTTGGTCCCCGAGCAAACGATAATTGTACACGAACGCACAAGAGCGCTCTGAGTTTTGACTTATTATTTTGTAGAAGTTAATGTTAAGAAACTAATGTAAATATAAATATCAGAAGAAACATATATTACAAAAAATGGCGCCTTGAAACTATCCGAAGAAACTGAACTTAAATACGAAGCCCAATGAAATACTTTGCAAAACAGTTAACTATGTTAATTCAGATTCATCGTCACCACCATGAGACGATTATTTCAACTTGTTGCGGAAAGCTTAGAACACGTCGACGCTATTATTGAATATATAGGATGTTGTGTAGGTTTAAATTATACCTTCAAACGCCTTTCGTTGTGGGCATGGCGAATTTAGACCTGCCAACAACAGTTCCATTTTTATCTTATCCACAGCCCTCGAGAAGGATGTAGTTTATTGTATCTGTAAATAGAGAAGGTGTAAACATCTAATTAACAACTATTACTTTGCCCCCAACGACTGTAGAGGAATCCAGGTGGACAAAACATACACACCTCCCGCTGTGGATCAAAGTTTACATACTAGTAACTTCTCCCAGTGTGCAACTGTCGCACAGGGCATTTGCAGCACCGTGTCAGGCGCAGCTCGTTTGCAATGGCGAATGGACGTCAGTGGTTGATGTACCTTTATCTTTCACTAGTCGGCGCTTTAAGAGCAGCACGTCTCGATGTGTGTTCAGAGTGTTACAACTATGAAGCAATAATTACAACTCAAAGTTCTTGCTTCATATGATTAATTTTCAATTGCCTTGTTGCAAATGGGTATCATCGATAAACACAGACAATGATATTATTATTAAGTGCTATACGTGGTGTATTAGTAGTACGAAAGCCCACAGCGACAACTTTTGTCATCTACGTAGGCCATTACATTGCATACGCCGTCTGCACACTGTCACTGGAAAATTTCGTGATCTGCGCGGAGTAGGGTGATTCAGCGGCACATACCCGGGTACCCTGCACAGAGCCGTGACACCCTGGCTTGGGAAGAATCGACAGTCCCTTGTCGGCCTTAGTACCTACGCGCGGGCATCAAAGTCCTCCTACCGAGACGCGAAAATGCATTTTTTGTTTCGGTTTACCCGTTTTGCTTCGTGCTTTTCTATTGTTGTGTGTAATCAATTCTTATTCCGAAAACGGAATCGTAATGAGAGTAGTTCGGCGAAATGGTTTGCGTAGGCGCCGAAATGTTTTGCATAGGCAGTGAAGGTTGTCTCTGTGGGCCATCGTAGACAGCTAGACAACCCGTGCATATTTGTGCCAAGCACTTGTTCATGAAACCTCCTCTGCTAGCCATCAGAAGGTATCTTCGTTACTTCGTGGGTTTTAAGATTCGTACTGTACAAGAAGCGCGGTAGCTAAGAAAGCACAGAACGCCAGGCCTCCCGCCATGATGACCACTACAGTCAAGGTGCCTGCGGCGTTGACGATTGGCCCCATGACGGCACCTATGATGACCCTGCTGAGCTGGATCTGTGTCGTGAGGAGGGCGCAGTCCACACCCATCCCCCGCCGCCCAGAACCGTCTGTACCTGTAGTTACGTACTGGAGATGGGACACAAAAACATGAGGCAGTGCAGTAAGTACCAAGAGCCTACTCTTAAGCCAAGGTTTTGGGTTATTTTTGGCGTGTTTTAGGCTTTTTTTTATCGGAGTCTCTTTTTTGCACTGGGATTTTTTCATCCAACCCATTTTGAACGTGAAAAAAACTGCCAGTGGCAGTGCAAAAAAGAAACGTCCGATAAAAAAAAGTTTTAAAATGCGTAAAAAATAACCCAAAATCAAAACCTCTGCTTGGAGAGTACTACGAACCTCCGGGTACGGAAGTATTTGAATAGAGTAGAGTGGCAGGAAGGCGGGGGAGATTTCACCGCAGATTGACATGAAGTAACAGGCACACAAACATGTACTGCAAGTAGATCACTGGAGGTGCGCACGCAGGGCTTACCCCTACAAGTCAGTTTCGTATACACTTCAGGAGTTCTACGTATACCCCTTGAATATGTCTTATGTGTCGTATTTTACACCATACCAGGCCAGAACACCTTAAGTTTGTACCGACCCTTACCTGTGGATTACGGTGATATTGTGAGAGAAGTCTGTACGGGACGATACTGAGTGTACTGTACATCAGGCCCATGACGGGACACAGCAGTAGGAACGGCCAGCCCTCGTCCGTCAGCTCGACCAGAAGCACCATGCCCGCCATGCCCACGGCAAACAGCAGCGTGCCGCCCATGTACACTGTCCTCAGGCCCAGGCGGCCCAGGTGAAGGTCAGCCAGACCTGGGGACAACATGTAGATACACCATAAAACTGTTATGATTCAGAGATTTCAGACTTTCGCGGAGTATTGATATTTGAATATTAGTACCGAAAATCTTCCTTCAAGTTCTCGTGGAAGTTATTCATATTTATATGACCATTGGATTCTTCTCACTTCATATGAAATACTATTTTTTATAACCTCACATATGAACTCATGATAACCTCTCACCTGAGATGAATGCACATGCAGCAGCATTAATGGTCAGTCCCCAGCACCCCATCTGCACTCCTGCCTCATACCGCCGCCTAGCCTCGGACCCAGCCGCCGCCTCAGGGACCCCCACCGTACACCCGCCGCCCCACTAAAGTCGGTGAGAACAGCATGATAGCCATAAACCCCAGCCAGGCTATAAGCTGCGTGAGACAGAGCCGTGCAAGTTGACCGGGCATCTTGACGATGGACTTAAAGAATGTAGTGAAAGAGATACTGACGCTCTTCTCCACGCCTTTCGGCACGTCCGCTGGAGTATCGTTTTCTTGACTTTGACCGACCGTGGAGTGGTCGATACGATTTCCACCCGCTTGTTCCCATGTATCTTGCTGGTCGCCAACCCTGTCCTCGGTGCTGATTGTGAGAACACGCACGTTTGTATCCTTGTCGGTGTCTTTAGCCTTTTTCTCGGACGGTCCGGGCCTCGCTAGCGGCTTCTCGGGAATACTGAGGAGGTTGAGAATAGCGCAGACCACGAAGAGGGAGAAGCAGATGCCGAACCTGACGAGATCCTCCGACCCGGGGCGAACTCCGAGCTTCTTCCAGTCCACAGCTCCTGACATGTAACCCAGTACGCCGCCGATTCCTGTGGTATTAAAGTTAGAAGAAGTTAAAAATTATGGTCCTTTCCACACCTGATGGTGCATAGGGCGGTGTCCATCTCAGTTTCTACCGCCCTTGGCCCACACAGTTGTACAATTATGGATCCAAAACATGAGCTATACATACTTGTAGGTGTATTATTAGATGAGCAGTGTATGAGCAGTATCAATGGTATGGGCAAGAGTCACCTAGAACGAATGTATATCCCAATATAATAAATACCTAACTGTTGCGTCTCGTTACAACGTTACCTGCAAAAGCAGCTTGCAGGTCCAGCCCTTTCCGCTGGTCCTCGGCGTTACAGGTGTCCAGCAGGTATGCCCGGACCGGGCCCTCGATGGAGTCCGCGGCGAACATGAACAGGACCGCCCCAACAGTAGCGACCACCAGCCGGACCACGGTGGCTGACTGGGAACCTGCCTGGAGTTGGAAAACACCTAAAAACGGCGAGTGCTGGCAGCTTGGAAAATCTCAAATTTTGGCATCATTGCACCGAAGGTGCATCAAACACAATGAAGCTACAGAATATTTTACAATGTAGAAGACCCAAATATATATATGACCAATTGTGCAGGATGTGTCCAATTAATATCAACACTACTAAAATTTAAACAGCCACCTTTCGACCATCACTACAAATAGAGTGCAGTTCAGGTAATTACGAGGTAATTTGTCATTTTACGTGAAAAGCCTCTTCACGTACCCTTCACTACGTTATCGTCATTCAAGAAGAGAATGAGTCCAAACATGATGGTCACATCCAGCGTCAGGATGAACGGGCGGCGTCTCCCCAGTGGTGACCGGCAGCGGTCGCTTGTCGAGCCCATCACGGGTTGCAAGAGGAAACCAAACATGGGAGGGATCAGAAACACCAGACTGGAAAAAATAGAGCGATATAGTCACCGTCCAAAACAATTAGCAGTTCAGCCAATGAAAACATAGCAATTAGTGGTTCGACCAATGAGAGAGTGCCTGCTCATAGGCGTCTAATATTTGCATTTTTATGTTGCTCTTGTTGTCGCACCTGTACATGTTGGTAGGCATTCCACGAGTCAACAGATGTGGCACGACCAGCGCGGCTTCCAGCCCGTAACATAGCTCCCTCCCCAGCATGATGGTGCTATTCGTCGTAAGTTGCCAGCAGCTGCGCTTTGGACGTCGTTCGCAAGGAGACGCATCTGCCCGCGGAATCAGACAGGTTGTCTCTGAATCTTCTAACGACATTGCTCGGACTTAAATGTTAAACAAAAATACATGTCAAAGTAATGGTTGGTGGCTATAATACTTCTTACATTTTAAGTACTTGCATTTATGGAATTGAAGATTTTCCATCATTATACATTCGTATATGCATAAATGAATTTGAAGTAACTCCTCTTGCAAATAAATCATTCACCCTAGTTCATGAATTACTGCTATTTCTTCAGCTCACAAAGAATTTTGGTGGACACTATTGCTCGTATGAGCTAACTTAGCTCACTGAAATATGTCAACATTGTGTAGCCATAGGTTCAAACTGGCAACACGAACAGGTGATCATTTTTTCTGTGCAGTTTTCTGTCGTGGGGGGCATTGTTGTCCATATCGGCCATGAACAAACGAACTGAAAAGATGTTATGTAACGATAGCGATGAAAAATGTTTGCTAGATTTCATTTCTCTGCCAAGAGATAGAAAACTGTCCGGTGGGCGTTTCCACAATATCCTAAGTACTCGTGTATGAGGGGAGGGGGTAACGCTGACACTTGAAGATGACAGAACAGAACCAAACTGTTCACCATACCTGTTTGCCGGTGATGTAAGTACTCCTCTCAGACGAAACACCATGCAGAATGAAAGCTAAGATACAGAACGACACAAGTATAGATCGGTTGACTTTCTTCCGCCCCTCCTCTGCCAGTAGTCCCCAGGTCTCACTGTGACGTACACACCTGTGGTCTCATCACCGGTGAACATTCCTACAATAAGCTGATGCTAACTCAATTTACATCTCTTTGTCCTCTTCAACAATGCGCATGGCTGAAGTGTCTCTAACGGTCCAAACGCACTGCCCACTTGATGGACTGATACAATCTATGTTTCCCTACTTCAAGAACGTACATATCCAATACATTCTTCTTTTGCTGATGATGATTCATACTTCTGATGAGTTTATACATGAAGGATATAGAATGGCGCCAGTCCCCATTTCAGCAGTTGTAATTTCCAACACAAGAAATTGGACTTAGCCAACTCTTGTCTTTGTCAAGGAATGAGCAATCCACCGCTCTAATCAGAATCCGTAATCATAATCAAAACAGCTAGGGCACAAACAGGGGACTAGTTATCCTACCGTACACGAACGGTTTGACTGAATTCTCAGAAGGATTGAGAACAATTTTACTTAAAATTTAGTCCAACCAGAACCCTCCGTAGTGTATTGGTTTTACCCAAGGACAAAACAACCAAGGAACACAAGTCTGGCCGTATATCTAAGTCAGAACACCAAGGGCCTAGCCTACCAAGGGTATGTAAGGAAATGTATTTTTGGAAAACTGAAAGATCACCCAAGACTTGGTTTTTAGCTCGACAACTTCGGAAGTTTCACACAACATATATATAGAATATTTTAATCGCCAGAACATTCGGTCTCATTGGACAAAGTAAAAATCATGTACACGAAACAAGACTCTTTTGAACGAGGTATTAAAGATGACCTCTATATCATGGCAATAGCTGGGAGATAACTGATGCTGCCTTAGCACGGTTACATATCTTACATATAGATTCACCGGTTGTTTACTTCTTTTTTTAATTGAATGATTTTTGATGGCAGATGTATCTGAATTTACGCCTAGTTATAAAATATAGTAGTCAAACACAATGATTGGCATCACTACTCAGGCGACGTCTTTCGGGGTCACTTAAGGTCAAGGGTATGAATTTCATGTTCTACGGAGATTGTCATTGATGTTCCAGAACAGCATTCACGCTGTAGCACAGCAACTAAACACAACGCCACTGTTGACCGAGGATATGCACGTATCTCTCGAGCTCCGCGTTTTGTCAAGGTGAATTTCCCATGAAAAGATGGGTTTTCTCGACAGGACGGCGTCAGCGTTCCTTTCAGTGGTACACGTGCTGTCATTGCTCAGACCTGGCAGTAAGAGCCAGATCGGCGGGATAAAACTCAACGTAACTGTCCACGAGGGCAAAGTTGGGCGCCAGAGTCAGGGCAAGTACCTAGTCACAATACGACATGGCAAGAACAAGGTGCAGACCGCTAAGAAAAAGTCGGATGCACTGATCTGGGAGCATTCTACGGAGTTTGTCGGGTCGCCAACAGACCAACTGGTTCTGAAACTCCGTAAGGCGAAGCGCTGCAAGGACACCACAGTCGGTGAGCTCTCCATAGATGTTGCAGCCGCAATAGAGTCAGTGGACGGTTTACCGCAGAAGTGGTGGTACATCATGGACCAACCCAAGAAAGGCGGGCGGAGGAAAGAGGAAGTGTTCTTACAGGCGTCCGTTACTCTCGAAGGCACGGAGGGGAAAAGTCAGCCTACACAGAACCAAGGTAAGAAACGTCTGTTTCTGTTCCTTTGCAGACTGAATTTGTATGTTACACCTTTATGGCCTTATAAGATAATTTTCTTGGTCGAAATCAGCAATCTTTACTCTAACCATAGGGGAAGGATACATATGAAAATGACTTCTCAATGGACAATTTAGAAGAAAAGAAAGTGAAAATATGTGGAAAAGTCTTGTTAAAGTGACACTAGTTTACACGCAGCATTGTATTATTCTATTCAGTCTCAGTGACTAAGCCTTCCGAAGAGACCGTTGAGGCGTCAGAGCAGGGGAAGTCAGAGACTTTGTCGGAGCTGCAGAATCACCAGGTCAAGGCGGTGGCAGTTTCCCTGGAAAAAGTCCCGGTCGCACACCCAGACAACAGCGCTGCGGACAGCAGTCCACCAGCCGTCACCGGCGACATCGCAGACGTCAAACAAGACTCTTCAGACACAGCCTTAACTCCAGACACAGCGGACGAGTTTGGTGTCAACGAAGACATGGACGTCGAGAGTGAGCTACCAAAGGGTCGAGGTACATGTAGAAGGAGTCGACCGTGTCGTATTTTCTTTTTGGACAGGATTGGTAATTTGAATTTTTTTTTATATTCAAGTCTTTCCTTTCACTTACATCTAACGTGCCTCGTTCTGTTCGCTTGTTTTCCATCGCAGACTCTTCAGACTCAGCTTCAACTTCAGACACAGAGGACAAGTTTGGTGTCAACGAAGACATGGACGTCCCGCCAAACGACGCGCACCGTTCCTCTCGTCACACGGACGTCACGCTCCTTCACGTGTCCGGTGCTGCCGACAATCAGGAGAGGGAGATCGAGAGTGAGATACCAAAGGGTCAAGGTAAGAGGAGGCGGGTTTTCTTTCTGCATATCGTGTCTAAAGTTTATTTTCACTTCCATCTGATCATGACTTGCCTTACTCGTTTCCTTTTCCGCCTTTTGCAAGTATTTATCAACCCACTCCAGAAAGAAAGGCTACTAAGTATTTCAACCAGTGGGAACATTCAAACATAGAGAGCCTGTTTAAAATGACACTAGTTTACAGACACTAGTTTACATACAGCATTATATTCTTCTATTCAGTCTCAGTGACTAAGGCTCCCGAGGAGACCGTTGAGGCATCAGCGCAAGGGGAGCCAGAGACTCTGTCGGAGCTGCAGGCGGTGGCAGTTTCCCTGGAAAAAGACCCGGTCGCACACCCAGACAACAGCGCTGCGGACAGCAGTCCACCATCCGTCACCGGCGACATCGCAGACGTCAAACAAGACTCTTCAGACACAGCCTTAACTCCAGACACAGCGGACGAGTTTGGTGTCAACGAAGACATGGGCGTCGAGAGTGAGCTACCAAAGGGTCGAGGTACATGTAAGAGGAGTCGACTGTCGTATTTTCTTTTTGGACAGGATTGGTAATTAGAAATTTTTTTTAATATTCAAGTCTTTCCTTTCACTTACATCTAACATGCCTCGCTCTGTTCGCTTGTTTTCCATCGCAGACTCTTCAGACTCAGCTTCAACTCCAGACACAGAGGACAAGTTTGGCGTCAACGAAGACATGGACGTCCCGCCAAACGACGCGCACCGTTCCTCTCGTCACACGGACGTCACGCTCCTTCACGTGTCCGGTGCTGCCGACAATCAGGAGAGGGAGATCGAGAGTGAGATACCAAAGGGTCAAGGTAAGAGGAGTTGAACGTGTCGTATTTTCTTTTTGGACAAGATTGTTTTCTTAAGTTTTGATTTCTTTTCCTTTGACTTATATCTAACTTGCTTTGCTCTGATCATTTATTTCCCATCGTCATTTACTGCAAACTGGCGGTAAAAACCATACATTCTACCAAAGCGCCAGTTTTGTTTGACGGCACATGAAGCCCACCTTCATTTTCACAGTCTATAATAAAGTTAACTACATTTACTTCAATCATTAGAAATATCTAAACAAGACATGCGTTTTCAGCAGTGAAACAAGTCTGTTTCTTTAAAATCCAGTTCTAGATGGAAGAGATGATGAGGATAAATGTATAACTTTGCTTTAGGCAAAGCTATGAAGATTAGACGTCTGCAGAAAACGCTTAATGTAATGTGTGTTTATCTTATTTACACTCAGACAAGACTTCCGAAGGGACGTCAGTCAAGACGGAGCTGCCAGAAACACCAGAACCGGAGAATGGGAAGATCAATGTTTCCCAGGAAACAGAGCCGGGCGCACCATCGGCCGACAGCGGCAAGGACAGCTCACCGCCCTCCGCTGCCGGCGACGCCGCAGACGTCAGCGCAGAGTCTTCCACAAGCTCAGCGTTCGGCCTCCCCGTCTCAGCCTCAACTGCCACTGCAGACACAGAGGACAAGTTCGGCGTCGACGAAGACATGGACGTCCCGCCAAACGACGCGCACCGTTCCTCTCGTCACACGGACGTCACGCTCCTTCACGTGTCCGGTCCTGCCGACAATCAGGAGAGGGAGATCGAGAGTGAGACACCAAAGGGTCAAGGTAAGTGGAGGCACTGATCTTACTGTATAGGATTGATTTCTAAAATCATTATTTATCAAACCACTACAGACGGAAAAGTGCCCAAATTGGTAAATCAGTGCATTTTACCAAAAACACCAGACTTTTTTTCGTTTGTTTAAAACATGGACAAAAATATGGACAGACAAACGTTGAAGAATAGATACGTCTGCAAAAACAGCCTTAAAGAATGTGTGTTTATTATATTTACACCCAGACAAGACTTCCGAAGGGACAGTCAAGACGGAGCTGCCAGAGAAACCAGAACCGGAGAATGGGAAGATCAATGTTTCCCAGGAAACAGAGCCGGGCGCACCATTGGCCGACAGCGGCAAGGACAGCTCACCGCCCTCCGCTGCCGGCGACGCCGCAGACGTCAGCACAGAGTCTTCCACAAGCTCGGCGTTCGGCCTCCCAGCCTCAAACCCAGACAAACGTCCTGCTGCCGGAGAAGGCGATGTCCCAGAGCGCCACAGTCCTTCAGTCGTCCATGGAAAAGAGACGGAAACACCCGACAACATTGGCACGGATACATGCAGTCAAACCACAACGTCTACTCAAGGAGGAGGATCGTCTCTTTCAACAACTACCCCATCGCCCAAACACAAGGACGCAGAAGACCCACAGTATGAAGAGGTGATGTCGTCAGTCGACAAGTTGTGGGCAGAGCTCAACTTTGAGAGAGACTATGCGGAAACGCTTCTCGCTCATGCTGAATCCCTTCGGGCCAAACTCAACACCGCCGCCCCGAAAGTTCTCCAGTACCCAGTTCTTAAGAACATTGCCGCTGTCGTGCCCGATCGCACATCTTACGAGTTACCGGACACACAAGGACTCAGTCTGGTAGAGCTGCAAGACATCCAGAAGACCCTCACCAAGGCTGTACAAGAAGAGAAGGAACGCGGGAGCTACATCAAGCGCTGGTACTGGGAAGAACTGGTCCGCGTGGCTCTGAAGGAGGCACCTCAAGTATTTGGGCCAGAAGACTGATGTGACAATCTTATGATGCCACATTTATAAAATGCACCTTCTGTGCTAATGGTTTGAAACCGAGTTCTATCCGACATTATCATCAATCAATCAACACAATAACGTTTTGTCACAAAGAATGTTCGTTATAAATCTTCAACTACCCCAGATGCACATTTGGTCTTTGAGAGAGAACCTGCACTTTGTTTGTGATACCAGGTGCTGTGAATAATGAGTATATTTCTAGTAAACGTTCCACTCGTTTTGTCAAGAATCCTCAGCTATGTAAATGGTCCAGTTGTTACTTCCGGAATTCGAAGTTCCTGTTTATTATTTTGATTATCTAATGCCCGAGAAGCTTTGCCTACATTCAAATAGCATGTACATCGTATACATTTGTACAGTTCCTCAATTGCATCGGATTTGTCAAAGTTTATCTGAGTTCAATGTTTTATTTGAAAAGTTTTGCTGAAAAAAAAAAAAAACTAAAATGGGGATTTTCCATCTTTACATTTTGTTGCTTTCACTTGACTGCACGCATTGCAACTTTTTTCCCGAAGAAAACCACTTTTCCCTTTCCTCGAATTAAAAGAATCTTTTCTCCATGTAGGGCAGTGATGACTCGATATACCTTGTTACTACTCTGACCTGTGTTTTATCTTTGAGTATTGCCTTGCTTGTAGTCACATCTCACACACTGTGACATGGGTGCACAAATTACTGATTGGTATTAAGTCTCCAAGCAGAGGCATCAGCCAGGTTTGTTTTGCAGGTCTTTCTCTCCTCTGTATCATCAGGCAGATGAAGAACTGGCTAAACAGACCCACAAACAAGCTAGACTATCTGCTTGGAGACTAGAAAGTCTTGTTGTCTAAGCCAGAACATCATTCTCTCCAACCACAGGTTAGGCTGTTTCTTCAATTGATAGCTTGTTTATCCAGGATTTCTATTATGTCTGCTTTTCTTTCAGAATCCTGGCCTAACCAAGAGAAAACCTGACAAAATTAAAAGCCTGACAAAGTATCCAAAAAAGCTATTACAACACCCTTACCTCTGCTTGGAGAGTAGAATATGAAAGGCTGAAGCATTGATGACAATCCACATGAATGAGAAGTTGTAATCTCTGTATTGAGACATACATAAGTAAACTGTCCCCCTGTTAGCAGACTCCAAAGGTGACTGATACACTTATTACTCTATGTCATCAAATTTCCTCCCGCAGAATAACCAGGCTTCTTGACAGACCATACCACTATCACAGCAACATCCATGGAATTTGTAACCTCTACTATCAAAACTTGGCAGGGGAGCAGCACATCTGTGGGACATCATTTCCAATGCTACTGAATTTCAAGGACATTTTATTGAAGCATGGTCCCATGCCTTCCCAATGCCACTTACCCCTGGAAAACCTAAGTATGCAACAAACATGCAGTGCAACAAAATACAACATGCAACTGAAAATGGCTTACAGTTAAAGCCAACTCGTTCTACCATTCTGTATGTCAGTTAGATGAGTCAAATTATTGCTACCTGCCTTAAATAATCATAATAAATAGCCAACAACATTATGTTGTCAGGGAATAAAGGACAACTAGCTTGAGGTTAACACATGTAAAACTGGACAGGTGTGACCGTGTAGCTTCCTGGTAAATAGATGTCAATTCTTTCCTTCTTCAGATAACTTGAGCCCAAGGCTTTGTGCCAAGTAAAAGGCAAATGGTGGGCAGGCATCCTGCGAGATACCAAACATTGCCACATGTGAATACTGGCTTTGATCATTGCATAAAACATCCTTTACCAAACTCTATAGGTATTTCTGCTGTTTCTCTATTCCTTTTGAAACCACAGTTCTAACAGTTGACCGTTGCGCAATAGTTCCTAGTACATGTAACACTGTTAGGTAATCCCTCACCTACTTGTAGGATTGAACTGAATCCCAATAGAATTCATCGGGAAAGTTATGTGGCACTATAAGCACAAATACTGAAAACAAAGTGAAACACATAGTTTCAAACTTGCAGAAGGTACAGTCGGTTTGTTTCTTACCACCTACTTCTATATTTCTTAGTAACTTTCTTTTTGCAGTGACCCTCTGTATGGACCGTTAAAAAATGAACACATACAATCAGCAGCTTTACACTGTCCTGAATTTGCTTGATTTAACAAACAGTAACTTCTGAAAGACATGCCCCCTTCTTCTTTTGTTTAAGTTGGTATCAAACATAGAAAAAAAGCTGTTAATAAACTACACATGTACATAACATGGCATAAACAATGTCTGAAAGTTTGAAATTTTACCTATCATTTTTGTGTGTTACTGAATGGTTCTGGGGTGCATTTTCATGGACAAGAGTTGACACCCCATGTTTTCCCATGCTACTTTCTGTAGTTACAGCTCCAGTGTTGAGTTATCATCTCACCACTCCTACATGCCCACCCCTACAGAATGGGCAAGATTGTTACTATGGAAGCCAAACGTCTATTTGGACTGGGCCTTCTCCCAGAAATAATCAAAGGACAGCTCTGAGAGGTCAGTGGCTTGGACCTCTGTTATTCCAGACCCCAATGCTTTCTTGACTGCGTCTTTGCTGCTAGCGTACAACATCTTATCCTTGACTGATGCCGTATCTGGGCACCTGTGTTGACACAAGAACAACATTGGTTATAAGATAATTGTGTGAAATATTCATGGAACCTGATATACTATAAATTAGATCCACAGCATCATGTATAGCCATGTACAACCAAGCACACCTCTCAGACAGAGTCCAATGTTGGGAGTGCATTATCAGTTAGGTCATCATCACTGGATAATGCATTAACTAGGCTCTACAGCTACCATGGACTTAAATACCATTTAATTGGGTCATTTTCCCCAAGATACAACATTTCCTGACAAGGCCCTCGACTTGGGCTACTACAGACCTATTATCACAATTTAGAGAAAGAAGAGGAAGCAACATACCAGACAATAAAGAGGATCTTATTGGTCTTCCTCGCTGCTGTGTCCCCTTCTTTTTGATCCAAAATAGAAAAATCGTAGACAGCATAGCGACATGTGTTAGCCTGCTCGCCTCCTTTCAGCTCTTCCACAAAGCCCTGGTGGCGCTGCTTTTGATATTCCGTGTTGTACTCCTGACAAAAAAGGTCAAGGTCATCCATAAATAGCAGTTCACAGACTCACTGTTCAACATGAAAATACAACATCGTCTTTTTAACCCAACAACAGGTATCATTCAATGAACATAAATGTTTACACAAAGTATATACTCTTCTGATAGTATTGGACATCTAACCATAACCAAATACAATCATACTTCAGCAGTGAGCCTCTTGATTCCTGCCACCAGGTAATTGCAGGTTTAGTCAATATTAATCAGAAGGGTGTACAACCACACCATCTCCATTAAACATACTAGCTATGCACACACAATATGTACAGTATAGGAAACTTACATTGTTCTTGTCTTCTGAGTTGATGTTATCTAGTGCCTGGTTCCGTACCTCCCCACCTGCTATGTGGTAGATGACATACTTGTATTTGTGGCGAATCTTCAAATCTTGCAAAGCTGTAACCACTTCAGCAGCAACTGACACACCTGAAGCCTGCAAGGGGACAACATGGGGGCTGACATTAGGAAGGCACGGCAGAGCATTGACCACCATGTCTTGTTGACAAGTGCCTTACCTCACAATCTCATGAAGGAGGAATTGTTTTTGATTCGTCTGGGTATGTCTGTGTCTCTGCATACTTTGGCAAGCATAACTCAAGGCTAAGGACAGATTGTAATGATATATGGCAGGGAGGTAGATCTTAGAAACACAAAGGTCAAGGTCTACATGTATATTGGGCCTCCTACTAGCTTTCCTTGGTACTGCACTGCAGCATCCTCCCATGGCAGGGGCAGCGGCTCCGAATTCCTTCTCCACCCCTTACCCCTGCCGTATAACATGGCATCTTCTACTCTACGACCCCAGGAATATTAATATTCATGAGCTTGCCTTATTTGGCATGACCCCATTTCTGACTTGGGCGGCGAAGGGACGTCACCCTCCCCGCCGGCGACTCCGCCGCCGCCCGGTGACGAGCCCGTTAACGCGTTGGGGAGGCCGTGTGGGGCAAAGTCACCGAGTTAACACCTTCCCCGTGCTCGGCGGGATCCGCGCGCAGCCTCCAGCACACGCTAGCGCCCCGCCGACGCCCGCAGCGGCCTGCATCGCAAAAGTTCTCTTCCCGAGACGACGCCATGTTTGTTTTTATTTGTCACTGAATAGCCGACATGATTGGTTCCGATAGCTAGCGCATCTCATAAATATTAATGTAAAGTGCGTTGAAGATTTTCTCTGTGATACGTGATTGGCTGAGAGCGTGTCCCTGGAATCGGGTCGCAGAGTAGAAGATGCCATGTTATACGGCAGGGGTAAGGGGTGGAGAAGGAATTCGGAGCCGCTGCCCCTGCCATGGGAGGATGCACTGCAGGAGAACAATCAATCTTCTGTGCACAACATCCCATGGTCTTGATTTCTTTTTGTGTAGCAAAACTAATATCCAACCCTTTTACTGCTATAGCTAAGCCCCACTTTGTAATCATTGAAAAGTTGCAAGTGATGTCTATTTATAACATGTCTAAATCTGTTTAGCCTGTTTAACCTCTGGCTCCAAGGGATCAGAGGTGACTATTTGACCATCTATCAGTATCATTATCCTTGTTCATGGAGTTAGTCCTTCTAACTCCATGCCTTGTTCAATAGTCTTTTCATCTGCTTCAATCAAATGAAACAAACATGTCATGGCCATGAGTCATGTAGCAGAAGCAATGTGTGGTGTTTTAACAAGCAGCCAAGTGACAAATTCCTTCACATTTCATGGCTAATCTAAACATAATTAAGGGATGACAAACAGTAGGGCTTCCAGTTACAGCATTGGTAGTTGTTAATTGCTTGTCCTTAGCTGGGTAGCCTGGTATCCAGCCTTTTTCAGTCCACTTAGCAGCAAAATTACTAGTAACTTGCATTTTGTGGACCAAAGGCTAAGGAAGGCTTCCATCATCCATTCTGTTATCAGTTACAACCCCTGCTGGCAGTCCATAGACATGTGCAAACACTGCCCAAGCCTTTTTGTTTGGCAGGACTGTAGGTGATAAATGTTGCTGATAAGACTCACACGCATTTATTTACTCACACCATATAAACTGTCAATCCTTCAATTGCATATATAGCAAAGGGGAAAACTCAACTGGAAACTAGAAAGGCCGACATTTGCTTGGGAGCAAATACAGCATATTTCAGTCCATCTCCCTCCCACCCAAAAGTGGACTATTCCAAACTTACCCCAGTGCAAAACTGGCAAAGGTTCTCAAATAAATGAATTAAATAGTAGCTATATGCAGTGGTCGAAATACTTTTTTCAGTGCTCTGCAATATTGCAGAAGAGTCAAAATTTCGTCCTGCAATTTTGAAATACTTTCTGCAAATACACAAGCCCCCATATTACAACCTTCTGAAACCAATAATGCCTATTTTTACATCATATATATATATATAACGGTATAGCTTTGTAAATCTGTAGCATTACTGAAATTCTTCAAAATATCACTCTTTCAAATATGTTCGGACCGTAAAATTTTATCGGTCCGGTCCCAAAAAACCGAAACGTTGATGGACCGTTTTTTTTGACCGGAACAAAAATCCATATTTGTTGTTACTGAATAACTGATGATCACTACATACAAAGAAGCCTGCCAGGAAAATGAAAATCCAGCCTTCAAATAAAAGAGGTTTACCTTAGTCTCCGTCTCTCTCATTTTGCAACAATATTTTCCCGTATTTTGGTACCGATAGTCATCTAGAAATCATAAAGGACAAGTCGGGCCGTGCTTGGTTCGGATCGAGCCGAAAATCACTGATTTTACACCATATGGTCACAATGTGATGCACGTAAATTTTCACTCGAAATGAGAAATTACCGCCCAACAAAACGGACCATTAAGTTCCCAGTGCTGTATTTCTCTTTTGTTCATGTGATCAACTTGTTTTCTTTGCTTGAATCGTGCAAAATACCAAGGAAAAACATCGAAATTTCGGCAAATTAACGCCGAGGCGAGTGTGGTTTTTCGGAGGAGCCATGTTTCCTTTGCCGTGTTGCCTGCTGGGAAATGCTCAGCGAAAATTGCCGAGGCAGTTGTCGGGTCCTCCCGGGAGACGAAATCTAACATCGGAAAATGGCGAGTGCCCATATTTGGTTATCGTCGCCTTTCGTCGCCTTGTCGAAATCGTTCAACTTTGACCCCAAATTCCCTTATATGGGACCATTACCATGATTACAGTCTGCTGGAAAACGCCGGCAGGTTCGTGCGGCGCAGGTTTTCGATATATTCACAGCGCCACTGCTTTGCTAATTGAAAACTATTGAATCCGGAGCCTATTTTTTCCTTCTGCAAAATTGCAGATTGTAAGATTTTCTCTTCTGCAATCTTGAAAATCTATCTGCAAATTGCAGACTGCAGACGGGTATTTCGAACACTGTATATGAGAACAAAGATGCAACAACAAGTACTTTGAATCTCGACAGCTTCACTAATCTTATTACAGGTATGCAAAAACTAACAATGATGAGATTTGATACATTTTGAAGGTCTTAGGCACATAAAATTGAATGTGTGGGTCATTACGCACCACTTAGGTGCAATGTGACCTCAGGTAACCCGCAATGGAACACGTGTTCCATGGATGGAACCGGCCATTCTTTAGATAGAACATGGAACGGGTATAGCACTTTTGGCCCTTTTTTTTTTGCTGAAAATAGCTATTAAAGTCCCCCAAATGAGTCATTTGGAAGTGATGTATGCCAAATATATGACTGCTATTCTGTAGACACACGTTCAAGGTACCCTTATACCGAATGTCATATCATTTGGTTGTAATACCAGGGCTCAGGATCCAAAAATCCATTTTTTGTTGAAAAATGCCCCAAAAAACCTTCATAAAAATTTTTCAAAGGCATGTTTCAAAAAAATGAAAAAAAAAACGTCTGGGGGTACTTGCTCACTCTACCTCCATGCCAAATTTCAAGTCATTTGGCTGAATGATGGCGGAGTTGAATCCCTCTGATTGTTTGGCAGGAGAAGAAGGAGGGAGAAAGGGAGAAAGGGAGGAGAAACATGAGGGAACACAATATATTTCATCCATACCATGGTAATGGACTGAAATATAAC